GTTGTTGTTGTTGTTGTTGTTGTTCTTGTTGTGGTTGTGCTTGTTGTTGTGCTGCTTGTGGTTGTGCCTCTGGTTGTTGTTGGGCCTGAGCCTTGGCCTGCTGGGCCTCTTGTAGTGCTTCGTCCAGTCTGGACTTTAGTTGTTCGACGTGTTGTACGAATGATGCTATCTCATCCTTTTGTTCTTTGTTCTGCTGCCTCTGTCGTTGCAGCTCGCTCTCATTCAATTCTATTCTCTTGTGTATATTCTCGCTTGCTCTAACATACTCCTTGTTGGATTCCAACAATGAGTTGATATTCAATTGCTTCTTTTCCAACTCCTTCATCGCGTTTTGATATTCCTCTTCCAACGTTGTGTATTTGTTCATTATATTATCCGTATTCTCCATGTCTATATATCATTCATCACGTGATTGATTGATTGATTTATGAATGAGTGAGTGGGATGATTCCAGGGACGATTCCAGGAGATGGATTACATACTCTTTGTTATTGCCTCGAATCGGCTGTTTAGTTGCCGGATCTGGGCTGTCTTGTCCTCCAGCTCCTTGCCATTCTGCTCTACCATTGCCTGATGCTCATTGTTGAGTTGCCTCAGCTGTTGCTTCAGCTGTGATTTTTTTTTTTTGAGAGCCTCAAAGTCGTTGGACAGATCCTTGATGAACTCGCGCTCAGACTCAAGTGTCTAGATAGATAGTCAGGTAGGTGTCAGCTCAATGTGTACCATGTCTCCCCTCCCTGATGCCACCCTCTTCATCATTCCTCCCTCACTCCCCTCCCCTCCCACCTCTATCAGCTGCTTACATTAGTGAGGTCCTTGATGGTGTCCATGCTCTGCTCATACTTGGCTTGGATCGAGCTGATTGATGGAGATGACGATGATGATGGTGATTGGGATTGTTGGTCGTTATGTTGATGATGTTCATGTTGTTGTTGTTGTTGTTGTTGTTGTTGAGATAACAACTCATCATACTTCTGTTGGATCTCAGTGGACTTGAGCTCGAGCTCTTGGATGGCCACTCTATTCTTCTTGGCATCCTCGTCCATTGATGACCTGAACGTGTTCAGTTGTCTACTGACTCGGTCATACTTGGTCTTCAATATATTGATTGAATGATAGAGTGAGCCAATGATTCAACCAATCAAACCGATCGATCAATCAATCATACTTGCTTACCTGGAAGTCCATGGAAGTGACCTTCTCCACACGTAGTTGCTCCCTCAGATCCTCAATCTGTTGCTTGAGCTCATCAATATCTTGGTTTGATTGAATGACAACATCGGTCGGTGCCGCTGACTCCTTGGGTGGTGCTTGTGCCAGCACCATTGCCTCTGCCAGTTGTGCAGAGAGCTCATCGACCTCCTTCTTGTGCTTGTCCAGATCGCTCTTCATCTGTTGGTTCTCGGCCAGCAACTGTTGGAAGCTCTCGTCAAAGTCGCTCTCTTTGATTGGCTCGTCGACAATGACCTTGGCGGCGGCGGGGACGTCCCCAACCTCGCCCAGGTGGCCGCCACCCGTGCCCTCGTACACGCGCAGCTTCTCTTGCAGCTCCTCGATCGTCTCGTTGGCCAGGTCGATGTTGATCTTCTCCTCGTCCAGTCTGATGAGTAGCTGGGCGTACTTGTTGGCGAGGTCAGCGTCGGACGCGTGCTGCGACTGGGTCGCCTCGACCGTCTGTCTGAGCGTCTGTATCGTTGTCTGGTACTCCAACACGGTCTCCTCGACCGTCTTCCTCTCGATGATCAGCGTGTTGTTCCTCTCGGTCATGCTCTGCAGCTGGCTCGTCATGTCGTCGAGTTGGCGCTGAAGGTCCATCGTCTTGGCCAGCAGCGCGCCCGGCCCTCCTTCGCCGCCCTGCTGCTCCTGTTTCAGCAGACTGAGCAAGTCCTCAGCCTCTTGCAGACGGATGTTGGCCTTGTTGAGGCTGTGTGTGAGTGTGTCGGCCTGCTCCACCGCGCGCTGCTTCTCGTCCTCGGCGGCCGTCACGCGTTCGGAGGCTGTCGCCGAGATCTTGCGCTGCTCGACCAACTTGTTCTGCGATGATATCAGCTGGCGTTGCAGTTCTTCTACGCGACCCTGTGCTGCGGTCTGCTCAGCTTGTGCATGTTTGACCAATGCTATCAATTGTGAATTCTTCTCATGTTCTTGATTAAATCTTGTTATCGTCTCTGTATGTGTTGCCTTCTCATCATTGAGCTCTGCCAACAAATGAACTCTCTCTTCCTCCCATTCCTTTTGTGACATTATTATTATTAATATATAATAATAATATTAATAAATATGATTATATATTATAATATTATATTAATATATAGAGGATGAGTATGATATGTATGTAATTAGTATTATCTTTATCTCTTCAGTCAACCAAAGGTCATTCATACATTTAGTGAATGAGTGAAGCCTTGCTGGCTGACCGTTATTGAGTGGGGATCAGTTTCAAGTTCAAAATTCAAATAATGTGGGGTATTTGAAGTTCAAGTAATGATTAGTTACGTCAACATTAGACGATTAACGGTATCATCCATTCACTATACCCAACATAGAGATAATAAGTAAGTAATAGTATAATATATACTATTAATATTTGATAGCCATATTTGGAATAAAGTGATGATCAGTTTGAGTGCACTCTCTCAATCTCAGGATCAGAATCACTTTGTTCGTTCCATACCAAAAACAGATATTTTATGTAATCGTTTGCTGATGAACACACACGAGACAGTTGGGTGGAACCGGTATCGGGCTCGGAATTATAAATGTGATTGAATTGAATTGAATGAATAGGACGCTTCTTTCATTCATTGCACGCACTCACACACTTCAGACCTGAACGACTGGGCCTCGCTACAGTCTACCATTCATTCATTAATGATCCCTTGTGATAGATACATATAATAACATTACAACATATACACACACAACACAATGATGAGATCAATCATTTCAATCATATTGTTGATTGCAGTTCTCTGCCAAAGCAGCTATGCTGAGATCAATTGGAAACAGAAGGGCATGACCTACACCAATGGCAAATGTATGTGTTCGTTTCGTTTGGTTGGTGATGCGACCTATCCACACACATGACTAACAACAGACTCCATCCACTAGACTGTCCATACGTCAAGTTCAACGAGTCCAAGTCAGACCTGTCACTGTACAACCTCAGAGGCACTGGTGCCAACTACGTCTCCATCGTCGTTACCAACTTCCAGGTGAACATCAAGTATGTTTGATCATGATCGATTCATTGATTTGGTGAGGATACTAACAACACTTGTAGCACCACCGCCATCTTCCCAACTGACATCACTGCCACTGACGAGGAGCTCGTTCACGTCATTAACTACGCTCACAAGATCGGTCTGAAGGTCATGCTCAAGCCTCACATCGATATGACTGAGGACCCAGCTCACTGGAGGTATGTTGTTACATTGATCACACCATCCTTTCAATCACTTACTCACTCAATCACTCAATCAATCAATCGATCATTAGAGGTGAGATTGGTACTTACTACACCAACGATCAATGGGCTGAGTGGTTCGCCAACTACACACCAATCCTCACTCACTACGCCAAGTTGGCTGAGGAGCTCCATGTCGAGCAGTTCTCTCTTGGTTGTGAGCTCATTGCCACTTGTAAGTTAACATCATGAATGAATGAATATGATGATGAATGATCGAGACTCAGACCTGACACATACATATAAAGCCCCAAGAGACGCAGAGTGGAGAGCTGTTGCCAAGTCAGTTAGAGAGGTCTACCACGGTGTTGTGACTTACGCCGCCAACCACGGAGGCGAGGAGACTAACAAGACATGGTGGGACGTCGTCGACATCATTGGAGTTGATGCATACTATCCCCTCGTGCCAGAGAACCCCAACGCCACCCTGGCCGACATGGTGGAGTACTGGAAGATCATCATGTACAAGGGTATCAACAATGGCGAGGAGGAGATGTCCACCAGCTTGTACAACCTCACCGTCTTCTGGAAGAAGCCAATGATCTTCACCGAGCTTGGCTACTGCTCTGGCCAATGTGTCACCGGTCCAGGCATTAACCTCGGCCTACAAGACGAACAATTCGAATCCGTATTCCAAGCCTTTGCTGACATCCCCTGGTTTGAGGGTGTTGTAAGTATCCAATTCATTCACTCGCCGGAACTATTCCAATCACTCAATCACTCACTTGATCAATCAATTAATCAAACAACTTTTAGCATTGGTGGAACTGGGTCACTGATCCAGCATTTGGAGGTGATGGAAACTGGTGTATGTCTCCACAGTTCAAGCCAGTTGAGATGCTCCTGCACTGGCAGTATGGTTCGCTCTATGAGCCAATCCGTCCAAGCTACCCACCAGTCTGCCCATGCATTTTGTAATACAGTTGAATGCGTTCAATCAATGTTATAAATACATTCCTGAATAGTATTGTCGAAAGGGCCGGGGAAGTGGGTTGGGTCCATTATGGATTGCCATTCCGAACCATCGCTTGTCCAAAGACGAAGAGGGCGAGGGAAGTTGGGGTTGGGGGTTGGGTTTGTCAGATTGAAAGGAAGTTCCAAAAAGCTAAAATTAATGTTTATTTTGAATTATTATTGTGGAGGGAAGGTTGTATGAAACACACAATTTAGCTTGTCATTCATTCACACAACACTCTCGCACACACACATACACTCGCAAACACATACACATACACACACACACACACACATACACACACCCGACCTTCAGAGCAACTAATATAAGCGAGCGAAGTCGAGGCTAGTGTTGACACATTTCAGCCCGCCCATTCATATAATATACATACATTACATTCATTTATAAAACTATAAAGAGAATAGAGAGATATATATAAAGTCAAGTGCAGCCGACAGAGGGCCAAAGAGAGAGAAGAGAGAAAGAGAGAGATAGCCTAGGCTCACTTTAACTCATTCACTCACTCACTCACTCACTTACTCACTGATTGATTGATTGATTGATGCGTGATACAACAACAACAATTACTATTACTTAATCATCATCATCACATCAATCATTGTAAGCCAATCATTGTGTTTGACACAACAATGATGAGCTTGCTCAAGAAGAAATCAAAGTCAGGTAGGTACTTGCTATGTTGGTGAAATGATGATACAGCCCATTCTAACACATTCACATCACAACAACAAACAGAGGACTGGGACATCAAGAAGAGTTCATCCTCTGGCAATGGTGTAAAGAAGGAGAAAGAGAGCAATGGAGTCAAGAAGGAGAAGGAGAGCAGTGGCAGTGGCAGTGGCAGTGGCGCAGTCAAGAAAGAGAAGGAGAGCAGCAGTGGCAGCACCAGCAGTGTGAAGAAAGAGAAAGAGAAGGAGAGCAATGTCAAGAGGGAGAAGGACAGTAAGTCATCTGTATCGCCAAAGACAAAGCGTGAGAAGGATGAGAGAGAGTCCAGCAGCAGCAGCAGTAAGGACAAGTCGACCAAGGTCAAGAAGGAAGAAAAGTCCTCCTCATCTTCGTCGTCTTCATCATCAAGCAGCAAGAAAGAGAAGGGATTAGTGCCTGGCTCCAACTTCAAATATGGACAGACGGTGTATGGTCGCATGACTGGATACCCACTCTGGCCAGCAAGGATACACAACCCAGACAAGTCGATCTCAAGCGAGGTCAAGAGAGCACAACCAAAGAATCAAACTGTCGTCCTACTACACTTCTTCTCAAGCAATGATTAGTGAGTATTTGTTGTCGATCATCATGATGTTGATCAATCACTAACAATCAATCAAACAAACGAATAGTGCATGGCTACCACCTGATTCAGTGTTTGACTTCAAGGTTACACCAATGAAGAAGAAACCAAAGAATAAGTCATGGCTCAAGGCATACAAGTCAGCGTTGCGATACGTGGGGAACAATGAGGAGTCATGCTCAGAGGATGATTATAGTGATTCTGAGTCCGAGTCTGAGTCAGAGTCATCAGACTCTGGCTCGGTATACAGTGATGATGGCTCTGACATGACCGATGAGACAAGCGACATTGAAGAGGTCACCAACGGTGGTGTGAAAACCAAAGTATCAAAGAGTGAACACACCTCCTCGAGCAAGAAGCCCAGCAGTAGCAGCAGCAGCAGCAGCAAGCCAACGAATACTACACCATCTGGAAAGACCACAGCAAGCAAGCCACCACTTACATCGACACCGCCAATCAATCAGAAGAAGTCTTCGTCTTCGTCGACTAGTCATGGAAGTGATGCCAAATCAAGCAAATCATCGTCTGACAAGAAGGTATCGTCCTCCTCATCGCACAAGTCATCTTCGTCGTCATCATCATCAACACAATCAAGAAAGAAGGTCACTGCAAAGAGAAAGCAGATTGAGGATGATGAGGATTCGGACTCAAGCGAGAGTGATAGCGAGTACAGCAACTCGGGTGACTCTGACTCTGACAGCCTGTCGAGCGGCTTTAGCGAGGACGAGCCTTCCAACACAAAGAGCACACATAAGCGTCTGAAGAAGATGAAGGAGTCAGATAGCAGCGCCAAGAAGCGCACATCGTTGTCCTCGCAAAAGGACAAGGAGAAAGAGAAGGAGAAGATCACGTCCAAGTCAAAGAGCAACGTTGCTCTTAAGTCGCCCGTGGTGGCGTCGTCCAACTCGATGACGACTACGACGACCACTACCACAATAATCAACCGCTCATCGCCTCAGTCGTCGACCAGCAGCAGCGGACATACCATTTCAACAACAACCACGCCATTCACAATCGAGGACACGAAGCCCTACTACAAAGAGCCGCCCCGAACCATCATCCCCACACACCCCAACAAGAAGGCCAGTCCGCAGGGCAACCTCCAGTCGCCCTGGTCCATCCATCCGTCGGACATCAATCGCCCGCCGCCCGCGCAGACGGTGGCACCACCTCCCACCACCCCATCGCACCTCCTGCATCTCACCGAACACGATTTATACAGCACCGACTACTCACCCTACAAGCCTGCCAGCAGCACCTTCTCTCCCAGCCTCACATCATCCACACCTGCCGGCAAGTACGACGACTACTACTACAGCCAATACTCGACGCCCTACAAGTCGGCCAGCAGCACGCAAGACCTCATCCCGTCCAAGCTGGACGGCCTTGGCCTTGGCTATCCAAAACTGCCGGCCTCTACCTACCCAGCGCTGGGCCAGACGCCGTCCAAGCTTGACCATCCGGGCCCCTATGGCATGCCTCCCGAGGCCAGACGCTCGCCTCCACCCGGCTACCTTGACGACGATCGCAGGTACCGACCACACTACCCACCAAGAGACAAGGACGGTCCTTATGGACCACCTCCTCCACCACGCAGTGGCGGAAGAATCGATGACTATGGCCCACCTCTCGGACCACCCCCACCAGCCTACGACCGAATGGATTACGTTGGCGATCGCGGCAGCCGAGACAGATACATGCCTCCGGCAGCAAGCTACAAGCGAGCGCCAGACTACTATGATCGCCCACCACCTCCCCGCGACTATGGCAGACCGCCATCGTGGGACAGGGAGAGAGAGTGGGAGCGCGAGAGAGACAGGAGGAACTGGGAGATGGACAGACGAGAGCTGGACCGCAGAGAGCTAGACAGGAGAGACTTTGAACGCGACAGAGACTGGGACAGAGACAGATACAGAGACTGGGAGTTTGATCGAGACAGAGATAGAGACAGACGTGACTTCCCAAGAGACAGGCCACCTCCTCCCCGCGGCGGCGGCGGTGGTGGTAGCGGTGGCGGTGGCGGTGGTGACTACAACAACAGACCACCTCCTCCTCAACAACAAGCACCACCAACATCAATGTCCAACAACCCTCCAGTTGCCACTGGCGAGTTGTCTTATCCATTATCCGATAAGACCAGTAGTGTAACAAAAGAGAGCAAGTGGGACAAGGGTGTGATGAGAGGAGGACAAGGTAGTAGTAGCAGCAGCAATTACAGTAGTAATAATACAAATGGCAATGGCAATGGCAGCAGCAGCGGCAACAGCGGCAGCGGCAACAGTAGCAACAACAGTAACAGTAACATTACAACGGGAGCACCAATGTCATCCTCCACAGCACCGTAGAACATATAGATTAATTCATTCATTCATGTGGACGCCCCTTTGGCCAAGTCCTACCCCTAATAAACTAGAAGGGATGTTGATCAACCTTCCCTGCCCACCGTACCCCCAACATGACAACACTCATATTAAAGACGAGTATATCTGTGTAGTGGTGTGTGTCGTCTTCCATCTCGAGTTTGTTGTCTGTGTGTGTGAGTGAGTGTGTCCTAGTATGGTAAACCCTGGATTCGTACATCTGTCCATCCATCGATCCAGGCCAACACTACTTTTAAGATAGATATCAAAGCCAGGAGATGGGAATTCAAAGTATCTTTATAACATTATAATTATTATTATTATCATCATTATATTATAATATAATTATTTTATTTATAAATATAATTAATAATGTCCACAATGACAGCAGAGAAGTATGGAGCCAAACAACACTTGGAGAAGAGGTTGATATATGACTTTACAGAATACTTTAATAATCCAGATATGTCTGATGTTACCATTATTGCCAATGGTCAAGAACTATTCACCTCCAACAACAACAATAATAATAATAATAATATTAATGCTCAAGGTACTTTGGTTATTGGAGATAATAATAATCAGGAACAAAATGATGAGGATGAAGATGATGGTACAGAATCATTCTATGCACATAGATTTGTATTATCAGCAAGATCATCTGTTATCAAAAAGATGTTGGCTAGTCCTATGATGGAGAGTAATCTTAGCATCATTGTAATGCAATATCATAGTGATACTGTACGATCAATACTCAAATACCTCTACACAGGGGCGGTTGAATTGCTGCCCAACAACGTACTCGACATCCTAGCTGCAGCCGACTATTATGACTTGGAAGATCTGAAAGAGGTAGGTACATCATTGATTGATCGATCGATAAGACTGTGTATTAACATCTGTATGTAGCATTGTGGATGGTACTCAATCAGGATATGCATGGAGGGTAGTAGTGAGATTGATATTTGTAAGATACTGTATGCTGCAGAGAATTATAGATTGGAGAGTATCAAGTTGTTCTGTTTCGAGTTCATTACACAACATTCAATGGATATATTGCTGTCCTCACCAAATTGGCATCTGTTAACTGAGGAATCTGTTATTGCAATACTTCAACTTGAGAGTCTACGTGTGCCAGAGGTCGAGATCTTTGATTCCCTTGTACGTTGGGCCAAGAGACAATACTCCATCCTCATAGAGATCACTGGTACAGACATTGATGAGCGTGAGTTCCTCATGAAGAAGTTAGAGAAGCCACTCGATGTAAGTTATCCGCATATCAAATGATACCGGAAGATTCCACTCACACTTACGTTCCATCAATGAATAGTGTATAAGGTTCGCTAGTATGTCACCTTTTCAATTGATCAATCATATTGAGAAGAGTGGATTGGTCAACAAGGATATAATGTTCGAGGCTTATAGGTACTTGGCAACAAAGGAGGAACCAAGTAGGAACCAGATGTGTAGACTTAGACAGGGCGTGAGAGACTTTAAGTTCAATCATCTGGGCGATAGCAAGGGAGTGTTCCACTACTTTGGTACGATGGAGGATACCGAGTCCTACGAGTCACCAGCTCTGAGGAAGATCGTCCGAGTGACCAGCTCCGAGATGAGCATTGGATATCCACATACATTGATCAACAGGACTCCGACCAATATGTACACTGACAAGTCGGTCAATGCTCACTTCACTGTCGACCTGGGCAGGAAGTATGTCCTCTGTCCAAACTTCTACTCTATGCGCTATGGTGGAGACAGTCAGGGATCAATCTATGCGGCACCCAAGAATTGGCAGATGAAGGGATCTTTGGATGGTGTGCAATGGGACGTGTTGGTCGATCACAAAGATGACCTGGAGCTGAAACACGGATATAGTATTGGAGGGTGGCCAGTCCATGCCATCCACTCATACCGATATCTACGTATTCAAATGACTGGACCCAATCAACGTGATGGTTCTGAACTATGTGTATGTTGTTTCGAGGTCTATGGCAGATTGGTCAAGTTGGAGGACGATTGATTTCATTGGATCAATAAACTGAACTTCTCTTGATTGATGTTTTTGTCATTGTTGAATTCTTGGAAGTTGAAACGTCGGGAATGAAGTATCTTCAGCTTTGGAATAAGGGTCATTTGTTTGCAAAGTGAGTTTGTATGTTATATTGTATATATATATATTGTATCCTAGGATGGAGTGATATGAACAAAGTTAATAGACATAATGTCAAATGTAAATCAACAACAACAACAACAACAACAACTTCAACAACAACAGATGAATGGGGAGATTAGCTTTGACTTTGATTTCACTACTTATGATGTTCCGGTACCTGTAGCCGCTGCAGTTTCAACTGTCTTTCCTTTGAAAACAACTACAACTACAACTACAACTACCACAACAACTACAACTTCAACATCATTGATTGATGATAAATCATTACAATTTTCATTCAGTTTAAGTAGTCCTCATGCTGCTGGAGGTGGCATTGGTATTGGTATTGGTGGACAGATGGCCCAACAACAACAACAAGGTGGAGGTAATACTTCATTGTTATTATCATCACCAACATCTTTAAGCCCAACATCATCATCATCATCATCATCAAATGAAGGAGATGAACGTAGATATTATAACAACATCTTTGGAAAGGTCTATCCAAACTTTGATAACGAGTTGAAACAATTACGAGACAACTGTTCATCATTGATAAACCGATACTATCCACATAAATATCAACAACAATCAATGATGGAACAACAGAACTTCGACAATGACAATGATAATAGCAATGATGGTCAAGGTGTAAAGTTCAAGAAGAGGAAGTACTCTCCAATTCCATTTGCTGAACCATTGATACCGTCACCTCCTCCTACCCTTCCGCCTCCAGCTGCTGAGCAATCATTGATGTTGGCCAATCAACGAAGGACCTTGGGTCTGGGGCCTGCCCAGCCATTCAAGCAAACAATGTCATTGCTCAACCGACCCAAGACCACGACGACCACCACCACGCTCACATTGCAAGGAGCTCAAGTTATCAATGTTGGTTGCCCCCTGACACTGAATCGCTTGGTCAAGAAGAAGAAGATTCAAAAGGATATTGAACACCTTCAGAAGATGGAGACGTCACCTCAGGCATTGTTGCCATCACAACAACGTTTGACAACATCATCAGCAGCCTCACAACGATTCGACAGCACTCTTTTACAATACCATCCACCAGTCTCACTCGATGTCCTGCTCGACACGATCAAGGAGTCAGTCGACATTCCCAATCTGCCACCTTACCAAGGCGAGACCAGTGGTGACTCGAGACTACTGCCATTCCAAGTTCGCAAGATCACCCCGGATAACATAGAATGGTTCCGCCAAGTATGGCCAATGCAACGTCAGTTTGCATTCAGTCTGTGTCTGCACTCAAAGCTCGTGGACAAGTTTGATTACCTGATCAATGATGAAGAGACATTCTTTCAACCATCACTCTTTCGTGTTCAAGCCATCGTCATAACATTCCCCAAAGGTCTATCAGTATACCATCTCCCCTTGGCACCTCCAGACAACACCAACAACAATGTCGTTGTTGACAAACACATGTCAACATTCTATGACAACAATTGGAGGTTGGTAAAGTGTGTACTGGAGCATCCAAACAGTTACAAGTACTTGTGGAATGCCAAACCATTGTTAAAGATACTGTTGGCACGTGGCATCAATGTGACGGAAGGACTGATGGACCCCAAGGTCGCAGCCTGGGTCAAGGACACGGACAAATACAAGGACTGTCGACTGGAGCAGCTCAACGAGGAGTTCACCACGCACAAGAGGAAGAGAGCTGGACAGACCGTGGCGCATCGCCTCGCCACTGCACCCGGCTTTGACGGGGCCTACTACACATGCTACTGGACACTCACACTGATGCAGACATTGCTAAAAAGTCTGAGTGTGGAGGTGGCGGGCAAGTCACTAAAGATATTTGTGGACATGGAGATGAAGCTGCTGCCCATCCTGGCGCGAATGGAGTTCATTGGCATTGGCTTTGCCGATGAGTCCTGTCAACAGTCGGTCGATCAGATCAAGCGCAAGTTGGACTACCTCACGTACAAGGCACAGCTGTTGGTGCCAGGCATCAAGGTGGACCTGGACAACAAGGAGCGAATGTCCGAAATATTGTACAACAGATTGAAGCTGACCAAGCCCGACTCGAGGGCCAACAAGAAGGTGAACAAGAGGTATCACAGTACCAATGCGGCCAACCTCGAGTCGATCTCACACGAGCACCCACTGCCAAGCATCTTGTTGGAGCATCGCAAACTGTCACATCACATCAACAACTATGTATCGGAGCTCAAGAAGTATCATTACTTCAATCAACAGACGTCAATGATGCGAATCTACTCGACTATATGTCAGACTGTTGTGCCCACTGGGCGTATCACCATGGTCTTCCCCAATCTACAGTCAATCGCACATCCCTTTGAGTTTCGCAAGGCGCCAGACTTCAACCCGTCGCCAATGTTTAGCAAGAACAGTGAGTCACCTGACGATCTTCCAGACCTGGACAGAGAGGCAGCCAACACACAGTATAGGGTAAGTGTTCATCCTTGTTAGTCAGTTTGTTCTATCACTAACCAATCAATCAATAGAGTCTGGTTGAACAAGAGAAGCAATGTGAGATCCTGGTGGTCAATGTACGCGATTCATTCATTCCAAAGAAGGGCTCATTGTTCCTTGCCGCTGACTATGGTCAGATTGAGTTGAGGATATTGGTATGTTTCGCCTTTCATTTATTCATTCAATCTATCACTGACTTAAATGCATCATTAGGCACACCTCTCCAAGGACCAAAAGTTACTGGAGATATTCAATAGGACAGATGTGGATGTGTTCAGACTGATATCTCATCAAATGTATGTGTACCATGTTGAGACAGTGAATTGATTGATTGAGTGATACTAATATGATGTTATAAGGTCCAACATACCATTGAATGAGATAACAGATGATGATAGATCAATTGCCAAACATCTTTGTTATGGTATCAATTATGGAATGGGAATAAGGAAGTTGGCTCATGATTTGAACACCACTGTCGACAAGGCCAAAGTGGCATTGGCAAAGTTCAAGAAGACATATCAACAGTGAGTATCCACTTGTCCTTCCATGTCTTTGTCTCATTCTAACCATCAATTAATCATACTCAGCTTGACTGATTATTTAGAGTCCATTGCAGTTGATTGTGAACAAAATGGATATGTTATGACACTGTTTGGTAAGTTGATCGATGTATCAATCATTCAATCAAATTACTGACGGACAGACACTTTGCAACAACAGAGAGAAGAAGGAACTTTAGTGCTGTATTTAGTGAAGAGGATCGTGAGAGCGCAAAGAGAAAGGCAAGGAACACTGTGCCACAGGGCACTGCAGCCGATATCATCAAGTTAGCCATGATCAAAATAGAGAAGCAACTAATTGATAGGAAACTGGATGCCAAGATGATACTCCAAATACACGATGAACTCTTGTTTGAAGTGTCCGAGGAATCAATCGATGAGGTGGCCGTAAGTACTAGTACACTTGGCTGCTGTAATGATGACGCCCATCCACTAACATACCCTACCATTGACAAACATAACAAACATGGCAGTCAATAGCCAAGAGTATAATGGAGAATGTTATCCAACTGTCTATTCCGTTGCCTGTCAATATGGAGTGTGGAAGGTGCTGGGGAAGTCTCGTCCCCTATGTTTACCCCTGGAACAAAGGTGGTCGAGGATGAGGAGTACCACCAACAAAGTGACCTCCTAATCAATCTCGTTGCAGGCTCGATAGCGAGCGAGGCTACAACACTGTCGACAGCACGAATCAAATGATTAGGCAACACCTAATTAAACAACAACAAACATACTGTCACCACCAAAACCCAGATAGGATAGAGACGTCGTCGATAGGATAGACTCGACCAAACAAACATGCTAATCAGTCTTGTTCACGGAAATGGAGGAGGAAGACCTTTAACCAAATTCATCCTATCACTCCCGCACTCTTGGGCGATGAGTTGTGAGGTGCAGATGATCCCTGGTTCGGATTGTCTCATCACCCCACTACCTAAACAACCCCTTCCCCCTTCATTCGCTTTTGATCATCAAACAACACTGGTTGTGATCTTGTGGAGTGTGTACATGCTTACCACACTCTACCATCTTCCGTCCAGCATGCTATTTATATGTCACATTCTCAGTTTAGTGGTGTGGCAGGCGCGGTAACATCTTGTTTGAACTCTGGATGAAGCTGAAGTTGAAGTTGAATGAAGTGCCGCCACCCTTAAACAGCCTACCCCTCCACATACATACACACAGAAGTAGTAACATCCTCGCCATTGATTCTCATTGGTTGCGCAAAGTACATCCGGCTATTAACACCATTCATACATACATAGATGTACATTGTTATAACTTCAATCAATCAATAAAAATACTTAATCATAGACTGCACCCGGCTAGCTAGCCACTCACTATCATCACATCACATCAATTCACACATTGACATACATTGGTATTGGCATTGATAATTCAACAACTAGCACCTGCCACCTCCCATCTCTGCCCAGCCATCCACATCATCCTGGCCATCAACAACCTCTAACTCGCATTCCCATCAATCCGCCAACTTCACTTCATTTCAAGTTTAAGTGACTCGTTGGACAGTAGCACGCTCACACCTTTGGATCGATCATCAACATTACACTTGCCTCCTCTACTACTATCTCCGCCTTCCACATACCCCAGCCCAGCCTGCGCCACATCCAACATCAGTGCGCTCTTGTACAGATACACACTCTATCACTCCATCAATCAATCAATCAATCAAACAACCTAATTTAGTTCAATTCCATTCCACGTTCCAATCATTCAAACCAATCCTATTGGTTAGTCCCAAAGTGTAGTAGTATTCAAGCAACATAACATCCATCACAACACATCACATCACATCACATCCATCAACATTCCGTCAACCTTCACCAACCAAACAAAGCGTACTATTACGTAGCTATATGCAATTGCATTGTTTGTTGGGATAGTAGTCAACATAGTCCAACCTCAACTTGGCCGACCGAGTGAGCGCATCAATCATCCAACCAATCAACCAATCATTTAATTAATCAATCAATCAATCAATCAATCTTATATATTATTGTACATAGATATATATATATTACACAACTAAACATGGAACTAGAGATATTCGACGATGACCTGGATGCTGAGGGAATGATGAAGATATTAGTTATTGGTGGCGTTAATAATGGTAAGACATCAATAATAAGTAAAGCATGTTATAATAATATGGAGAGTGAGAAGACTATAAATACTGTATGTATCTCATCCTCCTCCATTTCCAAGATTGTCCAATTCCAAGTTGTATGACTAACTTGATTAATCAATCAAACTAGATTGGAGTTGGATTCCACACCAAGAAGATACAGATGGATTCCAAACAGATAAGAATGTGCTTCTGGGATTTCTCAGGGCAAGACAGGTTCCTTTGTTTGACAAGGGTATGTTTCCAGTCAAGTGATCAATCAAATTCTTCCACTCACACTCACTCTATCAATCAAAAATACAGTGTTACTTTAATGAAGCCAATGCAGCCATTGTAGTCACTGATGCCTCGAGGCCAAACAGTCTGGAGCTGGCACTCAACTGGAAGCGAGAGCTTGATAACAACTTTGAATATAAAATACCAACATTCTTATTCGCTAACAAGGTATGTTCCATGATTAATTGACCATCCATCGATTACCATGGTACTAACTAACATCATACTTAGTACGACTTGATAAAGGATGAGCCAACTTATACAGAACAACAACTCAATCAGATTACAAGAGATAATGGATTTGATAAGTGGGCGTATACATCTGCCAAGGATGGACATGGTATAGAGGATGCAATAGAGGAACTTGTAAGACAGACTATGAAAGAGTCTTATCACCATGTTCGTAGACTTAGACATGCATCAATGCGGGACTCTTTCAAACTGTCCAGTGGTTCACCAATAATGCCGCCAACAGTATTATTGGGCGCAGGTGGAGGTGGTCATGGGGTAGCATCGGAAAAGTGCCAGTTGCCCAAGGAGAAGAAGAGATGTTGTTCATGACATCCATCGACCTCACCATTCATCCATTATTTATATACATATTAAACTACCTTTGGCGAGGCCTTTGCCTTTACAAATGTCGCGAACTTCATCACCCCACCCCACAAGCACCACCTGTTCGGGGCTTGCGCTTAATTAATTGTGAAGTTGGATTGACGACGCGCAATCTGAATGTCAACTCGCGACCAAGAAGACAGAACATGTAATTGTTTGTTGTTATTATCACTTATCACTTATCACTTATACACATTACATTATAAATCATCATTGATAGTTATTAATTAATATATACACATATAATGTTATCATTGTCGTTAAAGACAAGATCACTTGCGACAGAAGCTGCTGAAGGCTTGGCACGAAGGTCATCAAGTGTTGTTGTTGTACCATTATCATCATCATCACAACAACAACAACAACAACATGTAAAGACACATCAACATCAACATCAATTCAAAAGGATACAACGTGCTTCAAAGTTAAAGAATGACAATAATTCACATAGGTTGAGACAACATCAACAGCCACAACCAGACAGATATGGAATGCTGAAACAAGGGCATCAACTAATGACATGGCAAGAACGACATGCATTGAACAATATTACACAATCATATCAAACAACAGTCGCGTCGTCTCAGATGATTCAATCAAGGAGTTATGTCACTTCAAGAATGGATGCGATAAGGGATGCTGATGAGCGTCCAAAGGATGAGCAGACACAAGAGATACTTTATAAAGAGCTGATGGATATGGGAGATTATGATACGTATGTAATGTAGCATGCTCGCTCGCTGGGACTATCCAACTCACCCAATCACAATCACAGGATCATACAACGATTTGAATCATTGGCATATGCATCGAATGAGGAGTGCGTTAGATATTACTTCCAGGCATTGGTCTACTCAAAGAAGATGAATAGAGCAAACTTGTCATTGGTGGATAAGCAGGCTGGCACATTCGCCATCCACTTTGGTCCATCAGACGACATGGTCCAGCGTATAAGTCAGCAGCCAGTGGTACCACTGATCAAGATCGAAGGACTAGGTGGCAAGCCATCAATGTTTGACCGAATGATCAATCTGTTGATGCTGTCAACACTGGGCGTATTGATCTATTATATGATCTCGGATACTGCACCGGGCACGACCGAGTCATCAGTCGCCAAGGAGCACACTGAAGCATCAAACGCAACAACATTTGGTGACGTAAAGGGCATTGACGATGTAAAGAACGAGTTGATCGAGATTGTCGACTACCTCAAGAACCCAGAAAAGTACGACAAGATTGGAGCCAAACTTCCAAAGGGTATCCTTATGTCTGGCGAGCCTGGCACAGGCAAGACCCTTCTCGCACGTGCCATTGCTGGCGAGGCTGGCGTACCATTCCTCTACACAACCGGATCCAGCTTCGATGAGAAGTTTGTCGGAGTTGGTGCAAAGCGTGTCCGTGACCTATTCGGTATGATTGATTGTTGAACATGATGTTCGCGCACAATCATTCAACTTGTCAACTAACTCCACTCAATCCCCCTCACTCAAACAGAGCTTGCCAAGGCGAAGGAACCATGTATTATCTTTATCGATGAGATTGATGCCGTGGGCAAGTCCAGGAATCAGACAAACTACAGCGACACTCTGTTACAACTCCTTTCAGAGATGGATGGGTAAGTGATGTCCAAAGGGAGAATAATGAATCAATCACTCATTCGCGACCTCCAATCAAACAGATTTGCACAGAACAGTAGGATTATGATCATTGGAGCCACAAACTGTCCGGAAACACTGGACCCAGCCTTGACCAGGCCAGGAAGATTCGATCGAATCATAGCTGTACCAATACCCGATTTCAAAGGAAGGAAAGATGTAAGAGACAGCCATTGCCTTCACTCCATGCCATGCCAGGTCTAACATCCATCATTCAATCATTATCTAGATTCTTGAGTACTACCTTTCAAAGGTCATTCACAACAAGGCAGAGATCAACTCTGATAAGATTGCCAGAGCTACACCTGGATTCACAGGTGCTGATCTATCAAACTTGATAAACACTGCAGCCATCAAGGCTGTGTTGCATGGACAGGAGGAGGTGTCACTCAAGCTGATCGACGAAGCCAGAGACGACATTTTGATGGGCCGAGCCAGGAAGACATCAATAATGAGTGAGACCACAAGGAAGAACACAGCATACCATGAGGCCGGCCACGCCTTGGTAGCTGCAATGACTGACAGTGCCGATCCAATTCACAAGGCCACCATTATTCAACGTGGCCATGCGCTGGGAATGGTGAGCCAGTTGCCCGAAACCGATCATCTGCAGTACACTCGCAAGCAAATGATGGCACGACTGGCTATATGTCTGGCGGGCAGAGCTGCCGAAGAGATCTTCTTTGGCCACGACAATGTAACCAGTGGCGCCAGCTCCGACTTCCAGCAGGCGTCCAATCTAGCCTTCTCCATGATCACCAAATGGGGAATGTCCGACAAGTTGGGCTACACCTATCATCAAGAGAAAATGTCACCCGAAGTCATGAACATTGTAGATAATGAAGTTAAGAGTCTTTTGGATGTAAGTACCTTCATTCAATCCATTCCATCCCATCTCATTCATATTACTAACCATCATATCAATAGAAACAATACAAGTATGCAAAGAATCTTATTATGAGTAACAGAGATAAGATGGACTCTTTGGTGAAGGAGTTGTTGGACAAGGAGACATTGACTGGAGAGGAGATACTTGATATCTTGGGTGTAGAGGGCAAGCCATCTTCATTGATCAAATAAAATCACAACCTATATTATATATACTTGCGCAAACATCAAAGTACTACTGCTACTTGCCTTTCGAATCATGTCCGTTGATCTAGACTAGAGTGGCGCCACTCATCCAGCCCCGCCGCCGTCGCGACTAGTTAGTCTTGGGTCGCGACTGTTCTCCAAAGACTTCAAGAACAACTACCACTAACTCACACATAAATAGGACTCACTATCCACAAACACAAGCCTGGACATTCGTTTGAGATCTCCGCATTATCTCAGTGTGAGTGTGTACATACAATGCAACCACCAAGAACTCGACCCGACCAACTTACCCCTCCTCCCCACAACCACCAACCCGACTTTACATCTTAATTAGGTAGGACTTTTGGGGATCTGCCTTAATTTGTGTTCAAGATGGGAGAGAGAGAGAGAGAAGGAAAGGTAGTGCTGTGCATAGGGTCCCAAAGACGAGAGTTCTTGAGGTAGTTGCATTCAACTAATCCTCACTCACTCACATACACACAAACCCAGACAAGTAGCATTGTTGGTCAATGGTTTGAATATATCATTTCAAGGTGTGAATTGAACTTTAGAAGAAGAAGAGACTGACAAACATACAAACAAACAGACACACACAGTTAGACAGACAGACAGAGATAAGTGAATCAAAAAAAGAAGTAGGACATCAATACTTTGTTATTGTTTTGTTGAACCAATCAATCATTACAATCTTTAGTTTCCATCCTTCCATCCATCTATCCATCTTCATTAGCGATATCGTTAGTTAATAGGTATTATAATATTGGTCATTAATTATTGTCCTTTCACATCAGCCATTCATTCCATCCTTGTCAAACAAACACACACTTCAACAACAAACCTAACTTTCATTTCCATTCACACACTTGTCCAACCGACAAACACAAACACACTCGGCCTCTACTATTCATTCACACACAAAGTCACACACATATCATGTGTTGATCATGTCATACCCATCCATCCATCATCTTAGTACTAAGACGCCAATCTAAATGGTTGATACGTCCCACCAATCAAGTCTGACGACGATGTTATTCAATGCCATGGCAGGGGGCAGCATGGCTAACCAACTGCCACCCACTCACCCACTCACCCACCCTCGTGCCTCTCCATCTCAAATCAAGTATCGACATCTAACCAACCTCTTAATTCTATCTAATCTTAGAGAGTCGCAACGTGATTGATTGATTGCTACACAAGATCTCACATCTTCAACTGGACGTTCATACATTCTTTCAATCATTCAATCATTCAATCAACAATTCAATCAACAATTCAATCATCATACATTGAGATAAGATAGATAGATATATTATATAATATCAACTCAATCAATTATACTTAGTTATAACATTAGTTGGATTTGATTTGGAAGTAGTTCGAGTTGTCTTGACATTAGTTGTGACCTCCTCGAATTGCTCATTCATTCAGATCCTTGGACACAGACGACAATCTTGGATCCTCCAAAGTACACACAAGGCACAGCCAACTGGAAACTTGCCCTCCGGAAACTGTTTGCTTTCCCATTGGGTCTAAGTAGTAGTAGTAATAATAATAACGCCAGCAGCAGTAATAATAACAGCAGTAGTAGCGGCAACTTTAGTAGTAGCGGAAGTAGACAACTTCATTCATCGGCCGGTGCAAGCGGATCTGCTACCACCCCGATATCCACACCGCCCCTCCAGCCAAGGCTAACGCACTCGGCATCAAATCTTGATAACTCCGCCGGCGCCACCACAAACCGCTCAGTATCAGGCACGGGCGCACCACCCAGCTCACCATCGACTACCGCTGCGGCACCACCAACAACAAAAACAACAACGTTCTCCCCAGGCGACTCAAACAAACAGAAGCGTAGAAGAATGGGCTACTATAACAATGGCGAACAACGCGACTCCAAGCAACAGTCATATCACAAGCCGCGACATCCCGACATCAACAGGGACAGCGGTAGCGGAGACCGCAGGATGGACTACAAAGTGGAGACGGCCACAGAGATTGAGAATGAGGCGGCGCTCACCGGGAGCAGCAGCAGTCGCGACCTGTGCGACCTCATTGACGACTCCAAGGTCAGCTCCATCTGCTCAATCCTCTCCGAAGAGAACTGGATCGCCATCCTTCAACACCTTGACCACGTATCACTCCTATCCCTCTCCGAGACTTGTTACTCATTCTACCGTTTGGCCAATGATAAGTTCATTTGGTATGTATCCAATGATCGCCAGTCCACACACGCGCGTCCATGGAATGAGGACTAACACACCGTCATTCATTCAATTAGGCAACAACTATTGAAGGAAGAGAGGAAGAAGGTGTTGATACTGCCACCCAACTCTGACTTGACCAATCCAAAGTTAATCTATATGAATAGACGTGATTATGATACGATCACTGAAGCATTGGCCGCTTTGAGTGAGGGGACGAGAGAGACGATGCTCATCGGACCAGGCCTCTACAAGGAGAACATCATAATTGACAAGCCCGTGGACATTATTGGCGAGGGCATCAACACGGACGTGGTGATTGAGTCGGCCTCGGCAAACACCGTCTCTATCTCGGCACCCTACGGCTCAATAACCAACCTGTCTATGCGCCAGACCGGGCACTGGTTCTGCATTGACATTGAGAAGGGCGGCTTCACAATCAGCAAGTGTGACATCACCAACACCACCTTGAGCGCCGTCAAGATTGGCCGACACGCCACCCCCTGGATCACGGACAACATCGTGCACGACTGCAAGGAGGCTGGAATTGCCATCTTTGGTGGTGAGGGCACGATCATTGGCAACCGATTCACTCGCAATCGCTATGGCTCCATTGAGATCGTCTATTCAACGGCCAAGCCCACTATCAAGCTCAACAGAATATATCGCAACAAGGGCTACGGCATCCACATACATACGAGCGCCAGCGCCATCATCACGGAGAACATCATCGAAGAGAACGAGAGCGATGGCATCAGCTGCTGGGGCGGCGCCACACCCACCGTGTCCAACAACAAGATCTGCAACAACCTGGAGGACGGCGTTTACATCCACGAGGACGGCAAGGGCGTGTTTGAGCACAACCAGATCTACGGCCAGAAGCTGGACGGCATCAGGATATCCAAGTCCAATCCACAGATCAACAACAATACCATCCATCACAACCAGGGCGATGGCATCAGATTGGTGATCAAGGCCAATCCGATCATCTCGGAGAATCACATCTGTGAGAACAAGCGTGTTGGCATACATATCTATCGCGAGGGCATGGGTATCATCTCCAACAACTACATCTACGGCAACAAGAACGCTGGCATGCAAGTCTACTCAAGATCAAACGCCACAATATGTAATAATAGAATCGTACAGAATAGATGCTCTGGCATCTATGTATCGGACCATGCGATTGTAAATATCAAGGTAAGTACAATACTCAAACACGATAGATTGATTGAATGAATAAGTGGCTAACTCGACCCCCCTTCCAATGGAACCATTCCAAAGTCCAATGAAATATCCAACAATGGTGAGGTTGGAGTGGAGATTGTATCTGGATCAAGGGCACTTTGCTTTGACAACAATATCATTAATAGGAACTGGGAGGCTGGCCTGGCGTATTACTCAGACTCCAAGCCAATGGGATTCGAAGCCAACAACACGTTTACAAACAATGGTCCACATGGCAACCAGCAATTCATCCTGCGACAGGGCAGAGACATCACGTCGATCCACGCCGGCAACAAGAATAGGACAAAGAGCCCTGATGAGATGGAGCCCATATCATTCCTGGTGGAGAACGCGCTGCAGGTTAACCAATGCACACTGTCCTTCACGAGGGAGTACTACCACGCTCAGTATTGGTATGAGTGCAAGACTTGCACGGAGCCGCGCAAGATTCTGGGCAAGAGCGAGATTGCTGTATGTGAGGAGTGTGCTAAGAAGTGCCATGCTGGACACGATATTGGCGTGCGCAAGTACGGTCACTTCTATTGTGACTGTGGTCAGCAGGTGGTGTCCCCATGCAAGTGTATCTCAAGTGACAACTTCCCCGAGCCCATGAACAGCAACACCAACATCACCCAAAGCAATCATAATCATGAGTTGGTTGCAATCAATTGTAAACAATTTGGACCTGATGACAAATCATACAAGGTGAAATAATATTAAATATATTAAATAATAATAATTAATTATCAAACCATGACAATCCCAAATTAATATAATTATTTAATATCTTGTTGTTTAACTTATACATTATGTTGCAACTTCATTAAATAATATCATAATATCAGTTGGATGATGCTACGACCCATGAACATGGCGTAGAGGTGATCTTAAAATCCCCTGAGCCAGGGTCATAAACCATGAGAAGGCAGTTGATCGATTACTACACCAATCATCCAACTTAAACGACAGATCAATTGAATAGATCAACCAATTATCATTTGCCAAAGGTCATTGGAATAAGGTTCCATATCCAGCCTCATGTGCCCCACCCATCTGTTTACATCCACGAAAAGACTCTTCTAGAGAATCAAAAAAAAAAAAGATCCAACTCCCACACGTTTTAAAACAAAAATCAACCTTTAGTATCCCGTCCGGGTGTTGTCCAAAGCCAAGGCAAGATCAAGCATGGGGTAGGGCCTTTGTTCAAGATTGAAGTCCTTTGAACGGGATCTATTTCCTATTTCAACCGGTTGAAATTACAGACAACCTAACATCCAATGAATTTAATGATCTTTCGTTGAACGTCGTCTGAATTTTTAATATCATTTCATATATTAATTCATTAATTGGCTTCATTCAAACTCTATATTACTATTACTACTACTACTAATTGTAAATAATAACTTTACCTTACTCCATCACAATAACAATGTCAATTCCATCATATGCTGGAAATCATTCATTGAATATACTTGTCCTCGTATTTTATATAATTCGTTTAATTACATTAGTAATAGAGTTTACATTATGTGCACCTCAACTCTTTCTAGAATGTCGATATTACTGGAGGAAGAGGATGATGCCTAGTGTTCGTGTATTTATTTTAATGGGTCTAACATTCTTCTCAATAAGTAAGTTTAACATATCCTCATTCATTGACTTCCAACAAAGATTAACATTCAATCAATTAATTATAGGTCGTTTCATTTTCTGTATAATCTATCTTGTATATAATAATTATGAATTCACTAATCATGGTATCCAATATACCTCATTATGCTCAACAGTAAGTATCTACAATACTGAATCAATTCTTTTTGGAATAATTCCACTCACTGATTCAATCTCTCTATCAATCTTATTGAATTAGTTCTTCGCATTCCAAGTTTATATATTTATCGGTTGTTTCTGGATGATGTTGTTATATACATTCTTCATCTCTGAATCAATTAGGATGGAGAATCAAAAAAGAATATTATATCTTTCATTCTTTTTATGGACATTATCATTGATATTCCATGTTTTATACATATTCCTAAGGAGGTTCGTCCTGGACAAGAGAATGGTCAGCCTCTACTACACCATTGGATTCATGAGTTTCATTGGAGCCGGTGGTATCCTATACCTTATCAACGGTCTAATACTCAGATATCAACTAAAGAAGCATGTAAAGGAAATTGGCGCACAGAACAAGATGCAATCTTTGGACTCCATGATCACCAAGATCAAGTACCTGGCCGTTGTAATCTTCCTTATCGTGGTCCTACTCAACTCGCGTGCTCTACTATTCTACATGTTCAACGTGGCCTACTCTAGCCAGTATCGCCACCTCCACTCATTCATCACATTCCTGGCAGAGCTGGCCACTGGTGTGCTGGTGATGAATGCCATTGCCGACGAGCCAATCAACTATCTAAAGTTCAAGAGGATTGTTGTCACCAAGCTCGAGCTGGGCACAAAGCCATCCAAGGACAATGACAACTCGCTTGCGCGTCGCGATGCCATGGGCTTTAGCTCATATGCCGAAGAAGTAATGTCCAAGGCTGCGCCAGAGATCTCCTTTGCCGTGTCGGAGGACCGTATCCACGTCGATCCATAAACATATATTATTTAATCTCTCCAACGTTGTTATTATTTTGGCTTGCTAGTCGTTCTTCTTGAGAGTTGGAGCAGTCTCATTGCTCTGTCCTGTACATCCTGGTTGGTGAATGTTGATACTTTTGGCTTGTTATCAATGTAATTTGGTCTAAAGGGTGGCTGTTCTTGGGCTGATGATGGTTTTTGAGTAGGAGTTGTTGATGTTTGATTGAATGATGATGATGATAATGATTGGCGTGGTGATGTTGAAGTTGGACGTTGACGAGGTTTTGTTTGAGATCGATCAAATGTCATGTCATCATCATGTTTGCCGCCATCATTGCCAGTTTGTTGTTGACGTCGAGCTTGTGGGCGAGGTGTGCCAGCAGCAGGCTGGATGTGATCATCACGATCATGTGTGCGAGTGCGAGTGCGAGCACGAGCGCCAAGACTTGGATTTTTAAGCTTCTTGTTGTACTCCTGATCTTTGAGTCGCTCAGCTGATGGCGTCCACTTTGACTTGATGATCCTGCTGATGGCCTCCAGTGACATTGAGAACTGCTTGGCCAGTGCGGGCGCAGTGTACACGTCCGGGTCCTGCTTGTGCAACTCTTTAATCTCGTCCATGACCTTGCGTGACATCTTCTTGGGTGGGTCCCATGCACCAAACGTATTCTTCATGTGTATCTTGTGCAGCACTGAGTTAGCCTTGTCCTTGTACTTCTCCTTGATGATCGCCTCCAAGTTCTGTTGTCGTCTCCTCTTGTCTTCGGCCGTGAGCTCAGAGTCCTCGTCCTGGGTCTTTTTCATCTTTCGTTGTGCGATCGATGCCTTGCTATCGTCTGCAAACACATAGTCCTCCATGCCCTCCATGCCATACTTGTCATACATCCTATCGTGCTCCAATGCGTTTTGCAAGTCCTTCTCTTCGTCAAACTCATAAGCTTGGTCATCCTCGCCATCGACCATTTCAGCCTCGCCAATGTTGTCATCATCATCAACACCATCTTCTTCGTTGTCTTGCAGTTCCAGGTCATCCTCATCACCCTCCTCCAACTCGTCCAGCTCTGCTTCTGCTTCTTCTAGATCCTCTACTTCATTATCTCCATCCTCTTCACCAAGTTGAAGGTTATCACGCTCCACGTCCTCATACTCATCGTCATAGTCCTCGTGGTCCRCCCACCAGTCCAATCTCTTCGTCCTCCTCCTCGACATGATCCTCAGCAGTGATCGCAACTTCTTTTTCTCTTTGTTTCTTTGTTGATGGTGATGCTGTTGCTGCTGTGTCTGTGTCTGATGTAGCTGATGATGTGATAGACTTCTTTGGTTTCCTCGCGTTTGCCAAGTCCTCCATCATTCTTAACACCTCTTGTTTGGTTTCATTGTTTGTTGTTGACACTGTGAATGATACATCATTGACAAATGTATTGGAAGCGGATGGATCTACTTCTCCTGCCTTTACTGGACCTCCTTTTTTCTTCTTTGTCGTCGTAGTAGTACTCTTTGATGATGTTGAGTACTGTTGTTTAAACACAACAATTGGAAATCTACAAGCTAGTACTTGTTTAGAAGTACCAGATGTAAATCTTAGTATTCTAAGCATTATATTATATACCTATGTATATGTAATGCTAAGTTGATTGATTGATTGAATAAATGAATGATTGGTTGAATGCCAAATTAAGACGAAAGATTCGTTTGAATTGAACAATCCCATAAATTAATTTTTAAAGTTGTCAACAAGTAGATAATGAATATTGTCAATCATTGGAAACGAAGAGTCTTTTACATCTATATATTCAATGTCATTGACAACCTCATCCAAGAGGCCCAAGGTCAACGAGTAATGAAGAAGGTAAATGCTGTAAAGGAACGATCACCAACAGTTCCGTGGATTCCAAACAGAGTTGAACAACTCCAGAATATACGTACAATATTAATGGATGTTGATGATGAGGACCAAATTCAACCTAACAACTTGTTTATTACAACCTCCAGCAATACCTTCAAATTGTTCAGAACCTCGATGATAATGATGATGAGGACTTGTCTACCCTGCCAACTCGATATGTCCTTGAGGAGAATGTACCAATTGAGCGTTATCTCAATTACAAGAAAGGTGATCCCAAAGTCAAACTACAATATGACAATGGAACTGTGTACATCACCCAACTCTACCCATCCATAGTTCACGGGCCCATCGCATCACGGATCAGAGATGACTTAACAGCAGGGGGTCGCCTTCATTTAATAGGAGAACAATGCAGGATGATTGATATTTCCCCAACATCTGTTATATGCCAGACAACTGTGTTGTGCCACTAGATCGTCCTGATCCTGTTCCTCATAAAGGCAACCTCTTGCCCTCCAACCCAGATTGGGCACCATTCCCGACAGTCATCGTCGAAGTTGGAGTTCACTACACATCACATGAACTCCTCCATCAAAGAGCTGTCAACTATCTTCGAGCAACCACAGACATTCAGATCGTTATATGTCTGACTCTTCCCTCGATATCCAAACCAGAATCATCCCGGTGGACCTGTTGATGAACATGATGTGCCTCTTCAAACAACTTTCTGTGCACTGGCATTCATGTATCGAAGAGCAGCTGGACTAGATCCCATCAGACCAACTCATGTTGTATCATTTGGAACGAGACCACTTGTCCATGGAGGACCAACTATCTACTTCTTCACAGCACTTGGAGTTCCACAGGAGTCAATCATGGGCTACAAACATCCAATTGCTGACAACCCATACTTTGCACATCCTGTGGTGCAAGGTGTAAATCCTCAGCCTCTTCCTCCTCCTGCGCCAGCACCATACATGCTCCAACTCCCAATTGACGAGGTCTTCAATGGCGTACCTGGCCGAACGCCAATTCTTCAGCCAGGTTGACCAGGTGGTATACCACCACCTCAGCCAAATCCAGAAACTCTAGACATTGACTTGATTTCTCTCAGGAACATCATACAGAACAGCAAGCTTTCACTACTAGACTAGACTAGTAGTCTTTCAAGGAATATGATCACAACTGAAACTTGTACATAAATAGCGTTTTTAGAATTATTTGTTGAAGTCATTCATTCTCCAACTTCACATGCGTGCGTTAGATAGATAGAGATAAAGATGTTAACGCAGCAACAACAACAACAAAAACAGTCAACAAGATACCCAAATCATTATTATATTAATAGACCACCTTTTGGAGACGATGTTGTAAAGCTTAGTTGTGAATGTGCCAGAGCATTCCACTTGACAGAGCTCTACTTCTGTACAACATGTCAGAAGTTAAACTGTCGATACTGCTACAAAGACTACATCGACTGTTACTTCTGTCCCAACTGTCTAGATCATGTATCATTAGCTGAGGCAAACCTCTACGGTAACAGGTAAGATTGTTAATGATTGTGATTGAATGATTGAATGATTGATTGATGAATGACTAACACCCTGTGATGTGTAGATGCAAGAAGTGTTATGATTGTCCAAACTGCTTTAGTACTCTTAGTTATCAACAACAGGTGGTTCAACAACAACAGCAGGGTACATCGACTACAACAGCAACAGCAACAACAGAGTCATACTTTTTGAATTGCTCATCTTGCAAGTGGAACTCATTGGACTCACAGGCCAATATTGATGTTCAGATTGGTCGCGTGACAAAGGAGATCACGCCACAACAGACAGAGTACAATAGGATACTGGAGACATTGCAGAAGGAGATGGCCGAGTCTGGCTCGGCCTCGACCAAGGACACACGATCAGTGAACCGTCTGCGAATGGCCATGAAGCAGTTCTTGAATCCACAGATGCAGATGGGCTCATCGATGGGCACACAGTCATCGGCCGCTTCGGCACTGTCACAAGCCGCGGCTAGGGAGGAGCGCTGGGGCGCTAATCGCTCAGTGGCCGCACCACAACCCGCCAACCCAATGCTGCCGCCCGGCATCGGCCTGCTCAACAAGAGCGCTCTAAAGAAGAAGATGGTTGCAGTCACTACCAACGACACGGAGCAGATGATGCAGCAGCGTATTGACTCGCGTCACTTCCACGAGGTCGACCCTAGCGCTGCGGCGGCAGATCAACAGCACGACGCGATACCCTCGGCACTGCTCACAATGACCGACTGCTCTCAGATGAGCAACTTGGAGCAGCGCTTCGTCGTGCTGAACACACAGAGCAACCTCATCAGCGAGCTGGCGCCACAGCACAAGCTGCTGCTGACGCGTCGATCCAAGCGTTGCTGTCGCTGCGACAAGCTGCTAGTCAAGCTGGACATCAACAAGACGGAGCTCAAGCGACAACACTTTGCATTCTCATTCGTGCCTCGCGTCAGCATCGTGCGCGCTGTATGGCGTGCTCAAGACATCTTTGACGTGCACCTGTGTTTCACGAACCCTCTGCACTCATACCTCTACATCTCATTTCCACACGAATATGACTCCAGTGTCATCTCGGTCGATGACAACTCACAAGCCATCGATTATGTCGACCAAACCTACATCAGTGGCGTGCTGGACGATGACAAAGACGTGGCAGCACTCGAGCAACTCAAAGAGAATGAGACACTGCGATATGTCACCGACAGGAAGGACAACAAGGTCACTCTTAGGTTCATGGTTAGAGTTGGATCGCTGCCAGCACCATCCACACCTGCAGCTACCTCAACATCATCTGACGACAACAACAACAATGAGACAGAGACTGCGACAACCACGACAACAACATCCACCATTGTTGTACCATCAACTGAACCATTGGTTGAACAGCTTTCACAGCCATCTACACCATCCTCCAAGTCAGACCTGCCCAGTTCAGTTCCTCCTTTGACAACATCAAAGTATGTAATGTGATTGAGTGTTGCCAAGTATCCATCCCAATCTAACAATCCCCAACAACAACTACTAGTTCACCATCTTGTTGGAATACAGTGCCAACAGCTCATTGATCATGGACAGTCAATCACCTCGAGCGACCGAGGGCGATGCTTCGAATCCACCATCGACACCAACCAAGCAGCAACAGCCTCGTGATGCTGTTCCAATGACTCCAGCGACACCCTCCACAGCGTCCACACTCTTCCCTCAGAAGTCCTCCATCAAAATACTATTCGACATTCCATCCTCTGTATTCGATAACACTTTGGCGGTGACAGCCAAGACGACCTCCTCCATCGACAACAGCGCTGTTGAAGTTGTCCAACAATAAGACTGTTCGCTAATATGTAATTCCTTGTATCCTCTTATATAAAGTCTGTTGATCGCCCTGCTTGCTGTCGATGCTATGTTGCGTGATGATCATGTTAATGTTGTAGTTGATTGACTTTATTCAAGGTAGGGAACTGGATGACTGGGTCCTTGACTGTGAAGGACTCGCCGCACCCACATGTGTTTGTAGCGTTGGGATTAATGAATATAAACTCCTTCTTAATGGGCTCCTCGATGTAGTCCATCTCTGTGCCAATGACTGACATGAGTGCCTTTGAGTCGACGACCACTGTCACGCCTCTATCAGTGACGACCTCGTCCATCTTGCTAGGAGGCTCCTTAGTAAAGTCCAATGTATATGCCAAGCCTGAACACCCTCTCTGCTTTACGCCCAGCTTCATTCCAATAAAGTTCTTTCCACTTCCTTCTGTCACCATCATCTCTCTTATCTTATTCAATGCTGAATCTGTCTGTTTGATTGTTGATGTTTCGATTGATTGATTGATCATGATTGAATGAATGAGAATGAATGAATGGGCAAGTCGTCGGGATTCATCGGGATGTTAGTTCTTTAATATCTAAACATGCTATTGATGTAGTAGTTGTCATTGATCTGCATACCATTGAGAATATAGCCTTTCTTGATGGCTTTCCAAGTCGAACAACTCCTGAGATTGACATTGTTTATGTATGTATGTGTATGTAAAGGTTAATGTAACAATTTGTGTGTAATGATAACTATACAAGTGTGTATGTATGTATATATATATAACTTAAATATAACTCGATTGTTATTATTATTGTATATATATCTGGTTAGTTAATAAGTGTTATGTGTAAGTATGTAAGTATGTATGTTTGTATGTTTGTGTTTGAGTCGTTTCACCAACTTTGTCTTGTCTCTCTCACTCCACACACCCACAACCCGAATCAAAAACTTCAAACCTTGACAGCACATGATTTGTTTCATGATTCCATTCCAAGTCGACCAATCCTGGTTGGTCCATGACTTATTATCCATAAAAAGTTATCACCTTGCTGCAATGATCCATGATTATTTGTCCATATTGGGGAAGTTATATTTTATTAAGTTATAATTATATATTTTAAGGGGATGTTTCGAATGAATGATTGAATGATTGAATGAATAAACTGGTCAACATCAACATCCAACATCAAACATGTGATAATCATGGATGTTGCTGTTGGGAGATGGCCTGGGAATGTCTTAATCTGGTGGATTGGCTCAGAGGTTGTGATGCTGGGTCGACTTCATCTCCCTCGTGGATCAACTTATCAACATCCAGTTTCATGTGTGAAAGTTCCAAATACCTCTGCTCGCAAGTCTTCTCCAACAGGTCCTTCTTTGTAATAATACCCTTTAGCTTGTTGTAAGAGTTGACTATATTGATTTGGAATGTGTGGATGGATGGTTAGATTGATTGATTGTTGTGAGTGAGAGAGTGATCAACTTACCAACTGGCATATGACGTAGACCCATTGTTCTGAACAATTGGAAAGCCTCACTGACAGCAAACTCTTCGTTCACAGTCAGTACGGTGAGGTTCATAACATCGGTGAGGTCCACTGGTATTGAGTAATCCTCGCGGGCAAAGTTAAAGTCTGAGAGCAATGGCAACTTCCATGTGAGCTTGGTAGTGTAGTCACTGTGTGAATAGGCCTCCTCAGTGTTGGAGATGTAGACCTGGGACAAGACCTCGAGGATCATCAGTAGTTGTGATCGCAGGATGAGACCCTTGACACAACGGTCCTCCTGGTTGTTGACCACGGGGAATCCGTTGTGACCGGTGTTCTTGAGCACTTCGAGTACACGGCCCAGCGTGTCCTTCTCAAGCAGATACACTGGCTTCTTGGCCATGATATGCTTGCACATGAGGATCTTCATCGCCTTGCCCGAGTGCGGCTCCAAGTATGGGATGTACTTCATCTCGATCAGAATGTCAAAGAGTGGATGAATGAGCGCGTCGGCAGTCCACTTGGCAACCATCACCGTGACCATCAGAGGCAGAAGGTACTGCAGCTCGTTGGTGGTCTCAATGAGGATGACTGAGAGCGAGATGGTAAGTCGCGACACGCCCGCCATGAACGCCGCAGCGCCCATTAGCGCGTAGGCTCCGGGGTCGACACGTGGGTCGTTCTGTACGATGAGGCGGACGATCACACCAACGGCACGTCCGTAGGCAGCGCCAATGACGATCATCGGCACGAATGTACCTGAGGAGATACCACAGCCAGCAGTGTAGGCGGCAAAGAGGAAGTAGAACGTGAAGAACATCAGCAACGCCGGGATGCCAATGCGATTGGTGTTCTGGTAGGTCGTACTGTTGATCACCAATAGATTGTCTATGGCCTCTTCATTGGAGGCGAATATGATCGATGCAAGTGGGTTGTAGTAGCCCTCGGCACAGTTGAATGTCTTGAGAGTCTCTGTGAGCGCCTCGACTGCAATAGTGCGGTTGCCAGTGAAGGTGTCGCGCACCAAGTCGTCGAGTGGCTCGCATTTGAACATCAAGGGGAGGACGAACTGGAACACAGTGGACAGTGCAATGATGAAGAACACCTCGAGCACACGCAACGACTTGATCTTGTTGATGTAGCTCCTGCGCATGGCTACCACCTTGACGTTGATGAATGTGAACAGCGCGCCAGTGAAGCCACCAAGCACACCAATCACCATGAAAGGGATGAGCTCGAGAAGGTTGTAGTTGTTGTCGTTCGAGTTGGTGCCCATGTCAAAGATCATCGTGGAGTGCTGCGAGAGATGTGCGTCCTTGAGGATCTTGGCTGTGAATGTCGCGATGAGACAGGCAAAGAACGATCGCCAGGTGAGCGTCGTCGACCAGAATGAGCTGACCTCCTCGAGCGAGAAGAGAGCGCCACCGAGCGGCGCAGAGAAAGCTGCGGCGACACCAGCGCCAGCACCCATCGTCACAAAGTCACGCTTGTCCTTGTCATTGCGGAACTGACGCAGGAAGGGGATCTTGAAGCCAAACTCCTTAGACTGAGCCTGTGAGAAACCGTTACCGACGATGGCACCAATGTGGATCATTGGACCCTCGGAACCACACTGCAAGTTGGACGACACGGCAAAGATCATCGATGCCAACTTGGTCCACAGTGTCTTGAACTTGAGTACGTGCGGGATCTTTGTTCCATTGAGATAGCCCTTCACCTCTGGAATGCCAGAGCCAGCTGCAGTGGGCTCATAGTACACCGCCAGCAATGAGGACAGAATAGCCAAAACAGAGTTTGATGTGAAGTAGGCCAAGAAGGCGATCCAATAGTTAACCTCTAACACTGTATATGATTGATAGAGTTAGTGAATGAATGAATGAGCGTGATCATTCGATGACCTACAATCCTTGACAAATTCGAACTTGTAGTAGGTGATGTTGGAGGTGAAGAAGTGACCGAGATAGGCAACGACGCCAATGACCACTCCCAAGAGAAGACTGATTATCCATCGCATCCACTCATTGTTGGAGCCAAGCTTGTTGAAGTTCTTGTACATCTCATTTCGGTAGGACTTGTTGTAGATGGTAACATAGTCGAGACACTCATACTTTGAGATCAACTTCTTGTCGTGATCCCAATGAATGCGATCCTCCTTCTCATGTCGCTCCAATCTCTCCTTATGTGCATCATACACAGCACCCACCGTCTTATTATGTACTTGCTCCAAACCCTTTGTAATCGTCTGTTCAATCTCCTTGTTTGATTCCTTTACTTTGTCCTCCTATTTTGTTGTTTTGTTAGTCGTGTCGGTCTAGCTTTGCCCTTGCTCGAGAGATACATACCAGCTTCTTGTTTGACTCCTTTATTGCGTTGTTGACGTACTTGACTGCTTTGACGGTCTTCTTTTGAAGTTTGGTCAATAGCTGGTCACCAGCCTTGATCTCATCTTGGGATGAGTATAGACTTTGTGGTCTGGTGTCGGGATCATGATAAATCGGTTGAAGGATGATGCCTGTATCCTCCTCTTCTCCATCTTCATAGTATTCATTATTATTGTTATTATTGTTATTGTTGATGTCTTCATCTATTTCTTCGAGTGATGGCTGTTGATGTATTTGTTGTTGTTGCCTTAGAGGTTGATGGCTTGATGAACCTGGTTGGTCATCATCACTATCATAATCAGGTACGGGCGCCCCCGTAATTGATTTATATTCCTTATTATTGAATGGATTGTTTGGATTGTTGCTCATCTCTTTCTTGTTTAGGCTTAGCAATCAATCAATCAATCCTATTCAATCAATCAATCTAATCCTAAAATTAGTAATACAACCTATATATGTATAAATAAATGATTTGATTTAAATTAAAATAACATATAAACAGTGTGTGTAAGTGTTATGTGTTATGTGTTATATAAGTATGTATAAGTATGAACAGTATTACATTAACCAACTCAACAACATTCAACTACTATCTGTTTTTTGCTATCTTCCCCATCTTTGACACTTTTTAAAGTTTTTTGTCGTCGTTTGGACACACTTTCAAACAAACATAACCTGGGCACGCGGCACAAAAAGAATTAATTGAAAAAAAACGACAAGTACCCTGCAAACTTCAGAAGCGAAGTGGAACCACGTCGTGGTTCCCCAACTTGCACCAGCCCTACATCTGCACCAGACCCTGCCATGCCCCAACCTGCACCGCCCCCTTCATCACCATGATCATCCATCCACCTCAAAAGGATAGAGTTGATGATTGATCTATCATATCAAATCAGTGAAGGTAACCATCACAATCATACACTAACTACCTGGTCAACGATCAATCATTCAATCAAATCAGATCAAATATCTGGTGTATTAGGTGTTTCAATGGCCATGTTTGATCTTTCTTGATCGGCCACTTTGTTCCAGTTGATAAATAGAAGGTAGATCATTGATATGATGGAGACAGATGCGAATCCAGAAGCTGCTGAAGCGAGTATAAAGATGTTGAATGAGAAGCCAACAAAGAGTGTGATAGCATAGAGTATGACGATCATAATCGGTGTCCATAGATAGCCTCTTGGCAGAGCTGAATGCAAGGAGTGAACAACTAGCCACACTCCATAGGTTCCTAGGAATATTGATGCCCATGTGAATTCGATAGCCTTCTCCACTGCCCTTGACTCTTCGTTGGTATAGATGTATCCATTGTACTTGCCCAACAGTGTGATGATTCCTGTGGCAATGGACATCACTACGATCACATATATTATTGCAGTCCAAGTTGTTCTCCTTGCCTTCCTGCCATGTCCAGAGCGCAATGCTTCAACTACACGCTTGGGTAGATAGGGTGCCACTGCAATGCATATTTGATTAGCATACATTGCTTCGTTGTAGGTCATATAAATATTTGAATTGAACATGTACATCAACATTATAGACCATTCAACAAAGATTGTCAATATGATTGGATGAGCAGCCATTCCAAGATACAGTAGTATTCCTTTCAAACCTAGGCACTTCTTTGACCATCCCGACCAATTATCCTTGTGAAGTCCCATAACAAATATGACTGATACAGTTAGAATGAACTGAATCACTCTCTACATATATGTACCCGTGCATGTTAGTATGATGTAGGTTAACAACATTGATGATGTACATACACTAATGGAGTTGGCTACTGCCCATCCATATGAAACAAGGTTTGAGAAGTGATAGAACAATACAGTTAGGAGTGCATCTACAATAACGAATGCAATGCCTATGTAAATGGAAATGTCCACTCTTCCAAGACCTTGTAGGTAACCCTGTAGACAAAATGTAGTATAATAGAACCAAAGTCCAGGTAACATCAACTTGAGGTATGTTAAGTTTGTTCCACTTATCAACCTAATGAACACGAATGATGCTATAACTAATAGTCATTTGGGTTAGTATCCATTAGTCACTCAATCAAACGAATGGTACTGTACATACTTTGAATTATTGTAAGTATTGTAATGATGAGGAGTGATCGTTGAAGGTGAATGCCGGCCATTCGTTCGGTTGTGTTGTCAGCATTTCCAGGGCCAGATCGATGCTCTCTTGCAACCAGTGTAGCAAGTGGTTGTATGATGGCAAAGATAAGTGATCCAGTGCCCATTAGCCATATGATAGATAGACATAGTTCAAAATATTCATTACTGTATAATGTATGTGTATTACGTAGTGCAATCAAACTGATTGTGATTGGTACTATATTATTGAGTATATTTAATAAAGCCAGACCGGATGATGATTTGATTATTATTATTAATTCATTCCACCATCCCTTTAAAGTATTGAGTATATTTCCATCATGATCTCCATCAGTCTCTGCCAGTTCCAGATATTGTATACTGATCATTATTATTATTGATTATTTATATTTATACAATTCTATTATTATCTATTTGAGTAGTACGTATCCAATTATAATTATGAAGATGAATAAATACTTTATTATCATATGTCAACCCGAGACCATCAGTGTCGGTTCAAATTAAAGTGTTCCTTGTTTTGCAGGATTAAGGTCCCGTGTGTGGGTGTTTGAACATCCCGACTTCTTTGATCAAAATCAGTGTTGGGCTATTTGATCACTCGCTCACTCTTTCGATCGATCACTCACCCAAACACTCTGTTTATTCATCCAAAGAAGAAGAAGAAACAACTAAGTTAAGCAGCCTTGGTTGGTGTGGGCTTGGGCTTGACTGGTGCTGGTTTGTCTTTCTTTCCATCACCATCTTTGTCCTTGTCCTTGTCGTTGGCGATACCATCACCATCAATGTCCTTATCCTTGTCATTGGCGATACCATCACCATCGATGTCCTTGTCCTTCTTGTTTACGACACCATCGCCATCAAGGTCATTGGCAAACGATCTTGGAGGAGGGAACTTCAGATCATCACCTCTGAATAACGAGAGGATCATCTGCTTCTCCACCTTGCCATCACCAAACTTCTCTCTCTTGATTGGCTTCACCTTGCGATCGGCAGCTCTCTGGGCAATAGTTGGAATCGAGAACTGGACTGGGGCAGCGGCGGCGGGTGGTCTAGCAGCAGGAGCCTTGCCAGCATCAACAGGGGCCTTCATGGCCCTATCCGAGACCATGTGACTTCTGATCATTTCATCATAGAGAATGCGGTGAGTGTACTTCTCGTAGTTCTTCTCAAAGAATGTACCATTGTCATCGTCCCAGTAGACCATTAGACACTTGTTCTGGAACCTGTGGATGTGAGTGTCGTTGATATCGATTGTGGCCTGACCGACCCAGCCACTGAAGAATGTGTCACGCATCAACACAAGTTGTACCTGACCATCGAGGATGGTAAGGTCATAGTACTCCCACTTGACCTCACCAGCATCATTCTTGTAACTCATTCCAGCCTTGTCACCGGCGATCACATCAATTGAATCACAATGATCATTCTTGGCCCAAGCTGACACAACACTCACTCTTCTCAACCAACTGCTGGCTGGGGTCACCAAGCATACCTAAGTTAATGGTTATGGTTAGTTAGCTGTCAATATTGATTGAATATAATATTTTGCACTTACTCTTAGAGAGCCTACTGGTACGCCTTGGGCATATGGTTCTTCGACTTGGATCATCACAGAATGGATTGTTGGCTCTTTGACACTTTGGTTAATGTTGTTGATCAACTGAGGACTGAAGTGATTGCCTGGAAAGGCATTATCAATTCCACCAGAGGCAGTCACCATGAACAACATTGATATCTCTGTACCTTGTGGCTTTGGTAAATTATTTAATACCATTATTAATTATTTAAAGATAATAAGAATGTATATATATAAATATTATTATTATTATATGTGTTTTAGTAAAGAATTTGTTTATATAATAATAAATAGGGATGTGGATTGATTAATCTAATATTCAATCTGTGGATTGATGGACACAAGGTACCAATTCAAAGTCCCTAAATATCTCGATCATCATTATGTTAACACTAGTTTGTAATATACACATTGGAGTGTCAATAGGTGAGTGATGTTGTGGAACCATTAACAATGATTGATTGGGTTGATCAACTGAACATGTTCAATGTGACAAAGCGAAAGTTGTAAATTCGTCAGGAAGCCACTTCCCAATCAAAAACGACCCAGTATCCAAAATTAGACTTGTCGAAGGTCACCCATCGCCCAACACGCCAAGAGGTGCCAATCCAAAGGGTCAAATCATGTGACTGTCCATGTTAGCCACCTTCTTGTATCCTTACACAAGAATAATTATTAATACTTAAACAAAAAAATAAATATCCACTCAATTTTTAAATGGAACTGGATAATCATATTATATTCTTTCATTCCATCTACAATCAATCAATCATTCAATCAACCAAATATAATAATAATAGTTAAAGATGGTTCTATTTATACCAGCTAGTGTAGTATTAGTTATTACTGTATCCTCTATTCTTGTTGCTATAGGAGGAACAGTTGTTGCCTTTGTCGCTGGACATCTTGCAAGTAAATTACTTGATGCAATCACCAATGCCTTTGCAGCCTCAACCTCTGATGCTGTTTTGTTCAAAGCCAATGATGACGCAATGTCCCTTGGAGGTGGAGCCATGAGAGTATGTATAATACAATAAACATCTTCACTGAATCAATTATACTTACTCCTGGAACTCTCATAGATCTGTCTTGTCACCAAGGCCTCGAGTTGGATGAGAAAGGTCCGCATTTTGTCATCTTTGTCGGATGGTGAGAACTATAAGGTGGAGGACTTGGATGCTGGAGATAATGGTGGATATGAATATAATGCACCTACTGGTAATGTCAAGTGGATGTACACTGATATACTAGTATTCCCTGGTTGTGTAGTTGAGATTCAGTTGTTCAGAGATACATACTTTAGTGGCTGGGTCGACTGTGGAATGCTCAACATTGATGCCGAGATCCAGAGCTTCCGCAACCAATGTCTGATGATCTACTGGGACGACGACAATGGAACATTCTTCATCAACAAGAATCTTGCCTACACATTCAACACCCTCTTCAAACAATACATGAAGGATCAGCATTTGTCTAATCCAGAATTGTTCCAGAGGTCAATCCCCAAGCAGGGCCTGCCAACCATTGCCCAACGTGCTGCTGCCAGGAAGCCAAAGGATACCAAGAAGGAGTTGTATGGTGATGGCAAGTTCGAGAAGACACTCGACCCTGCTGTGTTCTACAAGGATGAGCCACCTGCCAATCCAAAACCATACTGCAAGACTAAGAAGGACTTGGACGGAGATGGAATTGTCAACAGCAAGGACAATGACATGGATGGAGATGGTATTGTCAACAAGAAGGACAAGGACAAGGATGGAGATGGTATTGTCAACAAGAAGGACAATGACATGGATGGAGATGGTATTGTCAACAAGAAGGACAAGGACATGGATGGAGATGGTATTGTCAACAAGAAGGACAAGGACAAGGATGGAGATGGAAAGAAAGACAAACCAGCACCAGTCAAGCCGGCCGTCACCAAGCCAGCCGTCACCAAGCCAGTCGCTCCCAAGCCCAAGGCTGCTTAACCTAATGAAGGACTCATCATCAATAAAAGACACTCTAGCATGGGTCAAAAGTTGATTAACACTATACATTGATTGAATGATTGAACGTTTGATTGATCAATCCCAACACTTGTTACCTGCAATATAATCGGAGACTTTGCCCAAGGTATTATCCAGGAATCTGTCGACTGTACCAGATGGATCATCTAAAAAGGAACATACACCAGTCTTGATTGAAGGACCAACCCATCTAAGTGCATGCAATCCATAAAGCATACATCCAGCCTTTGTAATCCTCTTTGATGTTACAAAGCATGCTGCCAACACTCTGTATCATCATACATGATCATGTTAGTACTTGGATTGATCAAATGGTTATCAATGAAAGAAAGAACATACCCAAATGGAATGATATATGTTGCCAAGAAGTCACTATAACGAATGATTGACTCTGCAGTTGGCTTCAAACTGATCTTGGCGGCGTTGAAGTTCATTTGTTGGACATTCCTAGATCAATCATGATTAGTGAGTGAGTTGAGTGATGGATGAGATGGACTGATGGATGTACATTCCAACTTACTGGACTTGGTCAGCAGCACATATTGATTGAATCAGTCTACGCCTGGTAGTTTGGTCGGCTGGCTCTGGATTCGAGATGAAGTCAATGGTCAAGTTCTCTCTTGTTATGAGCGCATGGAGTGCTACGTGAGTGGTGAGCTTCTCTTTGAATGCCAGGCGCTCTGCCTCACTGTACTTCTCGGCCTGGTCAAAGAGTAGACACTTCTGGATGGCCTTGCCACCAAACATCCACATGAATGATCGACAAGCCTCAACATGTTGCATGGATATATCTTCAATCTCAGTTCCCATGTGCATGATGTATGCTACATAGTTGATGTCTGTCTCACTCTTTAACAATCGTTGGCCAATGTCATCGAGTACCATCTGAACAGTTGGAGGTGGTGGCTGGTTGGTCTCTGGCACATGGACCAAATGTTGGGTGACCCATATCTTGAAAGCAATATCCTTTGCTTCTGGCAATTGATCATTCTCAATATAGAACAATGTTGATGACAGTCCCTTGATCGTTGATGAAGGATTGGAACCCAACTGAGTGAGATTACTCAACATGTTAAGTTGTGAATCCCTTGAGCTGGATCCAAACAATGCATTCCTAGGATTAGAATGGAGTGAGTGATTGAGTGATTGAGTGATTGAATGATTGAATGAGTGAGACTTTAATGTTTACCTTTGTTTCAAATTGACCAACCTCTCATTGTTGTTGTTATTATTGTTATTGTTGTTGTTACTGTTGCCATTGATACTGTTGTTGACAGTGTAGTCACTGTAGTCACTGTAATCATTCCTTGAGATGGAATTGGATGGAGAATAAGTCATTTTCACGTTGAATAGTATGGTATAATTGTTATTACTTGTAATAATTGTAATGTAAAGTAAGAGTGATACGAGATCCAAGTTGATAGCTGACTCATGGACCTGTGGGGCCTTGTGGATTGCAAGAGTGAGTGAGTGATTGGTTGACTCATCATTGCTCTCTAACTCTAGCCCACTCACACAATCAATCACATGTTTAAAATATACTCAATGATCATGATTGTGTGTACTTCTTTCTTCTCGCAAGTTTGAGAACTCACAGAACTAAGTTTGGTCTACGAACTCTAATTGAGAGACAGAGCATGAGAGAGACACTCAACGTGGTATTGTTGGCTGTGATTGTCAACAAGGCTTGCTCTCAGGCTAACATGCAAACGATTGTTCAAGCTCATGAGCAAGCTGACCAAAGATGGTCGTTGCATCGAGTGACACTTTAGAAACTGGGGTTCACAGAGATCATAAATACTGTCTAGTTTGCAATCAATTATTCAATTTATTTATATATATATTAAGATGACAATCAACCTAAAGTTGGGTATACAGACTATGTTTGAATATGATATCCAATTCTGACATTGGACTTCATGAATGTTGGACTTCAACGTCTAAACTTTGGTATTCTAAGTTGAAAATGGAACCTTTCCCCTATCCTATTTGATACCTGATTGCAACAATCCTTCATATTCGATAATGTCTTGCGAACAGGAATTCTCCATATCATCCTAAGAATGAATGAGAGATAAATATAAGTTATCAAAGACAACAAGATAAAGTTGGAGTACCAAGTATGCTCATAGTAGACCATCAAACTTATGTTTAAAAGCAAGGAAAGAGGTAGGTAAGTAAATGATAAAGGAAGTTAGAAAATGAATTATCATACCATAGTAGAATTGATAAGGCAATAAATGAGAACTCAAATGTTTTGGAATATGGTAACAATCTAATTGATCTATCTTGGGGAATAGTATCCACCAACTCTGGTAATGTCATCTCTCTGTTCTTTACAAAGTCCATATCACGAACATACCTAGAGAGTTTGATTGAGTAATTGACTTGTTAGTCTATGGAGATCATGGAATGATTAATTAATATCCAACTCACTTAGCAGACTCTGCTTGATTCAATAATTGGATCAAGTGATTTCTGGATTGTCTCTTGGAGTTTAGATCAACCTCAAGGTCTGAGGTGGTGCCATTGTATCTCTCGGTGTTGACAGAATCCATGAATACAATTTGAATATTCTCTTGACTTATCATCTCGGCCAGTTTAGTATGTTTGTTCCTCATGATGTTCTCAAAGTGAGTTCTCTGATCGTATGAGAAGTGTTCGGCATCACGGACAATGATCACCTTGAGTATATCACTCTGACCAATCATGTTGAACATCATACTCATGGCCTTGGTAAAGTCATTGTTGATGTCATCAATACAATCTCCCATACGGATAACAAAGCAGATAACATGTAGCTTGATAACTTCACTGATCAAGTAGGTTTGGATCAGGTTCTTGACTTGAAGGCTATTCATCAAAGGACTATTCTGCTCCTTGGGATCGGTGATTGCAGGTGGGAGGAGGAACTCTGGTGTCATCTTGTTGACTGATGAATTGGCTTTGTTGAAGTTTGTACATTTCAATACTTGTACCTTGGTCAACTCCTCCTGGTCCTGGTCCTGGTCATTCTCCTCTCCAGATACTCTACTACTCTCACCTTTTTTGTTCTTCTTCATCAATCCAATCACATTCTTTTTCATCCATGGAGCATCACTTTGATTGGCGAATACACTCAATATGTTGCTTGAATACGGTATGAATTAGCCATCAATGATGATTTTTGAGAGAATTCTTAATTGAGTGCTTACCATTCTTTTGCGTGACCAAGCTTATACTCATCATTTCTAGAGTATCGGTCTAGGGACTCATGCTTCTCCTCCTTGGACAACTCTCTTTTTCCTCTTGAATCTCCACATGCTTGATTACTATCCATATTGATACTATTATTATTATTATTATTATTATTGTTATTATTTAAGTTTGGTTTACTATTGATTGCCATTTAGATCAGAATAAATTATATATAGTATGTTAACAAAGTATTATTATTATAATTATATTTGAGTTGTAGATTGATAATGCAATGTCTAATATAATAAAGTATGCCTTGCTTGGTCATTGAGTCAGTACATTATCTATTGGATTATTATTTATTATTAGATTGGTGAGTCACCATCTTATAAACTCATTAAGGTGAGTTACCAATGACCCAATCAGCTCCACTCGCTCACACTTGCAAGTTCAAATTCACTGCACTCACTCACTCAATCAATCAATAAATCAATAAACACACAAGCAACGTTGATATTGTCGGTGAAGGGAAGGAACACTACGAATAGTAATAGTGATTGTTTATGGCTGCTATTACTAAGTTTGTTCGGTTGTCGTTGTCGTGGTCGTTGACGTGGATGTGGAGGGTTGAGCGGAAGTAGTGGCAGGAGTAGGAGTAGGTGTAGGTGGTGCAGCCACCTTTTTATGTCGAGTGCCATTGCCGTTGCCACTACCACTGCCACTGCCAGAGGTGGGAGCTTGTAAATACCTCTGTATTGCTTCAATCACCAATGCACTGCTGGCAGGCTTGGGCAAGAAGTCATCCATGCCCACGTTCAAACACTTCTGTCTGTCCTCATTATTAGCTGTCAATGCAATAATGATCAAATGAGGTGACTTCTTCAAAGGAGGCTATGTTTACATATAGTGTCAGTGTATCTTGATTGATTGATTGAGTGATTGTTTGATTGATTACTTACAGGATTGATCTTGCCTACACTCTCCAACTCACGTATTGCCTTGGTCGCTTGGAAGCCATCCATGAGGGGCATCTGACAATCCATGAGTATGACATCAAAGTCATACTTTTGTACTGCATCCACAGCCTCCAATCCATTGGCCGCCAGTTTGTAACTGTATCCACCCATGTTGAGGAACTTGCTAAACACCTTCACATTGATTGGATTGTCTTCGACAAGTAGTATCAATCCTGGTTTGGGCTGTGGTGATGGGGCCGCTGGCTTGGGAGCGGCCACAGGTGCAGGAGCAACAGCGGCAGCGGCAGTGGACACATGTCTACTCACTGCTGGTACGGGAGGAGGGACTGCTGATGCTGCCACCGGGGCCACAACGGACGAGGCCAATGATGGTTGTTGCTGCTCATTAATGCTACCACTCCTGCTCCTACTGCTACTGGCTGGTACAACATTGATTGACGATGAGGATAGAGCAGCTCCTACCTCTGTGGGCATCTCCCTGCTGACCTTCTTGTCCACGACCTCCTTGTCGTAAGGCCATGCAGTGGAGACGGCTGGCATCTCACCATAGTCCTCGTCTGCAATGGTTGGTAAAGTGGCCTGTAGTGAGGTTGATAGCAGCTCCTTGGAACGGGCAAACTCGCGTGCAGATGTTGGAATGAACAAGGACAAGGCATCTGAGGAAAGTGACATTGGTCGCGGGATCATGAGTGAGTGGCGAGGCGATGGCGACTGATTGCGTGAGTAGATGTACGGTGAGAAGGTTGGCGAGCCATCGACGCTCTCGGACTTCTCGCTGATGTGTGTGAAGACCGGGCTCTGCAGAGGACGGCAGACATTGCCCACATCATAGAGATGCGTGCGAACATTGAGCCACTCATGGAAGAAGTCGAAGCTGTTATTCTCGACCTGGTACAGACACTTGACAATGTCTGTGAACTTGCAAGGCTTCTGGATGACGTACTCGTAGGTGTCGTCCTTGTTGGGCGTGGCGTCCACAGTGAGCTGCACCCAGTGCACCTCCTGCTGCTGCGCCGTGGCGATCGTTCGCGCCCGATTGATCATGTTGCATCGATCGCCAACAATAATAATGTACACTTGGTTGGACTTGGCCTGCGACTCTAGGAACTCGCCCAGCTCCGCCGAGCTGGCAAAGTCCTTGCACGAGATGGACATGAGGGCAAAGTAATGGACGATGGACTTGCGCACCCATTCGTTCCTCTCGACGACGATGCTCACCACACTTGATCGCTTGCCAAACTTGCGCTCGCCGACCAGTGGCGTGGTGTGGCCGGCCAGGTCCTCGCCAAGATAGATGGCACCACCCATACGCTTGAACGTGAAGTTTGGTTTGGACACGCAGCTGGCCAGCTTGAGAGTGAACGCGAATGTAGTGCCTGTGCCAAACTCGCTCGAGACACTGACCTCGCCGTCCATCATGTTGCACAGACGTTTGGATATGCTCAGGCCGAGACCTGTGCCTTGGTAGCGACGTGAGTTGCTGTTGTCAATCTGTGAGAATGGAGTGAAGAGCAATGGGATGTGATCGTTCTTGATGCCAATGCCAGAGTCCTCCACCTCGAACCTGAGCATGTACTCGTGCGTGTCTTCGTTCTCTCGCTCGAGGTCGACTCGTATCTTGATCTGACCAATGTCAGTGAACTTGATGGCGTTGGACAAGAGATTGAGTAGGATCTGGCGCACTCTTGTGGCATCGCCATGATACAGCACTGGCACATTGCCATCGATGAACAGCACCAGGTCGAGATGCTTGGCTGCAGCGCTCTTGGACACCATGCTCAATGAGTCCTCGAGCAACTTGAGCAAACTAAAGTCCTTCAAGATAAGCTCCATCTTGCCGGCCTCCATCTTGCTATAGTCTAGAATGTCAACGACCAAGCTAAACAAGTAGTCCGACGATAACTTGATCGCATCAAGGAACTCCTTTTGATTGGAGTCAATCTGTGTCCTCTCAAGGATCTCGCATGATGCCATGATGCCATTGATTGGAGTCCTGATGAATGAGTGAGTGAGTGAGTATGTGGTTGATTGGATGATTGATTGATCGGCAATGATCACTTACTTTAGCTCGTGACTGATCGTCGTGAGGAAGACTACCTTGGCCTCATTGGCGGCCTCGGCCTTACGCAGTGCTACATCGGCTTCGATCAAGTTCTTGCGTCCAGTGATGTCGATGATTGAGAACACGTCAACGGGCTTGCCAGCATAGGTTGCCTTGTTGGTACGCACCTCCACATCGAATGCCCGACCACCCGAGTCAATGGCCTCGGTCTCAATGACGGGCGGCAGAGACTCATCGTCCATGCAATCCTGGAACACGTCCTCCATCTCTGGCAGGAATTCCCAGATGCCGCTCTGCACCGGGTAGATGATGTCCTGCACCTTGGTCTGGAACATTGACTCGAATGCTGGGTTGGCATCAGTGATATAGCCACCCTTGTGAACGACCAATGCTTCATTGCTAATATTGAACAAACTCTGTATCCTCGCTTCCTTGCGCTCAATCTCGCGTAGATCTATTGCCGTCAAGACCGAGTAGAACAGCAACAAATATCAATGTTATAAATATGCTTCTAAGTTGTTCGCCAATCGAGTCGTAGTTCTATGTGATCAAGCATGCGTTAGTTGGGGCGATGGTGAGGGCATGGTCGGGCATGAGTAAGACTTACATAATCTATATTCCTTGCATTATAGTTGTGCGATACACCAATGAAGATGACCAGGCCAATGTATGAGAATGATATGAATAGGAGGACGAGGATACAGTAGAGTATTCGAGGGAATAGGACTGCTGCAATGATCATCACAAGTATGTCCCATGAGAACATGAATGAGCCATCGATACTGATGTGCTTATACTTTGTTAGGGCCACGATGATCGCCGTGATATTGGTGGCCACACACGTAAATAGCAGCAGGAAGCTGATGCCAAAGTAGTAGGGCGTGGTCTTGTTAAGCACGTAGCAGCCGGCCAGCACCAATGCGCCCGGTACAAAGATGAACCATATCTTGGTCGTGAAGATGGCCGCCAGGATCATGACGATGGTCATGAGAATGGAGATGAGCGAGAGGAGCTTGACACGTCGCTTGATCACCTTGGACGGGTAGGTGATGCCGGCACGCGGTGAGATGATCATCTTGAGCACCATCCATGGGTAGTGGAAGATGGTCTGCAGTATGTTCAATGTGCGCTCCGAGAAGAATACACTGCTGTCTTGAAGGTAGTAGCTTGATGTGAGCTTGGGCTTCTTGACGCCCGAACCTGAGAGACTGGAGCTCATGCCTGAGCCCTGCATCGGTCTGTTCTTTGGTGGCTTCCGATAGTGTGATTGATTCTTGCCCGAGGGCGTCAGATTGATTGGGCTAAAGGGCGTGGCTACGGCCGACCTGTTCAACTTTCTTGACGGCATGGCAGAGTTGACGACGGTCGGCTTCAGAGCCACTTCTGATTCGCTGCTGGAGACATCTCTCGACGAGTCCAGTTTGGAAGTACCATTGTCCTTGTTCTTGGTCTTGTTGCCGCTAAAGAAGTTGGTGAACTGAGTAAAGTACTTTGAAGACCTATCAGCAGACTGTGTCGTCTTCTTCTTTCCCTTCCCCTTCTCTTTATCTTTACTATTATCTACATCATCTCTAATCTCTACACTCAGGTCCTCTCCATATTGTTGTGTCTGTGACTGTGATTGTGGCTGTGATTGAGACTGATCATCACTGTTTGATATGATTCGTTTTTGTTTAGGTATCGTTGGAGTATGAAAATTATATCTATGTGTATTTCCTGGAGCTGGAACTATTCCTCCAACTTGTTGTTCAGATCTTCGTATCGCATTATAATTATTATTAATATCTTCACTATCATTGATCTGTTGCCTATTATTTGATTCAGTATTCTGTATTTCCACTATACTATCTTGTTGTTGTGGAGCTGCAGTTGTTCTGGTACTCTGGCCAATTGGATGTTGTTGTTCATCCATCTTCTTGGCCATCTATCTATCTACTATCTATCTGTATTCTTTAGTATTTATTTATAACTATTATATTTATTGCCTCAGTTATTATCATATGTGATTGAATATTTATTATTAATAAATACAACTAAGTTATACACTAACATTCAATTATTCATTCATTCATTCATTAATACATTCCATAGTAGTATACTACAATGAAGAGAGAGTTCATTGCCAAAGGTTGGTCTACCACAGACTACAAAGCTCAGTCAAATCTTAGATAGTATTCGAGCTCGAACTACCAACCTAATTGTCTGGTCGGGGACATAAATACAACCCCCAACAACCTCATTGTTAACAATGTATCTATCTTAAAGAGTGTGTGTATGATAGTCTTCACCCACTTACCACTACCATTCATTCTACACCGTCAGTCATGATGGTATTGCCTTTTATAGAAAGTGGAAAGTGGTGTGTTGTCATTGTGTGGTATGTGTGGGTATTCAAGTACTTTCATGAATGAATGCTAAGTTGGATGAGGAGTGTCATTGCATTCTCAATTCAGCTGTTGCAGTGTCAGTTACATTCAATCAATCAATCAATCAAGTCGAATGTTACCTTTTATGTATATTCCATAAGATAATAGTTATATTTATAAATATAAGCATAATGATCAACACGTTCATCAACAACCTCAATCAATCAAATCAGGTCAAAGACAAAGACGTTGATGATGTCAGCACAAGCACTAGCACCAGTACCAGCAACACGTCAATCAATAATATTGGAGGACCAAATGTAGTTGATGACAAGGACACGCACAAGGATACGATTGATCATCAACAACAACCTTATGTCGCCTATCAGGACAACTTGAAGCGTTGGCATAATAAGAAACGTGTTAGAACCTCAGAGTTGATGCACGTTGATAACATATATAGAGAGCATCCTCCAAACTTCAAGTTACTAGCTGACAAGTATCCAGAGTTTGGCAAGTTGTATGTATCGCCTCGTCGTCGGATGCATGAATGAATGAGTGACTAACCATGGTCCTTTGTGTGAGTAGTATACTGGATAGGAATGAGAGGATATACAATATTGATTGGACAAATGAAGAAGCTGTTAGAGCACTAACTGTGGCACTGATGGATAAGGACTTTGATATCAAGCTCACGTTACCAAACGATCATTTATGTCCAATGATCACATCAAGATTGAACTATCTACTTTGGTTGAATGATACTTTGATTGAACTTGGTATCCAACAACAAAGGAATGATAAGGACAAGAACAAGAATAAGGCCAAGGGTGAGAGAGATGCTCCTTCATCATCATCACTTCCACAAATACGCGCCCTTGACATGTATATGTGGCCACACATTATAATAACACATGCCAGAGACGTACTAACATACTTACCACTCATCACAGAGGTACTGGAGCATCATGTATATACCCTCTATTGGGAGTTCGACAACTTGGTTGGAGCTTCGTCGCTACGGAGGTCGACAAGGACTCGGTAGTGTGTGCCCGCAAGAATGTAGAGACCAACAAGTTGGAGCAAATGATCGAAGTACGACAAGTGAATGATGTCAACTCAATACTTGTCGGGGTGGTTGCCAGTGACAATGGCGAGACGTTCGATGTCTCAATGTGTAACCCACCATTCTTTGACAGCCTCGACCAGACCAAGCTGAACCCCAAGACCGTGTGCACGGGAAGTGACAGCGAGCTGGTCACAGAGGGTGGCGAGCTGGAGTTTGTCAAGAAGATGATCCAGGACAGTTTGTTCTTGCGCACACGCATCAGAGCCTACTCCACGCTGCTCGGACGCAAGAAGAACTTGAAGCTTGTCGTGAAGGATCTTCAAGCCAATAACATCAAGACCATAAGGACAACAGAGTTGACGCAGGGCAAGTGCAGTCGATGGGCTGTTCTGTGGACGTTGGAGAATGAGCAACTACTGCTCCAGAAGCGAGTGGATCAGTCGGCCAAGGTGGACAAACCGGTCACTCTGACGAGGAAGCAGAAGCGCGCTCTGGCGCGACCGGGTGTCAACGAGACATTCATCTCAAAACAATCGCTCAATGATCTGATGGCGCTCATGGGTGAATACGTGAAGCAATCGCTTGGAATCAATGTGGAGCAGATTGTTGACAACAACACACTTGTATGTACGGTGAACAACATTGACTGGATGAAAGCCACTGGTGCCAACACATTGGATGATGCTACAACTACTACGACTTTGGTCAACAACGACGTGTCCAACACATTGTCCAACTTCAAGTTCACATTGTCCTTGAACAACAACAATAAGGACCATTCATCATCGTTCACAATGGATGCCAAAGCAGACCTCCAACACTCCAACATAACACATCCAGAACATATCCGTCATTTATTCCTCAATATTCTATCATTCATCAGTTCAAAGTAATACTAATAATATCTTTATTTAATATTATTTTAATGGATTGATGGGATGGATGAATAATCACCAAATCCTGCTGACCTTGCTGTGAATCCTGTCAACAAAGTTAAGACCCTTGGGTTCATCGAGTGTATAATAAACATCAATCTCTGATTGATCGTCCATGTGAAGATCATGAAGTGAACATTTATCTTGCGAGTGACTGAGTTCTCTTCCATGATAACATAACTTATTGTTCAAATAAATAAATAATTAATTAATAATTTTGTAGTGATCAACTTTAATAAATATTCATACCTTTTGATGTCCCTCTGAACAACCAACAGTAGTTTGGATCCTTTCCCTTATATTCTTTAAAGTTGTATGATCAGGATCATTCAGTTGTAGATCATATTGATTATTTAAAGTATTAATTCTCATGTTTAATAAATAATATTGTAAGAATTTATTTATAATGTATTATTATTGTTATTAATATCATTCTATAAATACTTTTCGATTGCAYWTTTCAAATCGATATCACCTACCCGAATATGTAAATTCATATCTAAGACTGGAATTTCCAAAAAAAGAAATTATTTTTAGATCATGATTATAAATTAGTATTCGTTTTTAATAAATTAATTAACTAAATTAATTAGGAGTATTTCCCACTTAGGTAATATTTCTATAAATATTCCAACATCAATATTAATATATGTTTGTAAAGATAGATAAGGTTAACTGTGGAGTTCCTGTACCCTAGAGAAATCTGGAGCAATCCATTTGTCTGGCTGGATATTGTTGATCTGGTGGGATACCTCCAGGACCTGACGGTTGAAGATTTTGGGTGCCTCAAGGTTCCCATTGAACTCCTAGTCAAGAAGTATACATGGTCCAGATGGTGAAGAGGATGAACAACTGTCACAATATATATCTAGAATATGTCATCATATGTTTGTGATATAACTTGAGTTCCCAATAGTTTGGACACAATAATCATCGGGTGATACATATCATGAGTACTAGTTCATCAACCAATATACCATCCAAGGAGTTAAGTTTATCTATTTCCTTTTTGTTTTGTTTGTAATAATATTATTAATAAATATGGGTGAATGGACATGTCCAAAGTTATCCTGGTAAAGGATACAAATCAAATCACCACTAATACACCACATGACACAGGTTCACACACACTTTATGATTCGAGACGATGAACTCAATCTGGGTGTTCTCAATAAACAAAGAAAGTGTGAGTGGTGTCTGAAGCCTCATCAAAAGTCCAAATAAATACGAAAAAACACATTATGATGTGTGCTAGAGCGACAATGTGAGGTGTGTGAAAATGGGGCGAATGGATTGTTGGTGCGTACGCTTGTGGAACAAAGAACAACAACACAACTACAGTAGTTTGTTAGTTGCTTGTTAGTGAGATAGAGAGAGTTATTATTATTATTATTATCACTTACATTTATAAGATAGATAGATAGATAGAATCATCAATCAATCATTCATACCACAACTAATCAATCATTCATTCATCTTTACTTTCCCCACTTTGTACCAAGCACACGCTCTCCCTTAACACACACACACGCACACACACCGTTGCTTCCACACTTCCACATCTTCATTCCGCAACGCACTAACGACCAACAACTAACCCCACAACATAACTTGTGCGCGAGTCATCTTTGACATCAAACACAAACACAACTCAAACAAACAAATACATAATACTACATATATATATCTAATATTATTTATACATATATATATATATATATAATATAACAACAAACAAATTATAACATTATATTACTTCTTCTACATAAACTTAAATAATAATTAAAGAAATGTCAGAGGTAATGATTGATATCGAGCTATTGACATGCCCAATATGCTCTGATACATTTAGAGACGCATGCGACACTAGCTGTGGACATACCTTTTGTGAGTTCTGTCTCAACGCTTGTCTAGAGTCAAAGCCTGACGTGTGTCCAGTGTGTGCAAAGGACCCATCTCCTGTGCACCCTGCCTTCACCATCAGGTCAATCTGTGACATGATCGCACCTGTCACTCCAGAGGATAAAGATGATGAGTATGTATACAATACAATTGATTGATTGAATGATTGATTGATGAACTAACATATAGTATGTACATGTAGATCAACATTAGAGACAGAGAAGGAACAGGGTAATGCCAGTTATTACAAGAACAAGTTTGCCGATGCCATCGTACATTATAACAACGCGATTGATAAGGTCACCAACTCTTCCGATACAAAGAACTGTGTCCTGTTTAACAATCGTGCTCAATGCTATATACATCTACGTCAGTACAAGAGAGCACTAATGGATTGTGATGAGGCCATCAGATTGAGTAACACCAATGGTATGTTATATTATTATTATTATGTTTGATTGATTGATCACGTACTAATACACATTCAATCCACAGTCAAGGCATACATGAGAAAGGGATTGTGTCTGAGGCAGTTGGGACAATTTGTCGAGAGTAGAACTGCTTATATGAAGGCTATGGAGTTGGACACACAGCAACAGTGGACACAACATATTCAGGAGGGACTGGCAGGTCTCCCAGTGTTTAAGGCTAGCACCACATCGACAACATCATCTCAACAACAACATCATCAGCCACAGCAGCAACAACATCACCAACAGCAATATAATACGCTGCCACATCAGCGTCCAAACAGCTCCTATCCAGGCCAGCCACAGACGCAGCAACAGATGTACTTCCAGCAATTCCAACAGCAGCAACAGCAGCAGTTCAATGGTGGCAACAACAACAACAACCACCAGTATCCGTCGTTCAATCAGAATGCCGCGCGCTACACCGCGCCCACAGGCTACCCCGGTCAGTTTGTTCGCAACAGCACAGGATACAACACCTATCATCCACAACAGTCTCGCAACTCACAGCCTCCACAACAACCACCAACGACAACAACCTCCACCTCTTCATCGACATCATCCAATGTAAATAATGCTGCACCATCCAACAACAGACCACCATCATCAACATCCACCACCTCAACCTCCACGGCCTCATCGTCGGCTTCATCGATTCCCGCACCATCCGCTCCACCCGTCTCAACATCACCGTCGTCTGCTCCCATCTCCTCCTCGCCAACCAACTCTGCACAGGCTGAAAAGAAGAACTGTAAATCACAATAGACTATCATCATAGTTGTTAATGCCCAGCAAGCAATAACCAACAGCTATCTGGCTGGCTGTAGTAACATCAAAAAGGGGTCGACCTAGCTACAGCAATGTATCCAACTCATTCATTCATTCATTCATTCATCCACCTCACTCAATCAATCACTTCATTCAATCAAATCAATCAACTCAATCAATCAACTCATCCACTCCACACTCATTCACTCACGACCGTTCATCAGGCGGTCGGAAGATAGAACTAATTGGATGGATGGATGGTGGATGAATGGATAATCCGATTGGTGCATCATCAGCTTTGGCTTCCCAAAAACTCCCCAATAAAGAGAGTATCGTAGAGAGATAAGTTATAACTTAAGTAACAAGGATGGGTTGTTGTAGTTGTTGGAGGTCAACAATGGTCACGCGACCATCTAGGAGGTCTTGGAACCCACACGCGTAAGGGTGTTCCTTACTCTGGAACGTCGAAGACGATGACCATCCTGTTGTTTGTTTCTTCATTCAATCTGATCTATCCTTTAGCAAACGAGTGGACATACTTAGGTACGAGTCCATAACAGCAAAGTAAATTAATTAATTAATTGGATGATCAATTGATTGAATGTTACTAATATTGGATGTTAGAGATAGATAGATAGAACCTCACCAAGTTTGAATAGATTGATGATGTAGTAGACGGTCAACATACATACAATGGAGGGTATTTGTTTCATTGTTTGATTGATTGACATCATGATTGTATCTTTGCCTGTTTTCTCGTAATGGCCCAACAACAAAAACGAGAAGTGTGGAGCTGAATGATTGAGAGATGGAGGGACCCACGAGTCCTTGTTTTGGTGGACCATTACTCGCCCTAACCTCGTCATAAACAAACAACATCCACCATTCATTCATTCCTACAGAGGAAGTATCCGGATTCGCATTGTTGCCATAAGTGATGAATGTATTTTGTTTGTTCGTCTGCTGCAAAGAGTCCTCTCCAATCATCATCAACAAACCATCATCAATATTATTTCCTTTTATACATTAAGTTAACTTAATACAAAGATAGAGATAGATATATTGATATATCGGGTCAATCAATCAGTCAATCACACACTCAAACACACTTGTCCAACCAAGCCCTAGCCTCAGCCCAAGCCCCAGCCCAACCCCCAAGCCTCACTCCCGACCGACCAACAACCACACACACAAACACAAACACGAACACGCACAAGGACATACTTAGACATGGAGCCAAGACTAAGGAAGATGTCAACTTGCAGTAGCTTTGACAATCAGCTATCATTCATAAGTGATGATGATGAGGATGTGTTGTTCTTGGACGACGACTCATCTTCCACGACATCAGGTTCATTCACATCGATCAACAAGTTGACAATGTCCGACATCAACGCCATCCGTGATCGCGACCGACTGAACAGTCTCAGTATCGCCGCCAATGGTGTCGGCAGTGGCGTCAGTATCAATGGCCATGGTGGCAGCGTCAACTTGACCAGCCAAAGCAAGCTGGCCACGAGATACGCCGGTGGTGATACACTTGACAAGAGCACACCATGGTACGAGCAGCGCCAAGTGATTGCCTCGCTTCTACAGGCGAGAACTACAATGCGCCAGCTTTTGGAGACAAAGGGACATGAGTCACGTCTTCTGGAGGGCAGTCTATGCGTCTCGGAGATACAGGCAATGCTAAACAGTCAGCGCGAGGACCTCGAAACTGATTGGATCGCCGAGATCCAAGAGTTGAAGCGCAACATGGTCTCAGAGATCCGTCGCAACCACCTACTAGAGCGCGACCTCAACAGACTAGACAAGCGTATAGCTCTATTAATCAAACATAGGAATAACATAAAGGTATGGACATGGCCCTGGCCTTGGGCCCTGACCCCTGATCACTCACTCACACTCATTCAATCGATCTAGGATCTAATTGCACCAGAGGAGAAGAAAAAGACGAGGAAGAAGCATGATGTGGATGCTGGTAATATGGATCCCAAGCATATTGAGTCATATCAACATCTGTTCTACTTGTTGCAAACTGAGCCACATTACTTGGCCAAGCTTGTGACCCAAGTTCAGTCCGATCAAATGGATACCTTCCTCGACACAGTAATACTCTCACTCTTCGGTGATGCCTTCTCTCCACGTGAAGAATACCTTATACTCAGTCTATTCAGGGTATGTTTGAATGCCATCGACATGGTGGCCATCACATGTCCACTCACTCACTCATTCAATCAATCAATCATAGTTGGCGATCAGTCAAGAGATGTCTGGTGTCAAGGCTGCAGGCGACTTGATATCGGTTGACTCGGTGGTACCAAAGATGATCTTGACATATACACGAAGAAAGCAGGGACATGAGTACCTGTGCCAAACGATCGCCCCACTGCTGGAGCAGGCCGTGATCAATGCGCCAGACCTCAACCTCGAGTTGAACGCCGTACAGATATACCAGGGCATGATCAGTGAGCAGGAGATACAGACTGGCGCCAAGAGCAATATGAATCGTGGACTGCCAGAGGAGCAGATACTTGCGATGCGTGAGGTGCAGGACATCCTGGCGGCGCGCGTCCAGCAATGCACACGCATATGCGAGCAGTTCTTCCTGTGCATCATCCAGTCGCTCAACCGCATGCCATACGGTATGCGCTGGATCTGTAAGCAGATCCACGCCATGGCCAAGACCAACTTCCACTCGAGCGCTGACGAAGTGGCCAAGGTGATTGGCTACTTTGTATATTACCGCTTCATCAATCTGGCGATTGTCACGCCAGATATGTACGAGATCATCAAGAAGGAGTTGCCCAACAGCGCGCGCAAGAACCTGGTGACGATATCGCGTGTCCTGCTCAGCCTGTTCACGCTCAAGACCTTCAACAACCAGGGTGGTGACCGCTGGTTGCAGCCAGCCAATGCATGGATCACCTCGCACATGGACACTGTGCGCCGATACTTTGACGACCTGATACAGGTGACCGACCCGTCAGAGTACCTGCGGGTGGACAAGTACAACGAGCTGACACTCAAAATCAGTCCCGTGATCGTCGTGTCACTTAGCGAGATTGCCCAGACGCACAAGTTGCTGCTCGCGCATCTGCGTTCTCTCAAGACACGCGAGAAGGACGACCCGCTGGAGCTGATCCTCAAGGCACTGCCGGCGGTCCCGATCGATGTGCCCGAAGAGGCTGACCGCGACCTCCAGCTAATGCTAATCAATAGATTCAAGGAGCAGATGGAGCACGATATCACCGTGTCTGTGTCACCACTGGCCCAGACCAAGGAGCTGGTGCTCCAGGTGTTCCGCGCAATGCCCACGCAGGCCAAAGAGCGCGCAGACACCAAGGACGACTTTTTGGCCGTTCTCCAGACGGCCATCTCACATGGACAACAGACAGACAGCACACAGCTCGTAGCGGCCGCCGAGAAGATCAAGGACAATCTGAGAAAGATGGAGTCGGACGGCTCGCTGGGTGCCAACGGCGGCTACGAGGGCTTCCTGCGCACGATCGCATTGGAAGTGATCAATCGACAGGAGATCCGCGAGAACCAGCGCAAGGAGCGAATGAGACTGACCATCGCGTTGCGCGATCTCCGCAAGCATCAGAGTTACCTCAACGAGCAGATTCAGCAATACACATCGTATCTCAAGGACGTGCTGCTGCATTATACCTCGCACAACAAGGACGGCAGCAAGAAGAAGGCCAACAAGCCCGTGAAGATTTCATTCAAAGAGCTGTCCAAGAAGGGCATCATCGTGGAGTCGGACATCCCGCGCCTGTCACATGGCGCCACCAACTTCTACATCACAACAGACACACCTGGCATCTTTGACATTGAGGCCAAGATTGGCGTCACAGTGGTGGGCACCATACAGATCGAGTTGGACGACCTCCTTGAGAAGGCAACAGTCGGCATCCAAGTTCTCAAGCTGGACAGCATAGTACTGGATGTCAACATGACACTACATCTACTCAATAAGCATTTCCTGAAGAAGTTAAAGTGATCGTGATGCGATGTGATGTTAGTGTGGTCAACATTATCATCATCAATGCAAGCTGGCCTTGTAAGAGAAGTCTAGCAAGCTGTCAACTTTTATTATTTTTGATTGATTGATTGATTGATTAAATCAAATTTCCGCAATATACAAATAAACAAAGGAATAGCCTGTTGCTTTCCAAGGTTTGCCAAAGTAATCTCCAGAGAAATCGCCCAAAGTATACCCTGGCAATTACCATAATACTTAAGGGAGTCGCCAAGTAGTGGCGATGACTTGGCACAAGTAATTGCCAAAGTATATTATTGTAAGTGCCAAACTAATCACCGATGTGTACATTGTTGATTGCCAAAGTAACATTCATTTATGCTACATGTTAATCATGATGACACTCTTTCAATTGAACACGATCGCAGAGGTTGTCTAAGCCAATGATGAACAGTTTAAATCACTCTATTGGGTAGATAAGTTCACCTTTCTAGAGATATTGAACAAGTTCAATCAAGTGCTATCAATCAATATATCTATACGAAAGTTAATATGTTTCTTCAATCATCTAAAACAATATCCTACTGCTAGACAAGAGAAGGAGAGGTATGGTTGGGACCCAAAGACAATCTCTATTTACCGTCAACAAGTTATTGATGCCTTTGATCGACTAATATCAGAGGAGCCACAATATGTAAGTTCGCGAACATATCGATGATCGATCGATTCACAACATATTCACTCAAGTCGACAAACAGGGACTACCAGAGATGAGATTAGAACAAACACCTTTGGTCATCGATGGAACAAAGATATACTCGGTAGTCGATACATATATTTATCAGATTGAGAAACCCAAGAAACCAGAGTTTGATGCACAATATTACTCTGGCAAACATGGTATCCATTGCATCAAACTTGAATGTTGTATCAATGTGACCAATGGCTTAATCAACTGGGTATCCGATGGTTTGTATCCATCCATCCATCAATATTATATTCATCACTTATCTAACTCAATAATACTTTAGTTCATTATATAGGCTCGGAACCAGATCTCTTTCGCTGGCAGAAGTGGAGTGATGGACAATGAGAAATATAGATTACTCGAGGATGAAAGGATATTAGGTGATTCAAGATATGTTGGTGAAGAGGAAGACAATGTCTTTATAACTCCGGAAAAGGGAAGACCAGAGGATTCGCCAATATATTCAAACATATTGAAAGAGTTAAAGCTATCACAACGGACGGTCATTGAGAACCTATTTGTCAAACACAAGATATCCTTACGTATATTACAAACTCCGTACCGAGGAACTGACCTGGATCAGTTTACCGATCTTATCCACATCATATACTACATCATGGCTATCTTGCTCAAGAAGCAACCTTTGAGAAAAAACAAGTAAACCATCACATTCCTCTATTTTACTTGATCTTCATGAAGTCCCCACACGACTTGAAGTTGAACACTGGATCATTTATTTGTTCATTCATTTGATACAAATAATACAGACAGATAATAACAATATATATATATATATATAATGAAACTCAATGATTTACAGAGTCATCAATATGGCCTTGCATCATTATTGAGGTCAAACTCAAATGCAAAGAGTTTGGATACAATCACAGCAAAGAGAAATAATGATCTCAACAAGAAGAGATCAGAGAAGAAGAAGGGCACGGGTTCACTACTCCAAGGTCAACTCTCATGGAACTACTTTAGCAAGAGTATGATCTCACACGACTTGCCGCATGAATCACTCAATCACTCACTCATTCAATCATTCAATCAATCAATCAATCAATCAAACTTAGAGGATGAACCTGGTCAACAACATCAACAAGAGAAGAAGAATAGATTGATATATAATAAGTTCTTGGAGATTGTTATGAAGTTGGTGGATAATGATGAGATACCATCCGAGGAATTGCACGTTGCATCTTATGAGACGTTCATGATTGTTGGCAATCCAAACAAGGACGTTGTGACCAAACAGCAGTTGTTACAACAGTTGTTTGGCTCGAGTTTCAAGCTCAACCTGTATCAACAGCTCACCGATTTGGTGACACAGCTTCAGGAGATCAAGAATCCCTACCAGGAGGACATCACGCTGTCCAAGCAGTCGCTCACCAAGATCGATGAGAACGAGTCTCTCGAGTGGGGATCGGCCACAGTCAGATTGGACTCGGTCGACGATATCTTCTTTGACATTGAGTCGTTCGTCTCGGCTGAAGCCGCCGCCAATGAGAGGGCTGCCGCAGCGGCCGCCGCTCAAAAGTCTGGAAAGGAGACAATACTCATACGCAAGGCTGGCAAGAAGGGCGACAAGGCGAGTGCAGGTGGTCAGCCATCCACCTCTTCAACATCGTCCCAATTCAATCAATCATGGTTGATTGACAAATGCTTGGATATCTCAAAGAGCTCAGGCATGCCTGCCGACCAAACAAAGCAGAGCATCATCGATATCCTCAAGAATCCAAAGAGTATGTATTGTCAAAGTTGACGTGCACGCATGCGCCTGTTGTGTCCATCTCGCTAATGTCAAACTTAGACATTCAGGAGGACTTGATTGGAGTATTGGGATTCGATCACTTGGACTTCATGGAGTTGTTGGTCACTCATCGTTCAGATATATTGGCATCAATGCTCAATCCAATCAAACAGGCCAATCAGGGCCCATTGTCATCATCCATCACCATTCAATCTAGCGATGATAAGGCTGCTGGCAAGCTCAAGAAGAAGGACGACAAGAAGCGAGCAAAGGGCACAGTGTCCACGATGACAATCAGCAATGAGGAGTACGAGGTATATGTGCCAAAGGAGGCCGCCACACCGGCCATTTACACGCCACAGACTGAGTTCAAGGGCACCGATCTCAACATCCAGGCTGGTCCAATCTTTGGCAAGGCGGCCCTGCCTCCCGACACCATCCGCAGGGAGCTCGACACGCACATTGAGGTCACGCTTCCCCACGCCAAGAAGAAGCCAATGATGGACGACGAGCGACTCATCCCAGTGACAGAGATCGACGAGCGATCGCAAAAGGCCTTTGGCAGCGTCAAGTCTTTGAACAGGATTCAGTCAAAGGTGTTCGAGGTGGCCTACAAGTCCAACGAGAACCTGCTCATCTGTGCGCCAACAGGTGCTGGAAAGACAAACATTGCGCTGCTCACTGTGCTGCATGAGATCGAGTCCAACTACATGCCTGGCAACAACATACTGAATCTGGAGAAGTTCAAGATCATCTACATCGCGCCACTCAAGGCGCTGGCCTCTGAGATGACAGACAAGTTTGCCACCTGTCTCAAATACCTTGGCATCGTTGTGAAGGAGTTGACAGGCGATATGCAGCTTACACAGAAGGAGCTCAAGGACACACAGATCATCGTTACGACACCCGAGAAGTGGGACGTCATCACCAGAAAGAGCAGCGACGTGGCGCTCACACAGCTCGTGCGACTGATCATCATTGATGAGATCCATTTGCTGCACGAGGAGAGAGGTCCCGTGCTAGAGAGCATTGTGGCCAGGACGCTCAGACAGGTCGAGACCACACAAGAGATGATTAGAATCGTCGGCCTAAGCGCCACTCTGCCCAACTACAAGGATGTGGCGCGCTTCATTCACGCGCCGGCATCATCCACCTTCTGTTTCGACTCATCGTACCGTCCCGTGCCCATGACCAGCACGTTCATGGGAGTCAAGGAGCAGGGTGTGATTGCACGCAATAACATGATGAACCAACTATGCTATGAGAAGGTGGAGCGTTCCATCAAGGAGGGCTACCAGGTCATGGTGTTTGTGCACTCGCGAAAGGACACAGTCAAAACGGCCGAGGCACTGGTCAACCTGGCACGAACCAAGCGCTTCAGGTTCGGCGGAGACGAGGTCACCAAGACACACGCAGTGCGCGACATGGAGCGTGCAAAGGCCAAGGAGATCCGCGACCTGTTCCAATCGAACGTCTCGATCCATCATGCCGGTTTGCTCAGACAGGACCGTAACCTGGTGGAGAAGTACTTTGCCGAGGGTAGCATCAAGGTGTTGGTGTGCACGGCCACGCTCGCCTGGGGTGTCAACTTGCCCGCCCACACAGTCGTCGTCAAGGGCACACAGATCTACGACGCCAAGAACGGTGGCTTCATGGACCTGGGCATCTCTGACGTCATGCAGATCTTTGGTCGTGCTGGACGTCCCCAGTTCGACACGTTTGGCGAGTCGTTCCTGATCACCACGCACGACAAACTCGACCACTACCTCATGCTGATGGCGTGCGCGCTCCCCATTGAGAGTAGGTACATCAACAACCTGGCGGACAACCTCAATGCAGAGATCGTGCTTGGCACCGTGTCCAATGTCAACGAGGCCGTCTCTTGGCTGGGCTACACCTACCTCATCATCCGTATGATCATGAACCCACACGCATACGGTGTGCCGCTGTCCGAAGTTAAGCAGGACCCAGCTCTGACCAACTTCCGTGTCAAACTGATTGAGCGCGCCGCTACCCAGCTCGACGCTTCCAAGATGATCCGTTTCGACCAGACCACAGGCAATTTCTTCCCCACGGACCTGGGCCGCATTGCCAGTCACTACTACATTAAGTATCCCTCGATCGAGACATTCAATGAGATCCTCAACCAGACGATGCAGCAGGAGCAGGTTCTGACACTGCTGGCCAACTCTTCCGAGTTTGAGAATGTCAACTTGCGTGAGGAGGAGGTCAAGGAGTTGACTGAGCTGTCCGAGAACAGCTGTTTCTACGAGACCGAGGTGCTGGATCGCTACTCCAAGGTCAAGGTCATGCTGCAGTCGTTCTTGTCGCGTGCAAGAATTGAGGGATTCTCGCTCGTATCCGACTCCAACTACGTCATCCAGAACTCGAGCCGTATCCTGCGTGGAATCTTTGAGATCACAATGAAGCGTGGCTGGTGCAGCGTGTCCAAGCAGGTGCTCGACCTGTGCAAGATGATCGATCACCAGCAGTGGTACTTTGAGACACCACTGCGCCAACTTGGCGTACTCAACCAGGAGATCCTCAAGAAGATCGAGGAGTCGCAGTTATCCACGGACGACCTGGCCGAGATGGACCCAGGCGAGCTGGCCCCCATTGTCGGCAACCACACGATTGCCAAGTCGACCATCCGCTTGGCGCGCCAGTTCCCCAAGCTGGACTTTGACATTGAGATCCAGCCAATCACTTCCAGCATCATCAAGATCAATCTGGAGCTGCTGCCATACTTTGAGTGGAACGATCGCATCCACGGCGAGTCGCAGCCATTCTACATCTGGATCGAGGACAGTGACAATGAGTTCATCTACCACCACGACTACTTCATGCTGACCAAGCGCGCATTTATGAACCGCGAGGCTGAGCCCATCAAGATGAGCTATATCATCCCCATCCCCAACCCACTGCCCTCGCAGTTCTACATCCACTACATCAGTGACCGCTGGCTCAACTGTGATGAGCGCATCCCCATCTCGTTCAAGGACCTCATCATCCCACACCAGAACCGTGTGATCAACACCGAGCTGCTCGATCTGCAGCCGCTGCCAGTGCAGGCACTCAAGAACCCCGCCTTTGAGGCGCTCTTCCGCTTCACGCACTTCAACCCTATCCAGACGCAGGTGTTCCACACGCTCTATCACACCAACAACAATGTGCTGCTGGGTTCGCCAACAGGCAGTGGCAAGACCATTTGTGCCGAGCTGGCCATGTTCAAGGTGTTCCGTGATGAGCCACACATGAAGGTGGTGTACATCGCACCTCTCAAGGCGCTGGTTCGCGAGCGTATGAACGACTGGTCGGTCAAGTTGGCCGAGAAGCTGGGCAAGCGTCTGGTCGAGCTGACTGGAGACTACACGCCCAACATGATTGCGCTGCAGAACGCCGACATTGTGACGACCACACCAGAGAAGTGGGACGGTATCAGTAGAAACTGGAAGAACAGGAGCTATGTCACGTCTGTGTCGCTACTGATCATTGATGAGATCCATTTGCTGGGCGAGCTTCGTGGTCCCACGCTCGAGGTTATCGTATCGCGTATGAAGCTGATCTCCAAGGAGACTGGCCACAACATTAGGATCATCGGACTTTCCACGGCCATGGCCAATGCCATAGATCTGGCTGAGTGGATGGGCATCGAGAAGGTTGGCCTGTTCAACTTCCGTCCATCGTGCCGTCCAGTGCCCATCGAGGTGCACGTCCAAGGATTCCCCAACAAGAACTATTGTCCTAGAATGCAGACCATGAACAAGCCGGCCTTTGCCGCCATCCAGACGTACTCGCCTGTCAAGCCCGTGCTGATCTTTGTGTCGTCACGTAGACAGACGCGTCTCACTGCACTGGATCTCATTTCTCACCTAGTCGTCGACAACCCTGCACAATGGCTGCACACCAATGACATTGATCAGATGGTGGACCGTGTCAAGGACCATCACCTCAAACATACACTGTCATTTGGCATTGGCATGCATCATGCCGGTCTCAACGACAATGACCGAACGATTGTTGAGCGTCTGTTTGGTGAGAACAAGATACAGGTGCTCATCTCCACGTCGACCCTGGCATGGGGTGTCAACCTGCCAGCGCATCTGGTGATCATCAAGGGTACCGAGTACTTTGATGGCAAGACCAAGCGCTACGTCGACTTCCCGCTCACTGATGTGCTTCAGATGATGGGTCGTGCCGGTCGTCCCCAGTTCGACAAGGAGGGCAAGGCTGTGATCATGGTGCACGAACCAAAGAAGAACTTCTACAAGAAGTTCCTTTACGATCCATTCCCAGTGGAGTCGCATCTCAAGGAGTTCCTGCATGATCACATCAATGCCGAGGTCGTTGGTGGCACCATCCACTCCAAGCAGACCGGTATTGAGTACCTGACCAACACATTCTTCTTCCGCCGTCTGGTAGTCAGTCCCACGTACTATGGCATGAAGGACAACTCTGTGGACGCAATCAACCGATTCCTCTCGGAGCTGCTGGACCGCACTCTCGACGACCTAGCCGCAGCCAACTGCATCATCATCGACGACAACGATGAGATCATTCCCACAACAATGGGCAAGGTGGCATCGTTCTACTATCTTAACTTCCGCACTGTCCAAATGTTCTCGCGCGACATCAAGTACGACAGCGACATCAAGTCTCTGCTCAAGGTCCTGTGTAACGCATATGAGTACCACGAGTTCCCCGTGCGTCATAATGAGGAGTTGTTGAACCAGGAGCTCAACGAGAAGTTGCCAATCAAGATGTTCCAGTTCGAGGATGCCCACACCAAGGTTCACCTGTTGCTGCAGGCGCACTTTGAGCGATGCTCGCTGCCAATCTCTGATTACGTGACTGATACCAAGTCTGCCCTGGACCAGGGTATTCGTATCCTTCAGGCCATGATTGATGTTGCCGGTGAGTTTGGATTCAACTCGACCACCATCCAAGTGGTGCGTCTGTTGCAGATGTTGGTGCAAGGTCGTTGGGACACAGACAATAGCATTCTTATCCTGCCACATATGACCAAGGAGATTGTGGAGGCCATTGGATTCAACCTGCAGGTCAACAACCTCAAGGAACTTCTCAGTGTCGCCCCTGACAAGCTGAAGATGTTCATGGACAATGTCATGCACATATCACACGCCAAAGAGGTTTTGGACGTCGTTGCCAATCTGCCACGAATGAAGATCACACATATTGTGCCAGACAATGTGTCAGCCCTGAAGGAGACCACGATCAAGGTTAGGATACAGCGAACCAACAAGTTGTTCCGCAATGGTTTCGCGTACGCACCCCAATACTCAAAGGACAAGAACGAGGGTTGGGTCGTCATTCTCACCAACGACAAGGAGGAGTTCATTGGATTGAAGAGGGTCACCCAGATGGCCAAGGACTCTGGCTCTGTCACCTCATTCATTGTAACACCGCCCTCGGATGTTACCACAGCCGTCTACCATGTCAAGGTGTACTCTGATACCTACATTGGATTGGATTACTTCCATACCTTCCAAGTCAAGGTTGAGCCAAAGAAATAAACATCCAAGAGCAGAGTCGTAACTGATTAATTGATTGATTGTGTTATTATTGCGCTAAGATTGAAACCATGAAGATGTGTATCTCGGTGGCTCGTGATTCTACCAGTTAAGCAATGAGAAGCCCATCCAAATGATTGAAGTGCCTTTTGTAAAGAGTAGATGTTAGAATTTGTTGTAAGCTGGGCAACATCTAACAACTAGTATCATTACTTACTAGCAACGATGAAGGGTGGAATGGCATCCTTGACACTGGATGTTCTAAAGATAAGGGTCTCGGTGAAGAAGTGCAAGAAGGCCCAGACGAATGATACCCAAGTGACAAAGAACAGAGTCTTGTTGTATGGTGAGTAGGCAGTGGCAACACACAAGGTGAAGCTCATCAATGTCCAAATGCCAAACAGTCTAGCTGTCAGTCCAGTAACTGTATGACATATCATTGTGTTAGTTGGTTAAGATGTTCAAAGTTGGCACATCATCATTGATCATACTCTGCTTTGGATCGGATGAGTAAACGTTGGTTCTAAGTCTTCCAACATTGAAGAATGCTTGTGATGCTCCCAAAAGACGCAAGAATGCGACGATCAACAACCAGATTTGAATGCTCTCCATCTCTTTGTATTGTATCTGTATCTTAATATATGATTGATGTGTGTGAATGATGATCAAATGGTCTGATCTGACGACCGATTCACCCAAAAGATATTTGCAAAAAGTAGGACCCAAGACAAAGTGGTTGATGCTAGATAAGTACATTGACAGTAGTGATACAGGCAATTGATTCATTATTAATTAATTGTTTAGTTATCCTCGTCCTCGCTGCTGCTGTGATCGTTGTGCTCCTCCTCGACAGCTGGCTCGCCTCTTCTCTCCTCGACAACTGGTTCCTCCTCGTCAGAAGACTCCTCATCGACCAAAGTTGGCTCCTCAACCTCCTTAACAAGGACTGCTGGCTCCTCCTCGACAACTGCAACTGGCTCCTCAACAATTGCAACTGGCTCCTCAACAACTGCAACTGGCTCCTCGACAACTGCAACTGGGGTCTCCTCCTCAACAGCTGGAGAAACTGGGGTCTCCTCCTCGACAGCTGCAACTGGAACAACCTCCTCTGGCTTCTCCTCCTCCTGCTCAAAGGTGGCGCTTGGGTTGAAGACTGGCTTGACATCGTCCTCAACGTAGGTCATCTGTGACAGACGCTGGAACTTCTCGTACTCAGTCTCGGTGGCAGTGTTTTGCTCGATGCGGTCGACGGATGGAACGTAGTCCTCCTTCTTCTCGAGGTATGGGAATAGGTTCTCCTGACGCTTGGTACGTCCGAAGCCCTCGTCGAGGTTGCCCTTGAGAGCAAACAGCTGCTTGAAGTGGGGCTTGCAGTAGAGAACACCGTCAAGCTGGGCAAGAGTGCCGAGGTTCAAGATGACGGAGCAGTGAGAGCACTTGAGACATGTCTTGTGGAAAATGCGACGGGTGTCGGTCTCCTCGAGGACGACTTTCTCAGTCTGGTAGACGGTCTTGCTGCAGCACTGGCACTTGTCAGAGTTGGCAGATGAGAATCTCTTGGCGACGTCTGGGTTGGCAGAGTTGGTGTTCTTCTCCTTCTCGGCGGTCTTCTCAATTGGGACGAATGAACCAGCCTGCGAGACAACCTGTGGAGCCCACTTGTCGGTCTTTGGTGAGTTACCGGCGATCTCGTCAAAGTTACCCTTGGCGGCGAACAGCTGCTTGAAATGTGGCTTGCAGTAGTAGACTCCGTTCATGGAGGCGTAGGTGCCGAGTGACAGAGTGATCTTGCAGTGCGAGCACTTCAGACACTGCTTGTGGAGCACCTTCTTGTCGTCCTTATCTTCAACAATCAACTTCTCGGTCAAGTACACAGTCTTTGTGCAAACAGTGCACTTGTCGAGACTTCCAGAGAATCTGGATGAGATTCCAGTTGGAGTATCCTTCTTCTCAGTGGTCTTTGTCTCCTCAAGCTTAATGAATGAGGCTATTAAGAGGTAAAGAATGGAATGGAAGTAGAGATAGTTAGATCACTCATTCAATCATCCATCCAATCATCCAATTGATCAATCAATTTATACATACATGGAGCTGAAGCAGCTGGGTTGGCTTGTGGTGCCCATTGGGTGGAGTGCTTGGACTTGCCAAAGCCCTCGTCGTAGTTACCCTTGGTGGCAAACAGTTGCTTGAAGTGTGGCTTGCAGAACATGACACCGTTCAATGAGGCATAGTTGCCGAGTGACAATGTAATCTTGCAGTGCGAGCACTTCAGACACAACTTGTGGAAAGTCTTTTTGTCCTCCTTGTCCTCGACGACGATCTTCTCAGTGGCGTAAACAGTCTTCTCACAGGCTGTGCATTTCTCAGAACCTCCTCCAAATGTGACCATTCTTTATCTATTCATTCATAGTATGATGTTAACATTCATTCATTCATTGCACTCCATCCATTCTTCCATCCAACTCCATGATTCGCTCGGCCATCAACTCCATCCTTCCTTCCATTCTTCCGTCCATCCATTCTTCACGCCGCTCATTCATTCATTCGACCATCCTCTCTTCCTCTCTCATCATCTCCCTCATCATCTCCCTCATCATCTCCGGTCAGACAGTTGGATACTCACTGCTTAGGGTAAGGGTAAGGGTAAGGGGTATATTATTAAAAGTATATTACTAAGATGTAGTAGTATTAGAGATTGTTGTTGATTGAATGAATCGATTGACTTTCAACAACAGGTGAATTTGATGAACCTTTAAAGTGGAGTGTTCGTCGGGGATAATATTATATTATATTAAGTTAAATGTATTTATATTTAGAAGTGTATTATTACAACAAATAATATATTAATATTATGTGTATGTGTGGTATCTAATAATGTAACAAAGATGTATAGTGTAACAACAAGGCTATATTTGATTGATTGAATGTGAATGAATGATTGAATGATTGACAGCTGCAGCAACAACAACAATGAATAGAATGAATGGTCAGTCCAGTCAGTCAGAGGACATGGACAAGAAACAGAATCACACCCAATCAGCTCACAACCAACCACCACTAATCTCATACTTAACACGATGGGTTTTGATTTATGACATAAATTCAATTCTATACCCCTATCACCCAACAATCCATCCAGATCTCTCTACTTCATCCAAACACAGTAAAAATATTAATAATATTATTTGTTTCTATTCAATTATCACCCACACAGACAGTATATATCTGTGTTTTTCGCTTTAGACTGCGAACCCCTAATGTCGAACGACATTGTGATAAATTTGGAAGCCGTGCAGTGGGTGATTGATGGGGGAATGGTGGTGGGTGTGTGTTTTGGCAATGACACTCATTCGTTTCAAGCATCAGTTTAAGTGTGATTGATGGCGCGAGGATGTCTAAACACAAAACACAAGGATGTAAGTATGGTCAACCAATCAACCAATCAATCAATCATCTGTTGTCCAGAGACAAGGTCAACAAACCTTGGATTATTATATTGGTGTGCAAACAAGAAGCAAAGTTTATCAAACTGTTGTTACATGTCCAGTATTAATGTGCAAGAATAAGAGACAAGAAGCTGATCACTCCTTGACGAGCTTGGATGAGTGATGGTGGATCAATGGATGTCGACTGGATCAATGTACCACAGTGACCAGCCTCATAAGTAACAGCCTGGACAGTGCCTGGTACATTGTCAGCGTTAACACTGAGCAAGTGCCATGGCTATTATGATGATGGGTTATGGTACGCGCGCGAATGTGACGAATTGTTAGCAAATGCAAGGTCATTGATTGATTGGATGATGGATGATGAACTTACATCAAGGAGACCATTGGTAAACATGATGTTGGTACCTTGGATATCTTGTCCACCATAGAAGGCGTTGGTCCAGTCGATGTTGGGTGTCATGTTTTGGACGTCAAAGACTTCGGAACACCAGCGAACTTGCTCCTCGACGTTGAGGACGGGTGGGAACACACTGGTACCTGGATAGGTGGTGCTGTAGTAGCCAAACTCAACGCATGTCTGCCACATCCAGGCACGGCTGCCATCTTGGTCGTGGAGCGCAACCTTGCGCATCGAGTTGATGAAGGACTGGTGACTGTAGTCCTGGCACTGCGACTGGCCGCCAGTGACGATCTGCGCCCAGTTCTGGAGCAGGTTGGAGCTGGCCTGGGTCAGCGTGTTGCAGGTCGTGTTGAGACCCCAGGTGGGTGGGTTGTTCATCTGGTCGGCCGAGCCGAGCGCCTCAGTGAGCGTGTAGAGGAACATGTAGAGGTCGCGGGGGTTGCTCAGCGACTTGCACGAGTTGAAGATGGTCTGCAGCTGCTGCAGACCCGACTGGGTCTGTGTGAGCGCCATGATCTGGTTGGTGGCCTGCTGTGCGGTGCTGACGCAGTCGGGTGCGGCCGAGTTGGAGAACTGTGAGTAGTAGCCCGTGAAGTTGAGCTGGGCGAGCACGGGTCCACTGGGGGCCACACTGGCCACGACGAGCTGTGGGTACTTGAGACGGAACCAGGCCGACAGTGCGCCACTGTACGAGCAGCCAAAGACGACGGCGGGGTTGGCGGTGAGGCCGCGCTCCTCCTTGAACGTGGTGAGGAAGTTGGCGGCGTCGGCCAGCGCCTGCTGGCTGGTCAGGAAGCGCAGGTTGTTGGTGGAGAAGTCGTTGGTGGGGTTCGAGTCACCGTAGAAGCGATGCTCCAACACGACGTAGAGTGCGCCAAACTTCTGTGCCCAGTCCCAGATCTGAACCTCCTGGAAGTTGAAGAAGCCCATTGGTGCCTCACCTGCCAAGAAGAAGAAAATAGGTCCACTACCATCGAACCAAGTATCAATCACCTGATATTGTTGTTGGTATGTGTCAGTGTTGCTTGGGTCAAAGTGATCTACAAGCTAGAGTATCGTGCGTCCAACAATGATTGAATGATGATGTGATTGATTGAGTGAGTTAGTCTAACTTCTTGGTTCATCTTGTTCACAACTTATGTCATGACACATACCTGAGTGAACCAGAAGGTCTCGTTGGACATGATGTCTGGCTGTGGGAGTGTCTCGCGTTGCTTGGCAAAGCGCTGGCGATACAGTGGTGTGTTGACAACAGCATTAACAGATGTGGCAAGCACTGCAGCCAACACCAACAATGCAATCAATGATTTAGATGTCATCTTAATATCCTGTGTGTGTATTTGTAGTAGTATGTTCCTAGTAAGTTTCAGAAGTGATGTGTGTTGACATCTGATCACAAGGACCCTGTTGGTGAGTGTGTTTGATCAGGGCATGTAGTGGGTGTTTTGTCCCATGGGTTCCAAAAAAAAATGATCAGTCTGATTTTATTCGATTGACAAGCATGTCACAATTCCCAATCCCATTCCATCCAACCAACCAATGTCATACTTCGATTCCTTTATCCAATCACAATTATTATGATCCTAGTATTTCTTTGGAAATGAACAATTTTATTAATAATAATATTTATAATTTCCTTATTTTTTTAAGATTGCTTTATCTCTAAGTTCCTTCATTTCATCTTTCTTGTCAGACAACCATGAGTACACTTTCAAATGTCTCAAGTCCACTCCTCCTGGATGTAAGTCATCTGCCATCTTCCTCTCATTTATACTAGTACACAATTTCCCTTGGGCTAAGTTCAAAAGTGAGCTCATCAATTTGAGAGCGAGGCATTATCACTACACAATCAAGCTTTGAAAGCTTATCAAAGACGTAAATATGATAAAAGCTATATTTTATCGTCTCAAGGTAAGTTGTGAAATTAACAAAGAACCAATGATTGAATGATGATCGATTGTTTGACCTCTAGCTCTATAATATTTCTCCATGATTGATTAATTATATGATAATTTCTTTAATTGATAAATGATATAATGATTGATAAATTGAATCAATCTATTCTATTTATAAATATTACAATCTAACTAATAATGGAAATATATTGGATGTCCATCAACAGAATTGGAATTAAACGACACAGACTAATATCTCAAAAAGGTAGGAAACAGTATGAGTTTTCCTTAAGTTTATTCTCTGGTTTTCATGTTGATTACATTCTTGGAACGATGCATTCTCATCAATTGATACTTGTACTTCTTAAACAATAGTATACCGGCTAGAATGATACCAGCTCCAATGATAGAACATACAACCACAATGATGATCACCTTTGTATTGCCATTGCCAGATGATGATCCACATGGTGTATCCTTCTCAACCTTGACCAAAGACTGGAAGCTTGGATCTACAATACACTCCTTGTCAAAGTGTGGCACACGTACTGATGTCAAATAGACAAAGTCACTCATGCTGTTCTGAGGCAGTGATGTGTAGAGTGTGTCATTGGCTGAGATGTCCTCCAAAGTGGACTTGACTACACGTCCATCAACATAAAGATGGCTGGCGAATGACGCGTAGAGCACTGAGCGTCCAGACTCTATGTAGTAAGAGTTGACACCATTGCGCGCAGTGGTCTGTATGCATGGGTTCTTCTCTTTGGCAGTCTGGCTGGCAATGACCAATTGCAAAGTATTGACATTGTTTGAGAATGGCCATTTAGCAATTGATACGGTGAACTTTACAGAGTTGGCAGCAATGTGGATGTCCTCGCCTGTGAAGTGGACGATAGTATCGTCCTTAAAGTATTGGATGTGCAAGCCAACAGTGATATTCTCGCCTGCGAATTGGCCAATGAGCTGGGTACCATCGTCATTGGCATTGGTGGAGTTGGTCCATTTGATTGATGACATGACCAGGGTCTTGACTGTTGCGTCCATGTTGTCAATCTCGCGCATGTATACAATTGATGTGTTGAATGATAATGTGTCGGATGGACTGATCACCGTGCCACCATCGATCACTGGAGTCTGTGCTGGGATGGTGTTGACTGAGCATTGTTCGCCAATCCATCCAGCTCTGCACACACATTTGCCACCCACAGATACACCATGATCGCTGCAGTTCGTTTGTGTCTCATTGATGTAGTAGAACACCTGCTTGGTGTTGGTGAGGGTCTGCGTTGTGACGTTGACAGGGAGTGACTCAATCGAGCCGGCTGGGATGGGCACTGTGCCGTCAAACATGCACTGCAGCATCGTCTCGTTGATGAACGCTGTCTTGAGGTTGGCTGGCGCGTAACAGGGCACGCCACTAATGGCCACTGTCAAGTTCCATGGCGAGAAGTAGTTGCCAACGATGGTGATCAGAGTGGTCTGGTTCAATCTGCCTGGCGTGGCCCACTCAATCACTGGTGCCATGATTTGGGTTGAGAATGGTATTGATACAATGCCACCAACTGACAATGTTGAAGCTTGCCCTAAATGTAGATTTCCAACCATTGGTGATGGCAGTTGGCATGTTACCGACATGTGCGCCTCCAAGAACTTGACATTCAAACACTTTGATTGACCAATCGACACTGATACCAATGAAGAGTTGGAATAGAAGTTGAATCCAGACACGGTCACTAGTCCTCCATTGACACCTACTGGTGGCAATATAGATGTGATGAATGGGGCACCATAGTTGACGTTGTAGTTGGTGACGATGACGGGACCCAGTCCAAACTGCTTATGTATGATCTGAAGGGCGTGGGACTGGCCGTATCCAGGAGGGATGGGTAGTGCAAGTGTTGCCGAGTAGAAGTCCCTTAGGATGGAGTATTGCACGCCCTGGTATGTTACTGTTAACGTGTCAAAAGGTTGTCCACGCCTGCCGTATGGGACATTCTTAGTCATTCCCTCGGTTGGCATATCGTCAATGGGGGCTGTAATGTTTGTCATGGTTGTGTCTGGGGAATAATTGATTGATTGATTGATTGGTTAGTAATTGATTGGAATAGTTCCAGTGAGCTGAACTTACTCATTAGTAGCTCTGTGAACACTCCTATGTAGGGTGATGGAGGGATTGCTCGTTTGTAGCCACTATATCGAGGCGAGTAGTAGTATGGGACTCCAGGGGAGGCGGTTGGAAGGGGGATCGAAACGTCAATGTACGGTTGGGTGTCCTTCATCGGACCATCGTCTATAAGTAGATGTCCAGAGACATCCTTCAATGCTACAGAGTAGTATGCATCGATCCAATGTACACTATTGCCATACCAATCCACTGTGCCACCTGGACACATGCTAGCCGTGTTATTCTTGACACTCTTTGTACCAACGAAAGATAAGATTCCATTCATTCCTTGAACACTCTGGCTATGCGCATACTGGTATACATCTGTGAATGTCCTAAAGCATGTATAGACCGAGTTCATCTCCATATCATCTGTTTGATTGAATGAGTGAGTGTAAGTGATTGAGTGAGTGATTTAGTGATTGAGGGACACTTACAGAATGGTGGCTTGTTTGTGATCGTGTAGACAGAGTCTGTGGCAATGGTGATGGGGACAAGGACTTCGTTCGAGAGGTCTTTGGTAACTTGACATGTGATGGCGCCAGGTGCCAGCCAATTGATATTGGCACAGGGCACTGAAGTGTTTGTGAGGAATACTGATGTCTTGCCATCAACTAGATTGTCTCCTAGAATGGTGATGAGTGACTGAGAGGCAGTTGATGGAAACACCATTGTGACATAGGGAGCCTTGTACTGGAATGTTGTGGTGCCCAGTGTTATACCAAATGATGTGATTGATACATTGAATGTTCCTGAGCCTGGTGGGATGGTAGTTGACAACGAGGTGTTGGACAGGATCTTAATATTTGTGCCACTGAACATCTTTCCTTTGTCCTCACCAACAAACGTGATGGTGTAATCACTTGATGATGTTGCTCTTGGCACCAATGTCATATTAACAATATTATTGATTACAACATCCCCACCTACGGTCCTCACTGGAGGGATGAATGGATCTATAATTGATTGATTGATTGGTGGTCATCATGTGACATGTTAGTGATGTGATGGTTTGGATGTGATGAGATGGGTTTGGTTGATCATTTACCTTCCAATCCACCATATTCACATAGATAGCCTAATGAAGTTGTTGGATCACAGTTATCCCAGAGTGCCAGATGATTGATGTTGATGAGGTTGGTGGACATCACGATGCTCGTTTCATTAGAGTTGATATTAGGTTCATCTACATTGATTGATCAAGTATGTTAGTGCACTGCATCATGTGATGTGATCACCAAACTTACATATATTCCAGGAGCAGAATATTCCACACTTTGAATGGATTACATTGATGAATGGATTAGTATGGTATGGATGAGGGGATTGATTCTAATCATACCTCATCAGTGTAGACATTGTATAGTGGTTGTCCATTCTCTGGACCAGATGTATAATAGAAAACACCTGGTTCACTCTTTGTCGATTGACCTGATATCCAGAACCTTGTATCCTGCATATCTGACCTAAGTTTATACTGTTGAATGATCCAATCATTCTCTTTCTTTGATGTTATTGTTACCATATATCTATTATTATGTGTTGATTGATTGATCATTTGTTTGATTAGTAAGTAGAGTGACTTGATAGAACTGACTTAAGTTGACATACCCTTTCTTCTCTTTGTATGATGATTGTTCACATGCTTTGAGAGCATCTTTGTATTGTACATTGGTTGGGTTGAACTCGTAGTAGTTACCATTAAACTCTAACTTGACGGCATTGACATAATACTGTTCATGTTCAATGATCATCAACAACAATGATGTTAATAATACCAATGTACAAAACATTGGCAATTTATAACTTAACATCATGATTAAGTAGATATATTATATTGTTGTGTATCTTTGTCTATGTTGTCTTTGTTGTTGTCCTTGTCTGAGACAAGCGTAGTTGTCTTTACATTAGTAAGAGACACCTGTCTCATCACTACACTCCCCAAGCCCGTATATCTAACCCCATAAATGACGTTATTAGGCCTTCATCTTATCTGATTAGACACCTAAAGGTGTCCAAGATATTTCAGGTCCCTTGATCGATTTTTGTTGGTGGACTTCCGATTGATTGAAACACACAACGCCTCAATCAATCAATCAATCAATCATTCAATCTATCAATCATACTTTATAACCAGACAATAAGACTGATTTATTTGTTGATGACAACTCGACATAATCGGTGAGACTACATTAATACACAACAACCATTGCGACTGTTCACTCCAGCATTGAGTTGGTTGATCGTGGCCTTGATGGAGGGAAACCCAGTGTCCGGATGATCGAGTGCTGCCTTGATGGCTGGCAATCCCGTATCAGCATGAGTGAGTGCTGCTTTGATGGCTGCCAATCCAGTCTCCGGATGATCGAGTGCTGCCTTGATGGCTGCCAATCCTGTCTCAGGATGGTTGAGGGCTGCAATGATGGCTGGCAATCCAGTATTGGGATCATTGATTGAAGTGTGAAGAGCTGTTAAAGACTCCTGGATGACTTTAAGAGCAACAAGAATTTCCTGTTGTTGTTGCTCCTCCATTCCAGATCTAATATTAGAATAATGTCAGAAGAAATATACTATTTATAATGTAATCTGGATATAAATATATAAATACATACTCAGAGTTATCTGAAGTGTTGTTGGTGTCATTGTTGATGTTGTCGTTGTTGGTGGATTGATCGGACATTTATGAAATGATATTATTTCTATATTAGTTATTGGGTATAAATAAAATATATTTATAATATTATAAATTGCTTCAAGGTAGGTAGTAGGTAGTTAGGAATGAGGTAAATGTTGAGGTTATTAATGTTAGTCCGACTACTCTACCTTTCATATTTATACTGGCTCGTTCGTGGATGTACTCACTTGTTTCCTTTCCATCACTTATTTATTAATAATACCATGGGGGGGTATGACCTGTCAAGTCGTCTTTACCTTTACCCAACTAGTTAACCAAACAACCAACTCAAAGTACAAACTATCCAAACAATTGAAGTTGAACTATCATTAACAAAGTACATGTCGTCCTTGTTACTGTGCACCACATCGTTTTGATCGTCATTGTGGTGTGTTCAGAAAGGTAGTCTCTGACGTCCTATCAATCAACATGTTTGTTGGTGTGGATGGTCAAGCGATGCCATTGTTCCAGTATGTATGTGTGAGAGCTAGTCCCCTCTATGTGTGACTCTTTGACTCCAATATCCCACTTGCCTGTATTCTGTCGACACCTCATTGCTCTAGACATATATGTGCTGCTTTGATGTAGGTGGCTATGACTGTCAATATGTCTTGTTGTCATCGGCTATATGTCAATCCATCTATCTATGCATCGAATGAATGAATGAACGAATGAAGCAATTCCAAAAAAACTTAAACTTAGATGTTGGACGGGATCAGGTTCACAAGGTGACTAGTATATGTTATGAATGAATACTAACATGATCACTAATACATATACTAGTATTACTATTACCTTCCCATCCAACAGGACATCCAAGAGTATCTCAGATCACCCAACATGTCCCGATTCAAAGACAATGAGGGAGTTGATTATGATTGGACGGTCTTTTTGAATGAACATTATTGAGGAGGCTTTTTGATTTGGAGCAAAGTATAGACTATGGGAAGGCCTACCTCTAGAAGTTGGAATCAACCCTAGGAGGAGTACTTACAACCACATTGATCATCATCAAAATGATTGTCCATAGTATAACACAACAACAATCACGATCATACATTATCATTGTCATACATATTTAATAATCAAACAACAATCAATCAAACAAATAATGTCAACATAACCACAACCACCTATAATGGTTGCAATCGATCCTAACAACTATCCATACTAGTTTAGAGCTGCCCCGGATCCTGATTTACGTGGCGCCGACGTTGATGTTTGGAAGACTGTTGCCCTCGTCATGAAGAGGGATTTTACCTTTGTTGAGGCTGCATACCCTCAGTCACTAGATCTCTTGAACAAAGGAACGGTTAGTGTTGTTATCGGCCGTGGTGGTTTGCTTGAGCCCAACCTGGCCGCCTACGCCTACTCCGACCCATATATGAACGACGGCCTCATCGTGCTCAAGTCTGGTAACAACGTTGTTACCAGACACTCAGATTCATCTCTATGATGGTATTGGACTGGCAATCAATAGGGTAAATGACGGAACTATCAAGTCGCTTTTGGGCACCGCTTCAGTGATACTGGCCAAGGTCTTGTCTATGGTAGCTTCCCCCAATGCTTCAATACGCGTCCAGCCGTTGGACCATCTAGACCAGGTGACACCAGTTGGATTTATTCTCCGACAACACTACGCCCTGATCTTTCCCATCAACCAGGCCATCTCAACTATGAAATCAGAGGGCCATCTCTGGAAAATATTCATGAAACACTTCTCGTCCTACAGACTTCTCCAAGTTTAATTTGGTTTGGGTTGGATGAATGTGGATGGGATGATACTCGCTCTCATCATATCCAACTACAACAACGAATGACAGTTGTCAATTAAACATAGAGTAGACTAGTTAGAGTAAGGTAGGTAGACATACATTACCCTCGCACATGTTATAACGAAGAAGGAGGGAACATTGGGACAAACTCAGCAAAGACATAGTTTAAAATTCGGATTCGAAAAGACATGGATGGGGTGAAGTTGCTGATTCCGACTCATTCACATGAATGTAGCTTGGATGTCAACACACTTAAAAGGGTAATGTAACTCATTCATACTTTACTTTAACCTTTATATACTTATAACAAGTAGTAATACATATACTATTAGTAGTAGTAATACATAAGAATGAAGACTACTGTTATATCAATAATAGTATTATTGATTATATCAATCACTTTTGTGATCTCTTCAACTTCAACAACAGAGTCAACAACCAACAAAACACCTCTAAACTTAAATAGTATTAAATGGACTACAGAGATAATGTTAACTGAATGGGATGTGATCGGTCCATTCCCATCGGCACCAAGAGAGGATGGTGCTGATGTGCTTGATGCATTCGGTGGCATCACTGGCATCCCACGTGCCGACCAGACCACCTACCCCACAGACATCACTGACAATGGCCGTGCTGGCTGGACCCACATGACCGTGCCAAACGGCGTCGTCAACATCAACTATAACGAATCACAGGGTGTCAACTGGCCCCTTATCGAGGCGTGGGCTGGATCATCCGGCTCCTACTTTGCTGGCTGGGCGCTGTCCGACTTTACAATCAGCTCGCCAATGACCGTGATCACATCGTGTCAGGGCACTGCCAGATACTACCTCGACAATGTGCCAATGATGGGCGACTCATACAGCTCCGGTCTATCATACGGATCGGCCACACTCCAGCCCGGCACTCACACAGTCCGTGTTCGCATCATTGGATCTGAGGGCGCAGGCTTCGTCTGCACCGTTCAAGGCTACGACGCAGTCGAGTCAGCACCATTGTTGTTGCTCAACGATGTGCTCGTGTCTGATGTCGTCCAGGGCTCATTCGCCTCAAAGTACGCCTCGTTCGTCGTGCTCAACATGATGCCACAGCCAGTGCAAGTTGTCGGCGCGACCACCTCCTATCCATTCTTGGTGGAGGTGATCCAGCGTTTGGAGCCAATCGCCGTCGGTCAGATGGCACCAATCAACATCCAGCTCTACTCGTACGCCGAGCAGATCGAGTGCACCAGCGCCAATGTTGTCTCAATCCCCATCAACATCAGCACAGACGCATCCTCAGTGGACCTCCAGGTGCTCCTGAACTTCTCCTGCAAGCCCTTTGGCGAGGCCTACATCTTCACCTTCCTGGACTTTGACAACTCTGTGCAGTACGCCGCTGCCACACCTCCCCTCTATGAGTGTGGTGCCGACATCAAATGTCCAATCCTGCTGACACTACACGGTGCTGGTGTCGAGGCCAGCTCCACCGCTTGGACTGGTGCCTACCAACGCCAGAACTACTCCTGGACACTGTTCCCAACCAACAGACGTAACTATGGCTGGGACTGGCAGGGACCAGGATTGAGAAACGCCTTCAGCGCACTCGATGTCCTTTCAAACCAACTCCCAGGTGTACCACATAACCTCACTGATCAATATGGCGCCGATCAATATCGTCTCCTTTACGCAGGACACAGCATGGGTGGACATGGTATGTATACTCTCGATACTCAATCACACAATCATTCACTCACTCATTCGATCACATCTGATCAATCTAGGATGCTGGCACGTATCTACTCATTATCCTGATCGTGCACTGTCTATTTCACCTGCTGCCGGATGGATTGATATGCAGGTGTACTCTCCATTCTTCTTGAGACTGGGAGACAGCTGGACCGACCCATTCGTTCGCTTCATTCTGGACGCATCTATCTCTGAGCACAACACAGATATGTACGTGGGCAACATTGCCAACATCCCCTTGTTGGCTCGCTTTGGCTCAATCGACAACAACGTGCCACCCTACCATCTGCGCCGCATGGTGCGTCTCTACGACGAGATCAACCACAACAACACTGTTGGCCTCATCTCAGAGATCCCAGGCGAGGGCCATTGGTTTAACGGAGTTGTTGACGACGCCATCATGCAGGCATTCTTCAACATCCACGTCAAGAGCGACATCCCAGCTCTGCAGACTCAGTTCGATGTGACCACTCTCAACCCTGCTTCGTCCGGCTCCAAGGGTGGCATCAACATCGTGCAGCTGCTCCAGCCATACCGTGTGGCCAAGATCAGAGTGCAGCAGCAGACCTCGACCGTGTGGAAGCTCATCACCCAGAACGTGCGCCGCTTTGGCTTTGACCCATACTTTGAGCAGCAGCCCACAACCGTGATCATCGATGGTCAAACCTTTGCCTACGCCGCCATGCCCAACCAGCACTTCTGTCAGCTGCAGCAGGGACGCTGGGCCGTGTGTGAGGACCAGTCATGGCTGTTCACCGAGAGAAACCCATCCAACTACGGCCCCGTCGTCCAGATCCTGCAGTCGCCATTGATCTTTGTCGTGGGTACCACGGGCCCAAAGGCTCAGACCGACCTTTACCTCCAGCTGGCCACATACATGTCCAACATGTTCTACTACCAGATGCGTTACGCTATTGAGGTGATGCCCGACACAGACTTCATCCCCGAGCTCCTTGACAACTCGAGCGTCGTTCTGTTTGGAGGCCCGCGCAACAACGAGGTCGCCTACAAGTTCCAGAACGAGTTCCCGGTCAAGTTTAGCGAGCAGGGTCCTGGATGGACCATTGGACAGAGTGAGTTCAACACACCAGCCACTGGTGTGCTCTTCATTGCACCATGCAGCCAGCGTCCCAACGAGTATCGTCAGGGATGTATGTTTGCCGTGTTGGAGGGTACCGATGAGGCCGGTATCACCAAGTCCATCTCGTTGTTCCCCACCAAGTCAGCGTTTGCCACACCAGACTTTGCCGTAGCCGGACCAACCTATGGCTACAGTGGATCGGCTGGTCTTCAAGCACTCGGCTTCTGGGACAACCATTGGCAATTCGATCCAACCAACTCCTACATATCCTACATCCAACATTAAATCAATTCATTGATTAAATAAGTGAGTGATTGAGTGAATGAATGAATGAACGATGACCCTGACAATAAGGATAAACCGCATGGTAACATCGTCGACCTGCGACACACTTCTAATAATATGTGTTTGTACATTGTACAGATAGATATAGCCGAGCCTTGTTTGGAAATGGCATGCACGTTGAGGCCTATGGATAGAGTCCAGAGGCCTGCCAGGTCCTTGGGTTCCTAAACATGTTCACCGAATAATGAAATTGTTTCAAGTGTGGCACGCACCCTTCAAACACACGCGAACTGTCGACACTTTCATCAATATCGCACGTGTGCGTGTGTGTGCGAGTTCCATTCAATTCCAATTTGTTGGCTAGCTGGCTGGTGCAGGAAAAGCAAATGGATTGGCGACCCTTCATACTAACAGACAAACAGACACGAATAGATACCTGGTCCATTATGATGATAATAATGATGATAATGGAAGACGATAGTAACTCATTAATATTTTCCCAATCTTTTAAATTACATGTATGTATTGAAGGATGATTACGTGATCATCTGATTGATCAAAGGACCTCTCACTAACAATCACTCAATCTCTCAATCACTCTATCACTCAAACATTCCAATCAACTTTGGAATTATCCCAATGACATAATCACAATTTGGAACTATCCCATACTCAATTATAACAGATAATCAATCAATAATGGCATCAATGATGTTGTTGATATTGTTGGTGATAATGACACTAAATATTAGTGTAACACAGTCAATCAAGGTTGAATCTGCGACTATGACACATGTCAAGACTAATGTAGTTGGTATTGATGTGGAGTATGCATTGATGGACATCACATTCGACCAAGAGTTGTATATATATCAGACTGTTGCATGTCCAAACCACACATGTCCATCACCACCGGCTGTGGACTGCACCTGTGACTACACCGATCCCAACGCATGTCCCAAGACAACGTCTGGCGATTCATCATGTCCCAAATGTCCGGTCAACAATCCGTTTGGAGTCTCACTCTGTGACTTTGACACTCAGCCCTGGGTAACAATCACAGCCGATGAAATAATCGATTTCTCCAACATCACTGATCCTGTATTCATCAGGTACAAGGCCAACACCAAATATTGTGAAGGTCTAAAGGTATGTCCAGCCTCCCCTCGCCCCTTCACTCGTCCATACTTACCAATCACTCAATCACTCAATCTTGCGATCAATCACACTGGAATAATTCCAATAACGAAACGATCAAACATCCTACTACAGCTGTATATATCACAATCACAGGGCAATGTTGAGGCACAATGGTCGACAGATGGAGACTTTGGAGTATTCACAAGATGGATGGGCTATGAGACAACGAGTATTATAAACTCAATCAATGTGTGCCCAACAGATAATGATTATTACTTGTATAATCCAAGTTGGACAAACAACACATACTTTATGCGATTGATACCCTCACGTCCACCTGCATACTTCTCGGTTCACATAGTCTCGGCGACCGTACCCAAGTTGGATACATCTGGCGCCCTTCCACGCTGCACCAACCTTACCAGCACACATAGATGCATCAATGATGGCGAACAGATCAAAGGCGAGTTCCCAACCAGGAATGACATTCACTTCTTCACCTACATTGTGGACCGCCCGCAGATACTCACAATCTCATGTCCGTGGTTACAACAGGCCTTGGAGGTGTATATCTCGTTGACTAAGGATAACATGTTCCCAAGGAATAGTTCCGCCGACTACTTCCCCGACTACCCCTACGACAAGGAGCTCACACTCACGATGGGACCACATGATGATGGCACGCCACAAGTGATGTACATCTCTTTCGTGCCATTTTATCCGACCAACTACTCATGTGTCTTGACAACGACGCCCACGCGATGGAAGCGATCGATCACTGACAACCCGGCCACGGCCGGATCATTCCTTCTGATGGGCACGGCCGAGCTGTTTGACATGAATGGCACCAGATACCAGAGTCCGAACTGGGCCAAGGCCAACCCGTTCTCCGTGCTATTCCCTCGTCAACACATCAATCCATTATGGCCAGTACCTGTGACCGTCGGCACATCCAACAACCTGTTTATAAACATCAACTTCTTTGGAGGGATGGTGTTTGACGAGGCGTCGAACCCGGCCAAGAACAGATCGTTCCAAGCAGCATTCCTCTTATCGTACAGTGACTACCACGAGACATCGGTGCAGGGCAATATACAAGACATAGCTCAGTCATACATGATCTTTAAGAACATGCTGGTGGACATCTATGGCGAGACGGTCAAAGGCCCAGTCTCATTTACCTTTGTCAACACAACCTGCGACTACACTGCCTATCAAACAGTATTGGACGAGATCAAGGCGACAGAGGAGGAGATATTTGCCTCCCGAGACTACACCGAAATGACCACACTCAGGTACACTCTGGACATCTTCACCTTACGCGATGGATGGTACGCATGCTACTCGCAGGCCAATGACCTGCTGTCCACGGACACGGTCAACATGACTATCCAGTCAACAAAATGCAGGTATGAGTTGGATGATCCGCGATGGGCACGCGACCCCTGCTGCAACAAGACCAACAGGTTCTATCAGTGTTGTGTACCTCGTGAGATCACCGTAGAAGTTCAATCATATGTGGGAGTGAGGAACAACGAGGTCCGCGATAAATGTGCCAGCTATGACTGCACGTCCTCAGTCTTAGATGAATACCAACACACTGTGGGCAGTCTTAACAATGGCGAGTGCAGCATCTCGCCAAATGACTACAAGGCCATTCAAACAACATTCGCGCTGGTCTTTAGATCGTGCTGGAGCAAGGTCTACGACTTTGTCGACTGCGACAACGACTCACAATGCTCTGGATACCAGTGCAACATGTATACTCGCACTTGTGAACCACCGATCGCCAAACAAGACTTGGACTACATTGGATGTATCGTCAACAACTCATTACCATCGACCATCTATTTCCTAAAGTACTCATTGGGATTGCAGCGCATCAAGGACAATCAGGAGCTGGTCCGCAACATCTATGACATGTTCTTGGACGATGACTGCCTTTCCGCTTCCGGGCTTTCCTACCGCAGCTACTACAATTACGCATCAAACATGGTGGACACCCAGGTGTACTACCCCTCTCCCAGATGCTACGATCAGTACTGTGTGATCGAGCATGACTTTGGCTATGATGGAGTGTTTGGCGGTTACAGATTCTATCAATACTTCTGGAATGAGACAGAGTGCGCTGCCAACTCAATCTGTCAATCGGCACAATGTGACTCGGAGGCACCGGGCTGCATCTCCACATGTGACACGAGTCCATTCTGCGGCTATTGCACGAACAATCATTCATTATGTCACAACTTCTACGAAATGATCACAACTGAATCAAAGTGCAACACATCGTCCAACATGTGTCTGTTGCCCAATGGTAACTATATCCCAGACATCAGTGATGAAGATTGTACTACGATTGAGGGCACATGCACCCAGGACTGCGGCCTGGAGTGCACTGGACCCTACACTGGCTGTGTAGCTGCAAGTGTGATGAACATAACAGCATGTAAAGCATTGTCGAATGGTGCATGGCACAATGACTCGATGTTCTGTGCGACCTCCGACTCAAAGACCAAGTGTCAACAACTAGGACCCGGATACACATGGATCAACTGTTCAACAATGTCCACATCAGAATGTTTCGCGAGAGTTGGCCCATTCATCAAGAACATCGGTAACAATCCCGACTATGTCAATATGTGCCAGGTCACACCGATCAAGTGTCTGACGCGACAAGAGTGCGAGGATCATGGAGGCCAGTGCTCGGACTCTTACTTCTTCGACCCTACCAATGTGTACGTCTATCCTCAAGGTCTGGGCAAGTGCGTCCACGGACACTTCAATTATTTCGATAACATGCCGCAGCCACATTGCAACGTCAATGAACACGACTCGCCAATGGGTTGCTACACCTTGAGACCATCTGTCTTCAACCAGACTGAGTGCGAGGCAGTGCCAGGCGACAAGAGAATATGGTGGACACAGGCACGCAACAAGGCTGAATGTTTGGCCCCCATGGGCTGTCTGGTGGACGACTTGGGCGACCTCAGCAACGTGTTTGAGTTCAGATTCAATGAAATGAACGAGTCACTGTGCAATGAGTGCAACAACAACTTCACAAATCGATGGACCAACAAGTTCAAGTGGACGCCAGGTCGTTGGCTGCCCGGTGTGCCAAAGAAACCGCAATGGATTAATGGTAGTGTCATTGTCAGCACGACCGCATGGCAACCAGCATTCAATCTCTCATCATTCTCCGTCAGCTTTGGTTATGCATTCTATGGCTACATGGTGGACCTGCTTCGATCCTCCGCAATGTGCCGCATGGAGCGACTTCAGAACAACATCCAATCGATCTCATGCAGCTGCTCGGGGCCAGGCGGCAAGGAGTGTTTCGAATCATCGGCCTTGATGCTCGGCTCGACCAGTGCCTGTGCGCAGCAGACGTCTACATTCACATTTGGTCATGGACATCTAATATTCCATCCAGAGTCAGTGTTCATATCTTGTGTCAATGTGATCGTGTCACAGATGAGTCGGCAGTTGTTCAAGGCCACTCCTCATATGTCACTAAGCTCGAACTTTGTGTCGTACAAGAAGCCTGATGACTATGGAATCACTAACAGAAATGGCGCAGTTGTTGGATCGATACTTGGCGATGGTATCAGACTACAGGCTCGTGGTATCTCATCTCTGACCGTCTGCTTGACCGGTGGTAACCCAACACGAGATTTCACTGTCTATGACTTTGCTGAACAGGATGAAGATTTTCCCGAGATACTAAGGCCGTTGAATGTTACTAATATGATGTTGGCAGCCAATCCAGGAGGACCGACACTGCCTCCACTCATCTGCGCTAACATCAGTCTGTCGCCATCGTATAACTGGTCACTACTCATATCCCATGAGCCAACATTCTTCCCAATCATACGAGTGGCCAACCATGACTGGCAATCAAACAAGAAACAAGTGTTTGATCAAACTGCCACCAGACTACTCTACGCCCTTGGAGCACTCTTTGGACTCTGTGCACTCTGGGGATTATTCCAACTTTGTGTCATACTTTATGATCGATTCAGGACCAATCAACCTCGTGTCAGCTTCAGGTAAGTGTCCTGGAATCACTCCACCAACGGAACTATTCCACTCACTCAATCACTCCCTCTCCAACAGGTTGGTCCACTTGCTCATTCTGACCATCACAATGTTCATAACGATTCGGTCGATATACTTCCTTATCCTGCCGTCCGGAAAGCTGGCCGACTCTCAACTTGCGGATTATGTGATGGTTGTGTTGCCAACATTCATCTACTTTACTGCATTCACAGTGATCATCGTCATCTGGTATATTATTGCCAGCTCTCAATTCCATATTAGCTTCATCTCGCGATTCAAACTGTTGATTGGTATCATCAACCTTGTGCTCTACATGATTTTCGTCATCATTGTACTGATCTTCAACTTTAGTCAAAGAGTGTTGGACAATGATTGTGGTGCCAGACGAGTTGTCGAGATGTCCAGGACCACCCCGCAGCGAATCGTTTCGATCTTCTATGCAGCGGCACAGGCTGCCATCTCATTGGTGATTGGTGCCGCCTTCATATACCTTGGCGTGTCGATACACATGTTGATGAGATTCCGCATGAAGTCCGACTTGGCTGGTGAGGCCAAGTATGCCCAACATTCAATCAAGATCACGGTGGTCACATTATGTTGCTCAATTGGATTCATACTACATTGTGCATTCGTCTTGGTATTGGTGGCAGCCGAGCCTTCCAACGTCATATTCAGCTTCATAGGTTTGATCATCACAGAGATTATTCCAACGATCAGTATACTATACGCTTACAATCAAGGTGTTGGCGTGATCAAGCTGTGGCCAGGTAGTGGTAGTAGCAAGTCCGACCAGTCTGGCAACAAACTCAAAAGACCAAGGAGATCCAAGCGCTCAACCAGCGAAACAACCCTCTCAATCTCCACCGCCAATCCCTCCCTCAGTACGGCCAATCCTCAATCATCCAATAACATCCAATAAAGTTCATTCATTCCTTCAATCAATCAATCATTCAATCATGTGAGACTGGGATAGTACCATCAAATCGATCAAGTTTATGAGCTGTTGGTTTTCAGGACGTCGATGTTGACTGTCGATGTGGTTGTCGTGGTTGTGGTCGTAGTATCGGCCTCCTCCTCGAGGACTCCTGTCGCCTCCTTGACCCTGTGATTCTTTGGCTTCTCGATTGTAATCTTGAGTATGTTGGCCAGTGATTGTACCTCTTGCTTGGGCACGAGAAGATGGATTGACTTCTTTCCACGCCACACACAGAACCTCATGCCTCTGCTCTGATCCTGATCAGAGCCATCGACAGTGATGACAAAGCAGCCTGGATCCAAAGCCTCGAGACGCTCCTCGAGCTCCTTGGGGAACTCGGTGAACATGGGCTCGGAGACCTTGACGATGTGCACGAGGTCGTCGTGCGATAACTGAAGCACACGCTTCGTCATGAATGGCTGGACCCAGGAGACGGCATCCTGAGAGATACGGTAGGGACATGTCATCATGCCCAAACCATCGTGCTTCTGGAATGCCTTGAGTCCTGCGTTGATAATCTTTAGTCGTCGCGTCTTGTCGCCCTTGACCAACTCCACGATTGGGTCGGACGCCAGGTAGAGCTTGCCCATCTTCTCCGACCTCGTCAAGAGGTTGGCGATTGGGAAAGTTGGCTTGAGGCCATAAAACTGCACGGCCATGTCCACCTCTTTCAAGTTCTCCTCAGTCAACAATATGAATGGCTCCTCATTGAACCTCACGTATGGGTTGTTCTTCTTCTTCTCCTCTGCTGCTGGCTCGGCTGTTGTTGGTGAGTCAACAGACTCCTGTTGTGGGGATGTTGGGGCATCAGAGGTGGTTGTAGTGGTAGTGGTCGAGGTTGTTGGTGCAGCTGATGCTGTGCCATCCAAGAATCGCTTTCCAATCTGTTTGGGCATGTCAGCCACCTTCTCGAGGACGGTGATGAAGAATCCACCAGTGTCTTGGAAGTGTGGATAGACACGCATGCAGTGCTGAAGACCAGCAGCGCGTGCCGCCTCCTCAGTGGGTGGGAAGAAAGTCTGCGGGATCTTGGCCTTCTTCATGGGTGGCACGTCATCCCATTTGGCAAAGCACTCACCCTCGCGGTCGATGACGGGCCACGTGTACATGCCATTGGCACGGATGAGCTCGGGGTGTTGTGCGCTGACATCGACCACTCTGATCGATCCCTCAGCGCGCCTGATCAACTCCATGACGACGGCCTCATTCTCGAGAGGGTTGAGCGAGCATGTCGAGTAGACCATGCGACCGCCCACCTTGAGCAGGTTGGCGGCACGTGTCGCAATCGATACCTGAAGCTTGTGCAGGTTGGCGCCGGCCATGACGGTCCAGCGCTGCCACAGGTCCGGGTTCTTGCGCAGAGTGCCATCGCCTGAACAGGGCACATCGGCCAAGATCCTGTCAAACTGCAGAGGGAGCTTGCTGCCATCGTCCTGGTCCAGAGTGAGAAGGGGGAAGTTCTGAGCCTCGTGGTTGGTCACGACGATGCAGGGTGTACCCAAACGTGCAGTCTGATGCACAAGCATGTAGCAACGACTAGTGTCGACGTCGTTGGCAATGATCAGACCCTTGGGCAATGTGTCCTTGGGCACGCCTTGATGCAGAGCCTCAATGATCTGTGTAGTCTTTGAGCCAGGCGCAGCGCACATGTCCAGGACCATATGGTTGGGCTGGACCTCGAGGAAGACGGGTGGGATCATACTGACGGCCTCCTGGCGCGTCAGATTGCCCTGCTCGTCGTGGTGAACCAGGAACTTTTGGAAGTCCGAAAGCACTGGGTTCTTCCTGAATGCGCGCTTGGGCACGGGCGAATGCCAGCCCAGATGATTTGGATACCATGGTATCTCGGTGGGCAGTGAGTACACGGTACCCTCGACCTCGACCTCCTTTGGCAATGCCTTAATCACAGCCTGCAATTGATCCAACACAACCTGAGTCAACTGTCCAATAGTAGTATTGATTCTAAATGTAGTTGGTAGTTGTTTGCCCATTGTATCCATGAACAACTTCCACTCCTCATCAGTCTTGAGTATGCCCATTTTCTAAACATTCATTGATTGAGTGAGTGAGTTGAGTGATTGAGATTGATTGAATGAGTGGCACAACAACAACAACAACAACATACTTTGTAATAGTTCTCAAACAACTCGTTACGTGTAACGATGTCAGCCCATTGCTTTGCGTTGGTACCTTGATCCCATGATTGATCAGTTCTATTCTTCTTTGTATTCCTTGTATCAATCAATGAGTTTGGACTTCCACTTCCATCATCAACTGCACCCTTTTGTTGTTGCTGCTGTTGTTGTTGTCTATTATTCTTCTTTCTTTTATTACCCATTATTATTATTATATGTATATATATAGAACTATGTATTAGTATCTATTTGAGATCAAATGAAGAGACAAAACGAAGAATAGATCGAATGAGGGCTCTTGACGAATTGAACGAAAGAGATGGAAGTTCCAACATTTGCCTTTTGCGAACAAACCATTCGTCGTTTCTTTTTTTTTCTCATTCAACCTTTGATGAGGATGTTGTTGAAGTGAGGTGTGTGTTTACAAGACAAAGGTACAAGTAGTTCATCTTGTGTGTTTAGCACAATCAATTCAATTCATTCAAATCAATCATAAACAATTATAATACCTATATTATAGTTATAATAGTTAGATAGAATATAAAACAATGTCAGAGACTACACCAGAGGAACTACCTTCATTCGACCTGACCCAGAAGAAGAAGAAGAAGACCACTTCATCATCATCAACTGGTATGTCAACCCATTACATTGCGATAGGGCAAACAACAAGAAGCAGATGTAACAATCTAGCGATCACTATATTATGAATATCAAACTTACTCAATCAATCAATCAATCAATCAATCAATCAATCAATCAATCAATCAAACTATCAAACAATCAAAAACAATATAATGAATGAATGAATAAACAGGTGAGGAGAAGAAGAAGAAGAGCACAAAGGTTACTGAACCAGTTGAGGAGGAGGTTGTAGAGAAGAAGAAGAAGTCATCATCAAAGAAGTCAAAGGATGAGAGTCCAGCACAGGAGGACGAGGATACAGTGGACTTTAACTCATTGAAAAAGAAGAAGAAGTCATCATCATCAAAGAAGTCATCAAAGGATGAGGTCGAGGAGGAGGCCCCCGCCGCCGCCGAAGGCGATGAGGACAGCGCCAATGTCATGGATCTTGGAAAGAAGAAGAAGAAGTCCTCGTCGAAATCAAAGGAGGAGAAGGAGGAGGCCGCCGAGAAGGAGGCTGCCGCAATGGCCGCCGAGCTCGAGTCAGAGAACATCACCGGCACCCCGTGGGTCGGCAGCGATCGCGACTACAGATACGCAGAGTTGACCTACCGTGTCTACCATCTGCTCCAAGCCAACAACCCAGAGCTCATGACCGATCAGAAGCGTGCCATGAAGACCCCAACCGTCTTCAGAGATGGTAGCAGAAAGACTGTTTGGGCAAACTTCTCAGAGATTTGTCAGATGTATGTGTCCTATTGTCGTGTCATTGATCACTTGGACCAATGATCATGTCAACTAACATGCCCTTCACTCACCTCACTATCAATTTGCGATCAATCAATATAGCCTCAACCGTAAGCCAGAGCACGTTCTGTCATACGTCTTTACAGAGCTGGGTACCAATGGATCAGTTGATGGTAACCATCGTTTGGTCGTCAAGGGTAGATTCACTTCACAGCAGATGGAGGTCGTCATTCGTCATTATATTAGTATGTAGCCACTCAATCCTCGCCCTTTACCCTCGAACCTCGCCACTAACTCTCAACCCTTTCAACCCTTACTCCTCGAACCTCAGGTGAATACGTCGCATGCCGTAACTGTAAATCACCAAACACTGTATTAGAGAGAACCAATCGTCTTTACTTCTTGTCGTGCAATGTGTGCAATTCAAAGCGTTCAGTTGTCGTCATCAAGAAGGGTCTGGAAGTTGGAAAGAACAAGGCGAAGGAGGGTCCCACCCCATCATAAGAATTCTCGCGAGTCCTTATCATCACCTCCAACCAACCAATCCCAATCACAACAAAAAAGACAACCAACAACCGAAGCGCTTACCCATCCATCGATCTCCCAAGTCCCAAGCATGGTCACCATTCATCAATCGCCCACTCATCCATCATCACACCCACTCCCCTCACTTAATCAATCACGAAGGACTGGCGGTCCGTTGTTGGGATCGATCAACCTATTCCAAACGACCAACATGATCCAGTTCGATGTCGACGTATAATTGTCCCTTTCCCTCTCTCTCTCTCTCTCTCTTTACCAATATTATCTCAATAAACAATCTTTTGTTTAATAATAATAATTAACAACAACTAATTGTGATCAATCACTTTCCATCTTCTCCAAACACTTGCTGAAGGAACTCGTTGATGTGATCAAAGTAGTGAGGACACTTCTTGACATTGCCATGTGATCCTTGATCAAACTTGATGAACTTCTTGTGAGTGGAGCTGGTGGCACGTTGGTATAACTCATCCATGTGACGAGGTGGAACAAGGCTATCTTGTCTTCCAGACAGGAATAGTATAGGTGATTCAATTGATTGAATAGAAGATCTACTCATCCAACTATTCCTTTTACAGAATGGATCGACTAAATATCTAACAACCAAGTCACCTAAATAATCCTTGATCATATCTGGTACCGACAAGAATGTATTCTCCAATATCAATGCCTTTACAATCTTGGGATATCTCTTTGCTGTATCAATGGCAACTGCACCTCCCAATGATCTACCAAACAAGAATATCTTGTCAGGGTCTATTCTCCCATCATCTTGATAGATCAAGTATTCAATACATGCCTAGTTTGGAAATTGTGTGAATGATTGAAGTTTGTTATCAGTTGATGGAATGATTCCAAGTATGATTAAATAGATTATAATTACATCAATATCATATTGGAAACCTTGTTGTGAAGGCTTTCCAGTACTCTTTCCATAACCGCGGTATGATAATATGAAGATATTACATCCTATTTCTTTAAACATGGTCTTTAGATTCTCCAGTCTATGACTAATATCTAGAGTGGCATCATGTTAGTTGTTTGATTGAATGATTGGTTGATTGAATGATTGATTGAACTTACTTCCACCAGTTCCATGACAAAATAACATTGTTGGAATAGTTGTTGATTGGAAATTTGAATGAGTAAATTGCCAACATTGTATAGTAATACCATCTTTAGATTGTAATATTATCTCTTTGAAATCCATTTGATCATTTTCGTCATCACTAGTATCACTTTTACTCAAAGGATCTTTGATCAATGTATTATCAGGATGATATATTACCCTCTCTTGTCCAAAATAAGATATTAAAGGTAGTCCAAATATACCTGTTGCCAATATTAATGCTACTCCTCCACTAGGTGAAACAAATTAAGTTGATCAAAAATGGTTAATATTTATTAAATGATTGTCTAATGGATTAATTTATTACCTTATTTGGCCAATACTATTATTACTACTACTATTATTATTTGTTGTTGACATTATCTCTACCCTTGTATCTATTTAAATGTTAAAAAGAATAAAAGTCTAATCAATTGATCTCCAAGTCATTTTTTCAAACACAAAGATTGTGTGAGGGCAAGGGTTTGATGAAACTAAGGGTGTACCCTTTAAAATTAAATTGTGTTTGAGAAACGAACGAAAGTGCACTCAAATCAGATGGTTGTGATTCTATTTTGACAAGCATTAACATAATAATAGATAGAGATAGAGATAGAATGCCAGGCGGAGGTAGAGCAGCAATGATGAAGAGAAAGGCGGCACAGAAACAAGCCGCCACTACTTCTACAAACAACAAAGCAACAAAGACAAAGACGATAAAGAAGAAGTTGTCTTTGGAGGAGTTGATTGAAGAGGGCGAGAAATACGCTCAAGAGTATAAGTTGGACATGGCGGTCAAGAGCTTCAAAGAGGCATTGTCAATCGATACCAATAACACTCTGTTGATGGATACGATTGGCGAGCTGATGCTGGAGCTCGGTGAGTTGAAGCAGGCCAAGCAATACTTTACAAAGTCGATCGAGACCAACCCCAACGACAGCTCGTCCAAGTACATGAACCTCGGCCAGCTGCTGGGTGGCGCCGATGCCATCCGTTGCTATACCAAGGGCATCGAGATCATGGAGACTGAGCTCAAGGAGCTGATAGCTGGTGCGCCTCAACAAGTTGTCGCCACCACTCAACAGAAGCAGAAGGAGCAGCAACAGGCACAACAACAACAAACAAAGAATCAATTACAACAGAATAATAAGAATAAGAAGACAAAGGATGGAAGATTGGTCGAGGATCAAAGGATTGACATTGGAGACGACCAAGACGAGGAGGAGATGCTAGACGACGACGAGGAAGACGGAGAGGTGGACCAAGTGTTCATCCTCAAGGATCAAATATGTTCTGCTCTTTGCTCCCTCGCTGAGTTATACCTCACTGATGAATGGTACGTTCATTCAATCATTCGACCGATCGATCAATCAATCACTCACTAACTCACTCCGCGACATTAGCTTCGACGAGGAAGCCGAGGTAAAGTGTGAGACTCACTTGAGAAAGGCGATAGAGTATACACCAATGTCACCAGAGCCATATAGTTTGTTGGCTAGTATGAAGATCAGTCAGGTCAAGAATGATGATGCACTGGACTTGCTGAATCACTCGTACTCGCTGTGGTCGAGTCTCGAGGTGGACCAACGTCCCTCACTCGAGTACCGCTATGGTATTGCACAGATGTTTGTAGAGTTGGATCAGTGTCGCACTGCCGTCGACATCCTCGAGACATTGGTCTACGAGCAAGACAACATTGCCGAGATCTGGCACACACTAGGCGTCGTCTACGATCGTCTGAAAGAGCCAAGATCAGCTCTTGAATGCCTGGAGAGTGCTGCTCAAGTATGTATCACTGTGGAATGGAGTCATTCCAATCACTCAATCACTAACACCAATCAATCAATCACATAGTTGTTATCAATAGCTCATGATGGAATGGATGAGGAGCTGCAGGCTCAGATCGACAGTCTGCTCCCCAAGGTGCAGAAGGATGTTGAGTTGCTCCCACCAGAAGAGGATGATGATGAGGAAGATGAGGACATGGAGGAATAAACTTTGGAACAACCTGGACCATCATGGTCCAGTCCTGGTCCAACACAATCAACCAAATCAATCAATCAATGATGGATGTTACAAGTTGAGGCTGGAAACCGCATGCCTCTATCTCTTTTTATTCTTCTTTGGTTTCTTTGGCTTCTTTGATGATTTCTTTGGACCATTGCCTTGTGTTTGATGCTTCTGCTTGGTACCTGGTCCCCATGTCGTGGCCAGACCCACCACACCATCCTTGGATGAAGCGGCAGCAGCGTCATTGTCGTCAGGCGCTGATGTGGATGTTGTACTTGTCGTCGATGGCATGGAGAGGTTAGGAGAGGAAAGGAATCGCTTCTTCTCGCGGATGATGGCGTCCGGGTCCTCATAAATCGATGGGTCGCGATACCTTATCTCGTCCAGTGTGAGCGAGGTCAGCAGAGCGGACGGCACGTCGTCGTCGTCAAAGTCGTTGTCCGCCTGCGGGCCATGTGTGGTCGTGGTGCTAGAGCCCACGACTGAGCCATCGGCGCTGTTGGGCGGTGGCTTGAAGAAGCTTGAGCTGGTGATCTTGTGCTTGAGCTTCCTCTGCATCAGGTCGGCCATGACGTTGTTTGTGCCCATGGCCGCCGACTCATTGTTCAAGACCACGCTGTTATATACAACCGAGCCACTCTCGTCGGTGGTGGCCATCGAAAGCGAGCCAGTCGGCGAGTCGTCCTCACTCGATGGTGTGCCGTTGGGTGATAATGGCGACCAGACGGCGCGAGGTGACTGCATGGCGGCGGGTCCGCCCTTGAGCTCCAGGCTCTCGATGGGCTTGGACAGCAACTCTGTCAGGCCCATCACAATGGTCTTGAATGTTGGGCGGCCCTTTGGCTCGTAGCTAACACACATTCGCGCCAACTCATTAAACACCTTTGGGCATGACATTGGCACGAATGAATCTGCCTTATCTGCGTCAAAGTCAAAGGCATTCTCTGGCGTTCTCTTCAACTCCATCTTAATGGCCCTAATGCCACACATCATCTCGTACAGGAGTATACCATATGAATATACATCACACTATAGTATTGATTGATTGAGTGAAGTGATTGATTGATTGAGTGAGTGGAATGATTCCAGTGCCCTCCAAGGAGTTGACTCCAACACACTTACGGTCTCATCATATTTGTTGGCAATTATAACCTCTGGCGCCATTGTAGTCTCTGATCCACATATCGTCAGATAACCTTGTTGCTTGTCCTGTTTCTCTTGATGTGTCACGTCGAATATCCTGGCGAATCCAAAGTCGCAAACCTTTGCACGTACAGTCGATCCATGTTCCTCCACCAACACATTCTTTGCTTTCAAATCTCTAAATATAACCTTCTTAGCATGTAGGAATGCAACTAATCATATCATTATTGGTCATGTCAGTATCCATTATCCAACTTCCAACTTCCATTATCCATTATCCATTATCCAATATCCAATATCCAATATCCAATATCCAACTTCCAAACATACATGCAGATGCAATATCATTGGCCAACTTAATCTTTGTGGACCATGATAGTGACTGTCCCTTTGATTTGAGGAACTGATGCAAGTCTCCACTATTGATATACTCTGTTACGATCATGTATCTCTCATCATGATTACATGCTCCAATGAACTGAACAATGTTTGGGTGTCTCATACCCTCTAAAGTGTTTGGGTCAGTGATCAATCAATGATCGCGATCACTCCACTTCAGATCACATCACTCCAAACTTACTCAATATTCTAATCTCGCGTTGCATGAACTTGTAGAGGTCGGGATCAATGTTGACCAATGAACTTAGAGATTTGACAGCCACCTCTGTACCAAAGTAAGATGCCTTCTGCACCAATCCAAATGATCCCTTTCCAATTGGTTTAGTCTCCATCACCAAATCATCAAACTCTATTGTAAACAAGTCATCGTCATGTGATGAAGTAGGGAGTCCGTCAATTTGACTCCCATCATTATTCTGTACCATTGCTATTCTGTATCTGTATCTTTAGTATCTGTATCTTGTATGTATATATATGTTGTGTTGTATATCTGTGATCATAGATTTATAATCAATCATTCATTCACACACATGATCAAACTACCCGCCACAACAACACACAATCAAACATTATTTGTTTGTTGATGGTCGAGACCTTGCCAAATTAATTGAATTTGTTGAATTCAGTTAATGTTGTTGGAATTATTTGAACTTGTGGTGTCCTTTGGGTCTTGATGATCTCATCCCTTTGATCATGATGGTATGTGGACTCCATCCTGGATGTCATTGATCATCGATCAGAGAGAGGTCAAGTCAAGTAGTATTGAAATACATGTAATAATCATTTATTGAATCAAAAAAGGATGTTTTGTGTAATGATATAAGTTGGAGTTGTTTGATTGGATTGGACTTTTGATGGGTACTAAAGTACTTTGGAAGGAAGTGCACTGATGAGTTTACTGCTCCTCCTCTCCACCCTGCTGCTGTGTCTTCCTGTTGGTGATGAGAACCAAATCCTTCTTGAGCACTCTCTTGTAGATGTCCATGATGTCCTGACAGGTGGTCTCAAAGTGCGAGGTGGCATCGTACGACTCGGACAGGTAGATGTTGTCGTTGCAGCCGTCGGCGATTGGCTCGTAGTAGTTGGAGACGGTGATGAACTTCTCGACGATTGGGCCCAAGAGCTTGTAGGCGGGCTCCAACTCCTTCTCGGGGTCGTTGGTCTCGACGGTGGTCGAGCAGATGGCAATGTACTTGCCCTTGGCGCAGACGTTGTGGGCAAAGGAGATCTCGCCGACGTAGATGTCGTTCTTGCGGCCGACCTGCTTCTGGGGGATGATGATCTGCACCGACTCTGAGTTGTTGGTGTTGGGGATTGGAGCGTTGAGGATACAGATGGAACGGATGATCTTGCCAGTGACCTTGACCTTGTCGGGGAAGTAGGATGGGTCGGCAATGACGTAGTCACAAGTAGCAGTCTCGCCCTGTGATTCGACTCTCATCTTTCCGTCCTCGCCTCTGTACACCTTATCGATTGGCTTGTTCAGCATGTACGTGCCACCATAGATGGCAGACAGTCTGGCAAAGGCCTGTGGGAGCTCGCCCAGACCGTACAATGGGTAGATGTATGGTGAGTGCGAGTATCTGGCCAAAGAGTCAGCGTACAACTTAATCTTGAGCACAGTGTCCAAGGCTGGCTTCTCCAAGTACCTGATTGATTATGATTGTGGTTGATTGATTGATTGTTAACAACTTGAGATATGATGATATTGATTGATCGAATGAATGAATGATCATTTCAAACATACTCATCATTGAGGTGAAGAGCCAAAGAGTGTCCAATGAAATCGATGGTATCCTCCTTCAGGCCAAACTTGGCGAACAACTGCTTCATTGTCATCTTCTTCAAATCCAAGTCTAATGATCGAATGAATGAATGAATGATGTTAAGTTGTGACCATTGAAGTGTGCAATGTAAGTTAACATACTCTCGTGAGTGGCTGGCTTGTCCTCCTCGAAGTTCTGGACGTAGACAAAGAACTTCTTGCAAGAGAACTTCTCAAAGAAACCCATTAGTGGCGAGCTGAGGGCCTCAGAGTCGGTGGCGGGCACCTTGTGGATCTTTGGTGTCTTGTAGACAAAGGAGCCGTCGACCACCTTGAAGTCGAGGTAACGGGTGACGTCGGTGTGCAGCAGCATCTTGACGAGCAGACCCGAGGCCAAAATGAACTTGGGCACAAGATCGATGTTGTAGTCGCGGTACGAGCCGAGGGTCTCACTTGGCTTGGCGCCATTGCGGAACTTCTCGTACATCTGCTGCAGGTTGAGGGATGCAGACTCACCACCATAGTATGAGTTGCGATCCATGTGCAACACACGCTTGCCCTCTACAGAGAGCAAACCGGAGAGTACACACTCCTTGAATCCAGTTCCGAGAACGATACAGTCATAATGCTCATCCATGTTATTTTCTTTCTTTCTTTAACTAGTTAAATGAAATATTAATTATAATATCTATTTATATATTTATATATATATATATATATCAAACTATCTATCTATCTATTATTACAACAACAATAATGTGTCAACTCAACTACCTTGCTAACTTTTTTGTGAGATGAAGAATTGAATGAAGATGAAGTGGTTTGCTTACTCAGCTCACCTCACTCACACTCAAAAGTTTGATATTTGTGCTGTGAAATTATGTGTTGGGTTAAATGTTTAATTTTTTTTTTTTGAATTTTCCTTTCTCTCACAGTTGAGGAGTGGGAATGAAGTTAGCCTCCACTCTCTAAGTCAATGACCTCTGCAGGAGGTATCAATGTTGACCTTGCGTGTATGTGTGTGTTCGAACTCATTGAAAGGGAAGGAGGGAGGTGTGTTGGGAACAACTTTGAGTCCCAACACGTCAGTGCAATAGTGATAGATGGAATCCAACTGGATTATCATTGTGTTGCAACCATCTGGACCAAGGTGACTTGACCGTCACTCACTTAGCTTCACTTTATAATCCAAGCATAAGTCTAAGTCTTCTTTGTTATAATTGTAAACAAATATACATATTACACAGTAGTAGTAGTAGTAATAATGAATTGAAATGATGGAAAGATTCACAAGAGTGATTCGAAAGGATGAATATCCTACTTCAACTTGATGATGATGAGTAGGAAGATGTGATTGAAATTTCGGACAACATACAGACACGGATACAACACACACAGAAGGGTTTGCCGGGTCATTCGATCATTCATTCATTGACCCGACATCACAAATGCGTTGACAAAGTCTTCGTCATCATCACCTACCTCAACCCTACTCACCAGGATATATATCAATCAAACCATCCATCCATCAATCCAGCCATCATCAATGAGCAAGCAGGTCCATTCAAATTCAGTTATGCATGAGCATGAGACAATGTTGTTGTTAGAAAACGAACGCATCTCTATCACCTATTTTAGAGCGTGGCATCGACACTCACCATTGAATCACCACCACTGTCCATATTTGGTGACTACATGTTAAAATTGAATTAATATTTTATTCAATTTGAAGCTTTACTTAAGGATCTACAACAACTCCTCTCTCTCTATTCTCTTCTCTCTTACTCTCCCCGAGACATCATCATCTCTGACCCTCTTGCCCTAACTACACCCACCACATACACATTCATTCATTCATTGCCATTCATTCATTTGTACATCAACAACATCAGAGATAATTATAAAAATCTTAATATTATAATCAATCTATCAATCATGTCACATATGGACAGGATAAATATATTGGCTAACCACTTGTCAATCAATGACGAGGAGGAAGACGACACTTTGCAATCAAACAATGTGTCAGCTGCATCTGCCGCTGCATCAACTTCAAGGTATGTTTGTTAGAAACAAACAAAACATTGAAATATATTGATCTAACATAAACATATTATTATAGCAATAAGCAGGCTTCATTGACTGTTACAGATAATCGTACTGGAAAACAATACAACGTTCCAATCAAGGATGGACGTATCAGTGCTACAGCCTTCAAGAAGGTGTCAGAAGTCGATGGAGACAATGGATTGATGTATGTTTGATTGAATTGTGAATGATTGATTGAATTAATGATTGAAATGATGTGACTAACATGACAAAACGAACAATACCTTCAGGGTTTATGATCCAGCTTTCCAAAACACTGCTGTTGTAACATCAAGCATCACTTATATCGATGGAGATAAGGGAATATTGAGATATAGAGGTTATCCAATTGAGGAGTTGGCCGAGCGATCAAACTTCCTCGAGGTGGCCTACTTGTTGATCAATGGCAATCTGCCAAATAAGACTCAGCTCGACGGCTGGACCCATCGTGTGATGACACACACCTTCCTGCACGAGAACCTCGTTGGAATGATGAAGACATTCAGATACGACGCCCATCCAATGGGCATGCTCATCAGTACTGTTGCCGCACTCGGCACCTTCTACCCCGAGGCCAACCCAGCGCTGGCCGGCCAGGACATCTTCAAGTCAGAGAGCGTCAGGAACAAGCAGGTGCTGCGTATCATTGGTAAGCTGCCAACGATTGCCGCCTGCGCCTGGCGTCACAGAATCGGTCGTCCCTACAACACGCCCGTCAACCATCTCGGCTACACCGAGAACTTCCTCTACATGCTGGACAAGCTCTCTGAGCAGGACTACAAACCCAACCCAGTTCTGTGCCGCGCACTCGAGATCCTGTTCATTCTGCACGCGGACCACGAGCTGAACTGCTCGACCGCCGCCATGCGCCACATCGCCTCGTCCAACACCGACCCGTACACATCTGTTGCTGGTGCCGCAGGTGCTCTCTACGGTCCACTGCACGGTGGTGCTAACGAGGCCGTGCTCGACATGCTCCAGCAGATCGGCACCAAGGACAACGTTCATCAGTTCATAGCCGACGTCAAGTCCAAGAAGAGAAAGTTGATGGGCTTTGGCCATCGCATCTACAAGAACTACGACCCACGTGCCAAGATTATCCGAAGGGTGGCCTACGAGGTCTTTGACAGCTTGGGCAAGGAGCCCCTGATCGAGGTGGCCACCGAGCTCGAGAAGCAGGCCCTGAACGACGAGTACTTTGTCTCGAGAAAGCTGTACCCCAACGTGGACTTTTACTCGGGTCTCATCTACAAGGCCATGGGCTTCCCCACCGATATGTTCCCAGTGCTCTTCACCATTCCACGTGCCGTCGGCTGGCTGGCTCATTGGATCGAGCATTGTGAGGACCCCGAGACCAAGATCTACCGTCCACGTCAAGTGTACAAGGGAGAGTGGTTCCGCAACTACGTCTCAATCGAGGGACGTTCACCCGCCAAGGTTCGCTCGCAAGAGTTCTACTCCTCATCCACCACCAAGAGATACTCCAAGGTCACCGGTATCAATGGAAAGTAATCCAACACACTGGTAATACTACAGCAACATCAACTTCAACAACTCCTTTCACAACTCCTTTTCCTTCCCTCTTCTTCCTTCCTACGTTCAATCATTCCTCCAGCATTCCCCCAACAGGTCTGCGAGGTCGACATCAACCAACCAATCAACCAAATGATCAATCACAATCACTCTCGCCCAACTTAAATCACCCAAAATCAAACAAGGTACTCAAATGTAATATTTATAATCAATTAATTAATTAGGACTACTAAATAGAATTATATCCTTATTCAATCATTTGATGGTTTCTTTGATTGATTGGTCCCGCACCTTCTGAAGGTCTCATTGTCATTCGATCTGATCGTAATGTTTGCCCACCACCAATCATATTGTTTTGTCGTTTTTCGTCAACACTCATTTGATGATGTTTTTTTTATGATGGGCTTGTCTAGGGATTGTTTGAAATGATTCTTTTAACTCCGCAGGCGGACCATAGCATATGGTTTGGTCTGACCAAGAGGAGGTCCCGCGTGGTGGGGTTGGTGTACTCCCATTACAAGATTGATGAATACTGTTTAGAAGAGGGCGGAATGAGAGTTTTGGTGTCGACATTGTTGCTTGTACTGATTGATCCACTCTCACCATCCATCCATTCACTCATTCAATCAAACAATCAATCACATCACTCTCCACATACATACACAACAGTAACATTATAATTTCCATCATATAATAATAACAGTTGTTTACAACGAGATTGTTGTTGGTCAATGATAATAATAATTATTATAAGAACATAGTCATCTTCTTAAAAGAGTAACGACATCCCATCCATCAATCAATCCATCAATCACTTTTTATGATGAACAAAGAGAGACAAGACAGCAGATTCATTCATATAAATTACAATTATAACTCTCTCTCTCTCTCTTTGTCTTAGAATAACAACAACAACAACAACAATGAAGATCGACTACAACAAGTAGTTAGAGTGTGCCTCTCCATCCATCCATCCATCCATCCATCCACCCATCCAATCACTTCCACACACCACATCACACCACCACATCATTCATTCAAACACACAACAAACATACTTAGAGCACATGAACATTTATATATCTCAAGCGAGATATATACATGCATTTGTGTGTGTGTTTGTTAATCACTTCCAGGTTCATTGAGACCCATAAGCCACACACTCATCTCACACACTCACATAGACACATACCAAACAAACGATGTTGTCATTGACACATTCCACCAACTAACCAGGTGATCCAAACAATGTTTGGCGCGCGTGGCATTCACTCACACATATATCACGCCCCCGCCTGTATCAATCACTTGACAATGGCAGGCGGAGTGAATGGATGAGAGCGCGTCCTTTCCAACCCTTGACATCACCATCAACATCATCAACCCAACATTAACATTCTTATTAATGCCATTCCTATCAAGCAATCAATCAATCAATCAATCAGGTATCATCATCATCAGGTGTTGTGCAGTAACATATTGTCATTCATTACATTATTTCATTGATTGGATTGCTCAAATCAATCAATCAAATTGATTAATCAATACAATATCAAATATAATACATAGCATCATCGACAAACCTTTGTATGAGTTGATATTAGCAATAGTAAGTCAAGTCCAGTCCCTCCCAGCTCCTTGCCAACGCGTTCACACACAAGGCTCACTCTGGATATCGCGCGCCACACAGCTCAATCACTCGCTCTTCCTCACATCGTCATATTCATTCACATCACATCACGGCACACATTCATTCATTCATTCATTCATTGTTCCAGGATATCCAATTTGAATTACTTATATTTATTTTATTAGTTATTTATTTTATTTATTTAATCCCATCGTGTAAAGCAACAACAAAACCAGAGTACACACCAATCAGGTATGATGATGATTATGATGATCATAAAGCAGGAAACAATAAGCAGGAATAGGAAACACACAGGACATTCATCCATCATTCATTCATTCATTCAGAGAGGAACTATTCATTGACCATCGGGCAAGACTTGACCTGTATGCTGACCAATAAGGTCACCATTCATTCATTCAGACAGTCAGGTCACTTTCCAAAAACCACGATTCAGCCGAGCTTCCTTCATCCACATCCACATCCTCATCATCATCGTCATTACACCATAATCATCATAATCACTTCCACCTCAATCATTGACACTGTACCATTCTGATCGATGCACATACATATGTGTAGGTTGGGGATATATCCAACAACACTCACATCACCAATTCAAGTCGATTCCGAACACTCTCTTTCTCTATCTTCACCCATCACGATCGAATGTAGATATACAATCACACAGACTCGATCATACACACACACATCACAAATCTCATTCACACACACACTTTTGTGGTGGGGTGTGGTTGTGGTGTTGGTCTGACAAAGACACCGTTTCCGTTTCTGTTTCGCCAGATGTGGAAATAGGCGCATATGATGTGTGTGTATGCTTGCAGGCATGCCCAACAGCCACATTCGCCATTACCCAATGGTAACTTGGGCGAGATCATCATGAACACATGCATAACACACACACACACCCAACTTGACATCTAGAACACTTCTTATCATTCCCAATATTCAATCACTTCAATCACATCACTTACTCACTCACTTCAATCACTTCAATCACATCACTATCTATCTATTATCCTCCCTCCCTTTTTGAACATATAATAGATATAATATAGATTGACCATTTAATCTATACCTAGTATGTATACGTTATTTATCTTGTTGTTGTCTATTTCAAAAATAGACTCCACTTGTCAATGTCATTGTCAATCAATGTCCCGTGTCCATGTCCACCCCCACACACATTCAATTCTCCGATTGCTCTCCACTCACTCAATCAATCAATCAATCAATATCTTTGTTCCTTGATACCATACTCACACCAAAGTTCTATTCCAAACAATCAATCAATCAATGACAACAACAACATTAGGAAGAAGTAGAAGTTCACATCAAGTATCAAGAAGAAGTAATAGTAGTAGTTTGAAATTATTACATCATCATCAGAAGAAACAACACCAACATCACAAGCAGCAACAACATAAGAAGCAGAATAGACAACATATACTTGGACGTATTCTATCAAGATTAAGACAATATCAAAATAATCACAACTCTTTTACAACAAAACAAAAGATGGATACAGAATATAAATCAGGATATTTATATAGATTAGGAGGTATTGGTATCTTCAAATACAGGAAGAAGTTATGGTTCACACTGACCAGTACACATCTATCATGTTATGTCTCATCAGAGAAGGTATGTATATATATATATCCTGGCGGAATGATTCAGCCTCAGCCTCAACCCCAAACCCATCAACACTCATACTCACACTCACGTTTCCAAACAAAAGAAATCAACACCAGTAGAATCAATCACATTGAATAGTATAAAGAAGATTACATTGTTACAGAAGGATGCCGAGTCCATTCAAACAACTTATGGCTTCTGCATTGAGTATGTGAGTGGAGGCAGTGGCAGTGGCCAGTCCGCTGGAAGTTTGCCAAACAAACTTGTGATCCAGGCAAATCCCATCAGCACATTGGCCGACTGGGTGATCAAGTTGGACGGTTTGACACATCGCGACTTCAACTCATACCTGGACCAGGCAGAGCGCAAGCTTCTACTCAAGATCCTGTTCAAGAACAATATACAGGGCGGCATCATCAAGTCCAACGGCGACGAGGAGTGGTCCTACAGCCCCATCGGCACTCTGTCCACAATCGAGGGCACGTACAGTGGCGCACAGATCGACTACCACTGGGACGGCGAATGGCTACGCAGCTCAACCAATGAGCTGGGCGCTGGCCGCTTCAACGGCGTGTACCTGGCTTGGTATCTGGCGGGCGTTGACCCTAAGGCCCCACACGCCACCACAGCCACACCAGACATTGTCTACTTCTGGGATGAGCGCGAGAAGGAGTACCAGACCGATCAGGGCAAGGAGCTGACGTTCAAGTGGACGCGTCATTTCCTCGCATCCAAGTTTGGCCGCGGCGAGTGGATCGTCGAAGGCCACGTTCCCCAGGCGGTGGTAATGTTCCTGCAGCTGATCAAATACAGACGCACCGTGGACGAGGAGAGTGATTGTGTAAACCCTTTCGCTGGCAAGCTGGCCAACGCGTTGGCCAGTGTAGGCGGCGAGGCGGCTGTGCTGCCTCTTGCAAGTGTGATCAAGAACAAGGAGGAGACGGCTGTCGAGAGCGCAGCCCATGGTCTGGAGCTTGCCAACGTTGCCACCATATTCACCAAGGGTCAAGCCACACTGGACGACTGTCACGCGACTGTTGACGTATTCCCAATGGATGCTGTCATCCGCACTCCAAGCGAGATTGAGAAGGAGTTTGCAGACCTGATATCATCTTGCACCAGCTCACACATATCGGACGAGGAGGCTGCCTCGTTGTCCAAGGACGACGAATCACCTGACGAACGCTACATTGCGACATCATCATCTTCCAACACAACGACGCCAGAGTCATCCGAGTCACCACCATCGACCATCTGTCGCACAGACACTCTGCGACTGCTCAATGACACCATCCTTCAATCACGTCAACTCCAAAGCAGGATGTCCATCATGAACATGGAGTACTTTAGTCGTCACACACCCGTCGCCACATTGGTAACAGTAGCGTCCCTGGCCAAGGACAAGGAGGCAGACAACGCAGCGACCAAGCCAACCTCGCCCAGAGAGCCAGTAGCGCCATCACAGACACAGACACAGACACAGACACATACACCAAAGAGACATCCAACCATCAGGGATAGCTTCGCTATGTTTTGTGATGCGCTGTCGACTCCAGAACCACAGCCACTACAGAAGAATATATTGGAGGAGATATTGTCGCCACAGCCCATATTCCCAAGCACGCCACTGGGCTCTGTGATTGGACCATCCAACCCCGAGCACCAACCTAGCAGCAGTAGCAACAATAACAACAACGCAGACACAATCGCAGCAGCCGAGCTTATTGCCACCCAGCTGAGGCAGTCATTCTGTCTGGCGTGCAATCTGCCCATCAGCGGACAAAAGGTGTTGGCACTGGGCAACAGTTTCCACAAGGACTGCTTCAAATGCCACAAGTGTCACAGGGAGTTGTGCACCAAGACCTTCTACCGCCAGGGCCTCATCAACGATGAGTCGCCAGAGGACAGCAACACCTCAACACGTTCATCACGCTCCGCTTCAATTTTTGATCTTCACTCGAGTTCAGAGTCACGCTCATCGTCCACACCTCAGACCCTGCCTCAACAGCAACATAGTGGCACGCCCAAATACCTTTGTGAGAACTGTTTCAATGACACCTGTCCAGTGTGTCCCAAGTGCAACGCCAATGTTATGTTCCGATGTGTTAGCGCACTCGGCAAGAAATGGCACACCGATCACTTTTGTTGCGTCAAATGCTCAGCCAACCTGGTCGGAATGCCATTCTTTGATCACGAAGGACAACTATTGTGCCAAGTTGACTATGATAGGATTATAGGCAACATCAATAGCAGCAGCAGCAATATATCTACCACATCAACAACATCAACATCAACTACATCAACATCAACTACATCAACAACCAATACCAACATCACCAATGACATCAACATCAACAACATATTGCACCTGTTGGAGGAAGCTTCTGGCTTCCAGGCATACTAATCAATCACCCAAACAATCAAACCACTTTCACTTGATGAACGCCTAATCATGATGAGCGTTCTTGTCCGACAATTTTATAACCAACTCCAACTCCAACTCCAAATCCATCGCCAACTCCAACTTTACGCCATTCATACATATATTTATAGTCTTGGACAAAATGTCCAACTCCTTTCCACCTTTCCATCCAAATACTTTCATTCGCCTTTCCTTTCCATGATGGACGGATGATACTGTCCATGTGACGCACCGATATATAAGTAACATCCAACCATCAATCAAACATCTCCAATAAATGTATCATACATTATTCAATCAACCAATCAACCAATCAACCAATCACTCTTGATCACTTTATTTTTAGTCTAGCCTTCAAAACTGAAACACTATCTTTGTCATTGTCTGGTGCTTTTCTCTTTTTTTCCATCTTCTCAACCTCCAATCGATCTTTGTATTCTTCTATGATTGATTGCAATTGTACATTTGACTTAAAGATACTCATCGAGGCAACACCTTTGATATTCAACTTTGCTCCAATGTTAACCAAGTGTTGTAACATTACGACATCACTATTGGTGACCAGGTGTTTTGTGAACAATGGTATGGCGAATGCCTTGACACGCTCCGTGTCCTTCTCCGAGAAGTTTCTGAGCACTCGGTCCAACATTGTTGTGTTTCCAGGTCTTTCAAAGATTGTGCGTATCACTTTGCTCAATTGACAAGCTCCGTTTAGTTCATTGAATGCTCTCCAATCAATCTTCCACTGATTTAGACAGAATAGTGTGTCCATCATCTCAGCGCTGACCTCGGCTTTGATGGCCTGGATCTGCCAATCGACAACTACTGCATAATTGGCGAACAAGAATTTGATTGCCTCCAGGTTGCCATTCTTGATTGCCCATTCCATGAGCATGCGAAGGGAATTTCGAGCATAGTGAGATGAGGCACAGTACTCAATTAGCCATTGGAACATAGGCAGTCGAAGACGAGCAGAGTAAGTGAGCTGGATGGGCAGTGAGTCGGGAGCTGGTTCGAATAGTTGGACGAGTCGCTGGACGGCATCGAGCTTTCCAATCTTGATGGCCAAGCAAAGTTGAGTTTGGAAATGTATCAGCTTCGGCTTGTTCTCTATCACAAGGTTCAGATTGTCGCGGTGGTCCAAGATAAAGAATTGTTTGAAGGGCAGTATCTTGTTGGTGTTGGACACCAGGAACTCAAGCATCTCCATCGTTCCGTCGAATGATTGAATGTCACTAGTAGATACCTCAAAGACATGATTGAGCTCATTGAGATACTTGATAATCTTCAACTTGTTGGCAGAATTACTGGCAGTCATGAACAACTGTGAATGATAGCCTCCGGCAAAGTATCTTGACCTCTCTGCAATGTGGTGCCTATCCATGTATAGATAGGCTATCTTGATCTGGGTGAGTGTACCATATTCTATTATACTATGATTGATGATCTTCTCATTCCTGAACTGATCAATGAGTAGTGGTATCAATGTGCAGTCGCCGGTCGATATATATCCATTGATGACATCTCGGACATGGCTTGGCTGGAAGTAAAAGTACAGTGTCCAACCATACAACAATTTGGTAATTAACAATCTTTGCTCTTCACTAATGGTTGCTGGTTCATCACTGCCAACGAAACTCATGAGTGATTGACATTGCTCTTTGGACTCTTTGTAGGCGTGCTCAAAGAGCGTGTTTGGGAAGGTGTTTGGCGCAATCAAGTTGTACTTGACCAATCTTTGTATTTGTTCATAATGTTGATTGGCCGTTGAGTTTGCAATTGATTGGATGAGGCGAGTGCCTGTGATCCTGTAGTTGCTGACGCCATCATGGGGGAGTGGCAGCAGCTCGTCAACGAGCAATCCATCGCCAGTGAGCAGGATGTTTGTTACATAGTTATGAGCGTGGTATCTGACCAGGTCGGCCATATCCTTGGAGATGAAGGTTGGATCGATCAGCTCGCGAATCAGTTGGCTTGATTGAGTGCGGTAGACGATCTCGGCAACATCATCTGGTCTCTCGATTAGAAGCGAGGTGGTTGTGACGATCAAGCGTAGGAGGTACTTGATCATGTCGATCTTACTCGTCTCGAATGCTTGTCTGATCATTTGTATCGGGTCGATCGACACCAACTTGACCGGTTCAGTCTGATGAATGAGCGTTTGAACAATGTGAATGTTACCGCCCTGGACAGCGATTTTAAGCAATTCAACCATATCCTTGAATTGTGATTGATAACGTTTGTAGATTAGGTCGAATGTAGCAGGGTCTACATCACTCTTGCACAGTTCAATGATGTCTGAACGCTTGGGAGCTTCATTCTGATTTGGTTGACTTAAAAGGTTAAGTCTAAAGCGCTCCCTCAACAGACCATAATGACGTGACCTAATTAATTTAGTTAATGATGTCCATTGATTATACGACAAGTATTGAATATCATATTGTTGATCAATTGACAACCATCTATTATTATTGAAATGATTCAATACTGTTGCACTACAAAGACATTCATGTATCACTCTCACCTGTGACATAACATTATTAAATATTATTCTATTTGTGATTAATCTCTTGAACAACTCGTCCATTACTATTATTTTATTATTACTTATTATTACTTATTATAATGTACATGGATTACAAAAGACTAATTGTTATTCAATCCAAAGTTGCCCTCACTTTGTTATGTTTCATATTCTTAAATTATGGGACAACCAAATTCATGCAACGAAACTATGTATCAATCAATTACAACCTTGTTCTTCAATATAACATAAATAGAGATAATATATATATATATACATATATACAATGTCACAACAACAACTAACGAATGAGCAGATTGTTGCAAACTATAAAGAGATGAAGCAACAACAGAGTACTATCATGTCAAAGATATCAGAGATAGAGGCTGATCAAGGCGAATACAAGTAAGGTCATTCATTCATCACAAGTCAATCAATCAAACATACGTACATGTCACTGACACTGTGTACACATCATCATGTAGTCTTGTAATCAGTGCCATCGAGCACCTAGAGCCATCCAGAAAGTGTTTCAGAATGATTGGAGGTGTATTGGTCGAGAGAACTGTCGGTGATGTACTGCCTGTAGTCAAGCAAAACAGAGATGGAGTATGTTGTAGCGAGATGAATGAGAGAGAGTATACTAACAATGAATGAATGAATGTATAAATAATAGATAAAGGATTTAGTACAGAGATTGGAAGAACAGCTTACAGCAAAGACAAAGGAGCTGAATGACTATGCAGCAAAGTACAACATCAGGGTTGGACCAGCACAATAAACGATCGAACGACTTATGGACAATAGCTTGGACGATTGATTGATTGTATGAATGATTGAACGATTGATTGAATGAGTGGATCACTTCACATTCACATTCGCATTAGTTATGTTGTCAAGTTGACAGACACCCATACTCTTAAGTACACCTCTTTGGCAATGATTGGAATGTAGACAAAAGATGCAGCCAAAGTCTTCAGAGAGAATGGTGCCTTCCTCGACACTGGCGGCACAGTTTGGACAGGGCGGGAACTCGGCACACTTGGCAAAGATCTCATCGATGTGGTCAAAGATGTCTTGGCATGAGCCTGTGCCACCCTCGGCACTGTCCAGCAGATAGATGCGGTCGGCCTGGTCCAGGAAGTTGGTAACGTCCAACGTCTGATTGTTGCGGCCAAAGTCACCGTCGAGCACAGGCGTCACGGTCGGTATACACTCCTCCACATCGTTGCGCGATGTTAACAGTATCGATGGCACTGTGGCCAGTATCTGATGAACTATAGTATGTAGCATGACCATCACTTCGCCCATCTCGATCAAATCATCGATCTTTGGCTCAAAGTCCCTGCTATTCAAACACAGGCTACTCTTCTTGAATGATTCAATGCGCTTGTTGAATAGCTGTCTTAGTGTTGCCCTATGGATGCAATGATTGAATGAGTGAGTAAGTGAGTGAGTGTGATTGCGCTGATGTGTCGATCGCGAGACTTACTTTGGATCTAATCTTGATTGCTCTTGGAATGCAAACTGGATGAATGGTGTCTCGTAGTGGACCTGGAGTGGTTCCTTGAGGCTGAACTTCTGTGACTCTGATGTTGAGTTGTAATGGGAGTCATTGAGTGTGCGCCCTGTGCTTGATCGTACTTGACTGTATGTGCGTTTCTCGTAGCCTCGCACGATGGTCGTGTACTTGGCCACACCAAATGTGATCTCCAAAGGTGGAAGGTTGCCACGCATTGCCACAGTCTTCCTCTGAAGCACTGACACAATGTCCACCTGGCACGACTTGGTCGGTGTCGTGGTGATGCGTGTGTTGGCGGCCATGCGCATCCTCTCCAGCTGCGCAGTGCCGGGCTCTCCGTGCTTGGCCATGTCCAGCGAGAGCACCTGATAGATGTCCATCGACTCGGTGTTGTGGGACATAAAGATGGCGCCGGGGAACAGACGGGTGATGGCCTGCATCTTGGACATCTCCTCGATCTGTACCTGCTTGCCCACTTTGGCCACGACCACCTCGTTCAATCCAGTGCCACCGCGGATGGACAGAGTATTGTGTACATAGTCAGATGATCGCCACAACGTCTTGTTGCCCACAGTCTGCACCTTTATCTTGCCCGTCTTGACCAGCTCATCAATGATCGGCTTGGCCTGTGGTCCAAACTTCTGCCCCAACTGTTCGTAGTTCACAGGTATACCAATCTCATGTGTGGCGCATCTAATCAATCAATCGGTTCAGTACAGTTAGTGTCTCGCCTCGATCCATCATCACCCAATAAATCAACTTACAATAGGTGAGCGGATAAGACTGTCGGGAAGTCACCATTGAATGATAGACTCTCAGTGTCGCCATCCAACAATGATGATAGGTGTTGGGAGTAGTACTTGTCCAGGGGTGTATTAGATGGAATGAACACGACCAGACCCATCTTGGATCGTCCAACACGTCCAATTCTTTGCTTCCAACTCATTTTGGAACCTGGATATCCAATGATTAGACATGAATCCAACTCTGAGATATCGACACCAGCCTCTAGCGCGTTTGTGGCAATGATGACCTTGGTCTGTCCACACTTGAGTTGATTCAATGTCTCTTGTTTGAGGAATGGTTTCAAAGATGAATAGTATGCTTTGACTTGTCTGGCTGTTCTCGTATATTTTGAATCCGATCCAAGGTATTGTATCAGTCCGTTGACACCTCTGATGGTGTTGCAGAACACGATACCCTTTAGGTTGTTCTCGACCCAGTGATGGATCACATTGCCTGGAGTATGGTATTGACTGATGGTGGATGGCTTCAATGTGATGTAGACCTTGGAGAATGATCCCGAGCCATTGCGATCAATGAGATGGATTGAATGAGTGTCTGGCTTGCTCAACAGCTTCTTGGCCATTTGTATCGGGTTTCCAATTGTTGCCGATGCCAACATATACTGTAGCGTGTTTGTTGATGGGCTGGTGCTCGAGACGATCGCGTGGTAGTTGGTAATTCGTCGCAATAGATTGATAAAGTGACAGCCCATGATGCCAGAGTACGTGTGCGCTTCGTCCAGCACGATGAACCTGAGCTTGGCGAACCAGGCGCGCCAGCCTTTCCACTTCTCGACGAATCCGCCGCGTTGCAACTGGTAGTGTACCCAGTCGGGGTTGGTCAGGAGGATGTCGGGGTAGGGCTCGCTAAAGATATCGGGCAGCGACGCCTTGTCCGTCTCGCCATTGACAAACTTGATCTTTAGACGGAACTGCGCGTCAATCTCCGCGTTGAAGCTCTCGATGGCCTTTTGCTGATTGTTGGCCAGCGCATTCAGGGGGAAGAGGAACATTGCCGCGCAGGACTTTTGTCCACGCGCCTTTTGGTTGATTATCTCTTCAAAGATGGGCAGGAAGAGCGAGAGGGACTTGCCACTGGACGTTGGTGTCGTGATTATCACGTCTTGCATGCTGCGCACAGCCTGTCGACACTCGAGCTGATGTGAGTAGAGCTGTTGTCTCTTCATTCTGGCCATTGCGCTCTTTAGGTGGTTGTTCAGGTCGCTGGGCAGTGCTTGGAGATCGGCTGAATAGGGTTTCGTTGTCTGGACGTCAATGATCGAGTCCTTCACCAACATTGCAAACTTTCTAAATGGCTCATGTGCGATCCTCGCCTTGATCTCATCGACAGAGATGTGAGTCTTTGTTGGGTCAGCGTCTGAGTTCTTCCATTGATCAAACTTGTCATTGGCATTATTTGTAGTTGAAGTAGTTGTAGTTGATGTTTTCGATGATGAAGTTGATGTTGAGGATGTTGATGAGGATGTTGATGATGTTGTTGATCGTGGCTTAAGTATGCTACTGTGTGAGAATGAGGGAATGGATATGTTGGATATGGAGGGTGTAGCTTTGATAGAGCATGATGATGATGCATCTGTGTTGAAATCATCAAAGTCAAAGTCTAAGATGTCTGTTGTTTGGTTGTTGTCTGATGGCTGAGCGGCGTCGGATGTTGATACTGCTGTGGCAGCAGTTGATGTCTTTGGATTTAGTACCATGAAGTTGATCGGATCGTCTCCAGGTGCATTGTTGATTGTATTGGTTGAGTTTGATGAAGACAGTGACGAAGTAGTTGAAGTGGAAGTAGCCACTGATGTGAAGTCCTTGCTTGGTACATTATGTGAGGATGTTGTGTTGCCATTGACATTGCCATTCAATGAAGACAATGGTTTGTTGATGTTTAAAGTAGGTTTAAGAGGTGATCGATTGAGTGTATTTCCATTGCCATTGGTATTTAGTATAAGCTTTGTATTCGTGTTCAAAGTAGGTTTGATTGGTGAAAGAGTTGGCATTGGTGTTGTCATTGTCGTCGTCTTCAACGGAGTTGTCGAAGTGGCCAAGGGCTTTGGTGAAGTGTTGCCCAAGTTCATTGAGAGTGGCGCTGGACTGGCGCGTTGTTGTGGAGGTATTGGACGCCCAGGTGTGTTCTGTCCATTCGATGATGAGCTAGTTGAATGAGAAGATGGCTTGTACTTTACAGAGTTGAATCGAAGGAACTCCGTGGCATCGAATTCTGTGTGTGAAGAGTCAGGCATGAGTGTAACAGTGGAGTTAGCATCAATCTGATGCTTGGCGACACTACCACCAGCTGAATTATTGACATTGGCATGCTGTTGAATGGCATGTTCAAACTTGATCTTCTTCAAACGGTTCTGCTCTTCAGTCTCTTGCTTTGACATGAATGTCAACTTCACCTTTGAGAATGAACCGAATCTATCCATTGTCTCTTGTCTATTATTAGAGTCCAAACTCCTGTATAGATCATCATTAGATAGTAGTCTCTTCCTACTCATCATATCATTGTTATTATATCTATTCATTCTTCTATGTACATATATGTATCTCTTTGTTTGATACAGATAATTCAATTTTTGTGTATCTTTGCCACACACAAAGTTCTTGATTCTTTGTGAACCATCATAATTATTTCTACGAAAATGATCATTTTCAAACATGGAGGCAAGGTTCAGCAAGTAGACTTAAGATGCAAATAGTTAACTACAACTATCATCATGGAGGAAGGCCAAGGGCAGATAAGAGGCTTAAGGTACAAAAACAACAAGAGGAACAACAGCAACAACAGCAGCAGCAACAACAACTAGAACCACTACTGCTGCAACAGCAACAAGAACAAGAACAACAGCTGTTGCAACAACAAGAGCAAGTGCAACAACAACAACAACAACAACAACAACAACAACAACAACATCAACAGCAGCAGGCCGAGATCAGTGCTCTTTACAACCTCATCAACATGACCAAGGAGCAGATTGCTCAGCTCACAAGAGAGATTGCCGAGATGGAGCAACCAATCAAGGCGATAAAGCCCCGAGATGTGTATATGTTTGACCAACATCAATCCGACATGTTTATCAGTACAGATGGTGTATTGGTCATCATCAGTTACCCAGTTCAACGCTACTCCCATTACAATGACAAGATAGGTTGGCCTAAGAAACCAAACCAATATGTCCCATTGTACTCTGCTGTCAATGATGAGGAGAAGAAGAAGATAGGTTGTCCACTCTTCTTCATTCTGACCCTTAGGTCTTAGATTATTAATATTTGTTAGCTGAATGTAAGAATGATTAATTCGCTTTGTCTCGGCATTAAATGCCCTCTGATCACTTTCGGTTCATATTCATTACCTCACCCCCATCCTGGGAGATAAAGATGGCATCATGGACCAAAAATGGTTGTTTTGATCAAAAACAGAACATTCCATGTACTTTGGGATAGTGAGTTAGATAGATAGAGTGAGAGTGTTGTTGTTGTGTGATACTTATTTGTCATTCATTCACTCAACAAGTCAGTCAGTCAGTCGACAAGCATAGAGATAGAGATAGAGTATAGTAATAATAATGCCTATTGGAGATGATTCATATAATGAGGGTGGTTCACTCTATTATTACTCAGACATACCTCTGAAACGAGAGATACTACATGAGAAATATAGACATTGGGCAAGACGAATACTATTCTATTTAGCATTAGGTTACTTCATTACAGCCACTATTATGTATGTCGTCATCATCCATCACTCAACTCACTCACTCAATCATTCAATCAATCAAACATACTTACTCAATCATCTTAGGTTCCCATTTTTAATAACAAACTTAACATTCTGGTTCTGGCTTATACATGTATTATGGTTCGAGTTGGACTTGACGACGAATAAGAACAATATATTCATACAGTTGCTGCATGCTGTCAGCTTTGTCGGATCGTGGATTGTGATGGTGACAGCGACAATCTTGTTGGTAATACTCAACCCAGACTTTATTGCGCAGCGCGCGCATGAAGAGCATCACTCTGTGGCCTTTGCATGGCTGCTCAATGTATGGGTGCACTATATCCCGCCCATCTTGCTCACACTGGACATGTTTGTCTTTAAGGAGCACATTCGAAAGAGACATCATATAATCTTGTCACGCGAGCATAATACCAACAGACGAATGTGGGTGCAGGACGTGCTCAAGGTCGTCTGGGCCTACCTCGCACCAATAGGCATCGTTGGCATATGGTTGGGAGCAGGATTCACCATTCAAGTGGTCTACGGAGTCACCAACTTTAGTTACAACTACCTTGTGCCAATCATGGTTGGCACCGACATCATCTTTGCTACACTATTCCTATACCTAGTGCGTCGAAGGAATGACAACTACATCAAACTGTGACCTGTTTGTCAATTTATAAACAAAGCATCGAGCTGGGTCTGGAGACCATCGAGGCTTGTACATAGTCCAACAACTTTAAAAGTTTAATGAGTGTTGGTGAATGGATCATTCAAGAGGACGATAGTGTACGTGTTGGGAGCCGTGAGGAGGAGGTCCATGTAAGGAGGGAACGATGCTGTTTTGAAACAATGAATAAGTCCATCGATTTGGAAGAACTGGCAGAACAAGTAACCACTGAGGATGATGGGGTTGGGATTGGTTGGACCTCGAACGTAGAGGGGCAGATAGTAGTCAGGGAAGGTATCCACAGCAGTTGTGTTGTACATGTCAATGGAGACGATGTCTCCAACATTTCTCAAGTAGAAATAATTGGCATGTGGAACAGTGTTGCTTCCCAACTGGGCAATATGCTTTCCTGCTGGGTTGGTTGATTGATCGATGTACTTTATGACAAAGTTCATCGCTGTATGATCTTCAGATATGTCCACAGATGCCATAAATTTACGGTTATCTTGCATTCCAGAATGGTATAAGACTGAAAGTAGTAAAGGTGAATCAACAGCATACTAATTGATTTAATGTTTGAGTAAAGAGTGATTTAGTTAATGATTGAGTAATGGCTGATCCTTTTACAACGGAGATTAAATAGTTATTAATACTTACATAATAGCTAGTTTGGATTGATACTTTTGCACCAATTATAATAGACTTGACCTCATTAGGATGGGGAACCCATGGTGAAGCAGTCTTCCAAAAGTATCCAATATTGAGTACAATTGGAGTACCCTGGAAGTTATTTAGGGGAAACAGATGAACTTGTTTAGGTGGAATAGGTACACATTGGATAAATGTTATATTTATAAATATTAAGAAGAAGATAAAGAATATTGAATATATATTATTATTGATCATTATTAAAAAATTATTATTATTTGTTTGAAATAATAATACTATACTATAATGATTGATTGATTCTTTCAACTTATTATTATTATTATCGATTAAATTAATAATAAGTAATTAATTAATGAAACAAACGTTTCGATTATTGGGACATGATAGGCTTAGTTGAAACGAGATGTATTATTACATTAATGAATGAATGAGCTGACCAGATAGTTAGATGTAGTTGGAGGTTGGATCATAGGGAATGATAGGAGAGGTGGGTAGATTGCTGTCGCCTTCACCAAGAGCCAGTTGATAGTATTCGACACCTATCCATTGTCCAAACTTTAGAGCAATGTTGTTGATCTTGTGAAGGTATTGGAAGCCGTGCTTTGTATGCAGTCTACCGGATTGTTCATTGTTGGTGCTCGTGCATCCTATCATCTGTCTATAGCCCATCTTTGTTGCTACTGTGATCAGTCGTTTCAACATCAATGCGCCGAGACCACATCCCTTGAATGCCGGGTTCAAGTAGATGGTATCCTCGCAAGTGTACTTATAGCCTGAGCGTGAGTTGAACAGATGGATGTAGGCATAGCCTGCAATCACTGTTGTCTCTGTCTGACTCGAGTCAGAGTCGCCGGGTGTCTTGATCGTAGTCGTTGCGACATAGTATGGATTACGTTCGTTTACAACTATATGATTGAAACGTGATGTGAACTCCTCTAGTGAAGGCTCGGCCAGCTCAACTGTACATGTCTCCTCTCTAACATAATGACAATATATATCTCTGATGCTTTGTACATCATCAATAGTTGCGTCCCTTATTATGAATGAGTTGTTTGGTATCATATATGTTACAGATAGTATTATTGTTATTATTATTACAATGAATGGTTGAGTGAATGAATGAGCAAAGATGGTGTGGCGCGCGAGACAAAAGTGTGTGGTGGCGAAGAGAAGATAGTTTATGGGATTGGCAATCAGGGTGGAGTGATCAACTTAGATGTAGTCTGTGGCATGTCCAATGATGACGTACTTGGTCGATGGGTTGATATCGGTCGGCCACCAATATAGTCCATTGTTGCCTGTGGCCATCCAGGTGGATGGTGTGGCGGCACCAACGCGAATCGTGTTGTTCTGCCATTGGTTGTTCAATGTGCTGATGTTGGGCACCTCGAATGCCACTGAATCATAGACGGGTCCCCAGCCTGGCTTGATCTCCGCGCCCCACACATTGCCCGTGAACACCATGTTGGACGACAGAGTGTGTCCGCCCAGGTTGAGCATGTAGGCATAGCCACTAAAGTAGTTGTTGGTGATGCTGATGTATTGGTATGCGTCGTCGCCTTGCAGTCCCAGTCCATTTGTATTGCCAACGCCAGTGATTGTGTTGTGATCGATCACCATGTGGCTCAGACCGCCATAGTTCTCGAGCAGCGCGTCTGTGTGGTCGACACCGCCGCCATCTTGACGCAGATTGTGGAACCATGAGTGACGGATGGTGAGCGGGCCGGCCAGATCCGAGTATCCGATCTGAATGCCATTGGCAAAGCCCCACATGTCGCAGTGATCCACTGTGAGTGGGCCAGCCGCACGTTGATCAATACCATACTGATATGAAAGTGTTCGCTTGATGCGAGCGGTCGGGTTGCTCCATGTGGGCTCGACGGTTGTCTTGGGCTCAAATGTGCAATAGTTGAATGTAATCGCGGAGCCGTAGACGGCGACGTTGGCATCGTCCACAGCGTTGGACGCGAAGCGACAGCCGATAAAGGTGATGTTGGTGACAGTCTGGCTGCTGGAGCCAATGTACAATCCATTGATGTAGTTGCAGTACTTGTAGACACTGTTGCTTACGACTGTTGAAGGGCATGTGGACACCAATGAGCCAGGATAACCAGGGGACTTCTTGTATCCAGTGTTTGTCTCGTCTGGCCACAGACCAGCGTTAATGACGCTGAAGCAACAACATAGTGCAACAGCGGCAACCAACAAAATATGTTTGGTAATAGCCATCTTGTTAAGTATTAAATGTTTGATTGATTGGAGATGGAGTTGGAGTTGGTTTAAATGATTGAGTGATTGAGTGATGTTGTGGCAACGCGCGGACTATGTCCTGTTCTTTGAATAGACATGTCCAACCAAGCATCCATCCATCCAATATCCATCCCATCCTGTGGTAAGGTCGGGGTGTTGATACGACCAGACGAGATCCATTATTGGGGGCATAGACGACGCGTCTGTACTGGTCCAGATATTTTGGGATAGTGGCGGCATGTTTGAAATCGACCGAATCAGGATGAAGATGATGGTGTCTCTTCGGTTATATGTTTGATTGAACATCCATCCATCCATCATGTGCTTGTTTGATTGATTGAATGACATTTGGCAGTCTCCTGCCATACTATGTCTTGTCTATTCGCGCTATACAACTATACTATTTGAATATTTTATTGCCAGCCTTTAGCTGGCGATGTTGGCCTAGGTTATGCTCTTCATCATTATTGTCGTCGTCGTCATCTTCGTCGTCGTCGTCGTCGTCTTGATCGGCAGTCACACTCAAAACACTGTTATTAATATTATGTTCGAATATCTCTTCCATTCGCCCATTGCTACCTTGTGATGGTGCCATCACTGACGTTGATTGATTCTGTTGATCCTCGTCCAGACGGTACTCTATCTCTCCTGTCACTGGATCCTTCACGATTCTATAAATATGATTGTCCATGACGACCTTGCCCAATGTCTTGGCCATGGCCTTCATCTCGACCTCCCTCGCGGCGTCGTCCTCGTTGCCAGAATTCGTATCCATTATATTGATTGTGTTGTTGCTACCTCGTACGCCTGGAGTGTTGATGCTCATGTCCTGGCTACCAGACACGTCGGCGCCAGTGGCCGTGCTCTCGGTCAACAGCTTGTCCTTTGTGTACTGATCCATGATGTCCTTCTTGTACTCGCGGTGCTTGGCCACCATCACGACGGCCACGCCCACCAACACAGTGATGGCGCCCAGTATGTTGAGAATGGTCAGTCGCTCGTGCAAAAAGATGGCGGCGGCGATCGATGTGACCAGCGGCTCGACGCACAGGTACATCGCGACCGTCGTCGAGTCGGACTTCTTGACCGCCCACGAGCTGGCCCAGAATGTGTATGCCGTTGCGAATATCGCAGTATATAATATCGCCAACCAATTGACGTAGCGCGTCTCCAAAAAGTCAGAGTAGTCGCGTGTGATGCCCAGTGTGAGGGCGATGACGGGAATCGTTCCAAAGAGGAATGCCCACGACATGATCTTGGCGGGAGGGTTACCCAGTGCCAGCAGTGGGCGTTGTAGCAGGAGGAAGCCTGCATAGGCCATCGTATTGCCCAAGAAACAAAGATTGCCAAACAGTATATTTAGACTGGATCTCGAGTCATCGCGTAAATGTGTCAAGTCCACCATCAATATCGCGCCTGCCACACTAACTCCAATGCCAACAAACTTTAACCATGACTTGCGTTCATACTTGAATGCCACTGCCAACAAAGTACTGAATATAGGTATAGCTGGCTGAGTGATCGCTGCATTCGATGCTGTCTACATTCGTTGATCATGTGTGCGTATGAGTGTGTGTGCGAGCAAGTTAGCATTTATGGGACAATCAAGGAGTCGAACAATCAGTCAGTCCAATCAATCCCAAGGGTCGCGGGTCGATCATGATTGCTTACAGATAGTTCCAAACCTTCAAGAAAGAGCTAAATATCATGTGATCATAAAGTGCCAAGTGTTATAGGTTAGTCTCGCGAATCAATCATTCAATCAATCAATAATGATAACTTACGGATTGGTTAATTGTTACGGCGAATATACCAACTAGTACAAGTAGTAACCATTCACGTGGAGATGATGGTAGTTTACGCATTTGTTGTGGTTCGGTAATGACAGCGAATAGCCAGAGTATTGGCGTGGCCAATAGTAGACGGTATGTTAAAAAGATGAATGGGTCCATTGATTTGAGTGCCACCTTGGCCACTATATAAAACACAGAGAATGCCAGTTGAATTGACAACAGTACCAGATGTACCTTTATCGTCTCTCTTCTAACCTCTCTAACTGATCTCTTAAAACGCGCCCAGCGCGTCTCATTCATCTTCACCATGATTGTTCGTTTGTTGACTTTATTTGACCCTGACCCTTTTGACAAGTATAATATGTAAGTAATAATACAGATATATATATATATATTATATAAGATTGAGATGATAATAAAGTGATGTTGAATGAATGATTCGTTCAAACTTCTTCAATCTTGTTTTGTCGACACTCAAACGGCAGGTTGGAGACCCCTTCAATCATTCAATCACACCCCATTCCAACCTTCCATCCAACGATTGGATTTGATAAATTAAATTCTGATAAAACGATTAATATATATTTGAAATCAAGTAAAGATAATATATTATATTATATTAATATAACATAAAATATATATTTATATATTTATATATTTGTTATAACTACTCAGATGTTTGTGTAAGTTGGAGCTTGAACTTTGACGAAAATAAAGGGCTGTTTCGTGTTTGTTTGTGTTTTTGAATCGATTTGTTGAATTATCTCCCATTCTTGACAAATTGTCGGTCGGGTACTCTACACATAAACTTATACTTATACATACATATAATATATACATACATAGTACACATACATACACATATACATATACATATACAAACGACATAATAACAGATGTCATTGACTTTTGAAGAGAGGTTGATTGATATCAATGCAGCATCAACAGCAACAGATACACTGGTAGCTGAAGCAATAGTTACAGCAGCAGAGGCAATAGTGGCAGCAACAATGACAACGACAGCAAACTCTTCAAGTAGCTCATCATCAGGAGAGCATCAACGTGTTACAGGATTCAGAGATATATTAGTACATATTGTAACACTGTCTATTGTGTTGGCAGTTGTACTTGCAGTACTCACTGGTATCACTCTAGTCTCTCGAGCATTCCGCAAACAAAAGCGATCACATAGCAAGCTATCCCTACGAACAAGAATCGAACTATATCTCACATCAACTGGCATTATAACATGGATAGTATGTTCACAAGTTTGAATGATTGAATGAATGATTGATTGAATGAATACTAACGATAATGATTGATCATCAACAGGAAGGAATACAAGTAATGCTTAGTATTGCATCAGTGATTATATTCATTTATGGAACATACTTGCCAGCAGACCAACAACCACCTATCGCGTACACTTGGATCGAGKTTGTGTTTGGCAATCTTCTTCACATTGCATTGGATATTGGATTATTATATATCAAAGGATAGATTGAAGTACTTGTACTCATTCTTCTCAATAGTGGACTTGGTGACAGTGTTGCCAATCTACATTGATCTGGTGCGTGGCGTAATGTTCACCGAGCTGTCGACATTCCAATTCCTGCGTGTGCTGCGTACGGTGCGTGTACTGCGCGCCAACCGTGTGCTGCACAACTTTAACGACATCACTCAATACTTGTTGCGAGTGGTCATTGCCGTGTTCACGTTCATCCTGATCGTCGCTGCATTCTACATGAATGTCGACCTGCATCCCGAGGTCGATGGCCGCTCCCCGCCCTTGCAGTTCCACCAGACCATCTACTTCCTGGTCGTCACGCTCACCACCTGTGGCTATGGAGACATCCATCCGACCAACCCCGTCGGTCAACTCACCATCACCTTTGCCATCTGCATCGGTGCCGTTCTCATACCCTACCAAGTCTCCAAACTTCTCGACATCTTTAGCTCATACTCGCGTATGTCTTCAAGGTTGGCGTGGACGCCACTCACTCAATCAACCATGATTGATCACTAACTTCCCGCCCCCGCCTCGCCCCCGCCACTACCACAGCTTACAAGCGCGACCTTTCCAATCGCAACTTACATGGACATATTCTGTTGTGTGGCGAGATCAACTTCACGTCGTTGCTGGAGTTCTTGACAGAGTTCTACTTGGAGCGATATGGTCAGTTGAAAAAGACGATTGTGATCTTGAACAATAATCCACCATCGGATCAGTTGAAGATCCTACTCTTGCACCCATTCTACAAGCATAGACTTTATTACTTGGAGGGATCGCCAATGCTCGAGTGCGATTTAAAGAGAGCACGATTCATCCACACATCATCCTGCTTCATCTTCCGTCCACTCTATTGGGAGGAGGGAGATTCGAGTACCATCCTCACCACAATGGCCATGCGCAACCTCCGTCCCCCTGGAGGCACTAAGATATTCACACAGCTCGTAGACCACGAGAGCAAGGTATGTTGTGTAGCGCGTGTGCTATCATGTCCCCCTGGACACCGCAATGACTGACACAGCCCCTCCCCCCCCCCCCCCCCCC